CCTTTAGTAGAGTATTCTCAACCTTCCTAATGCTGCAACCCCTTAATACAGTTCCTCCTGTTGTGGTGACCCCCAATCATAACATTATTTTCATTGTTACTTCAGGACTGTCGTTTTGCTCCTGTTGTGAATCGTAATGATATAGAATCATAGAGTTGGAAGAGATCTCATGGCTCATCCAGTCCAACCCTCTGTCAAGAAGTAGGAAAATTGCATTCAAAGCACCTCCGACAGATGACCATCCAGCCTCTGTTTAAAAGCTTCCATAGAAGGAGCCTCCATCACACTCTGGGGTAGGGAGTTCCACTGCTGAACGCCTCTCACAGTCAGGAAGTTCTTCTTGATATTCAGATGGAATCTCCTTTCTTGTAGTTTGAAGCCATATGCAAGAGGTGTTTTCATTTACTAGACCAAATTTGGCACAAATACCTGATATGCCCAAATTTGAATACTGGTGGGGTTGGGGTTTGATTTTGGCATTTGGGAGTTTTAGTTGCTGGGATTTACAGTTCACCCACAATTCAAGAGATGTATTGGATTGTGATTTATGTGAAATATTGTGTATTATGTTTTTTATGGTTTTAATTGTATACTGTGTACTGTATATTCTGTTGTAAACCGCGCTGAGTCGCCAGTTAGGCTGAGAAACGGGGACAGTAAATAAATAAATACAAGGACAGTAAATAAATAAATAAATAAATTGCCAAGCTGGAATGTGTCCAGAGGAGGGCGACCAAAATGATCAAGGGTCTGGAGAACAAGCCCTATGAGGAGCGGCTTAAGGAACTGGGCATGTTTAGCCTGAAGAAGAGAAGGCTGAGAGGAGATATGATAGCCACGTATAAATATGTGAGAGGAAGCCACAGGGAGGAGGGAGCAAGTTTGTTTTTTTGATGTATTGTCGAAGGCTTTCATGGCTGGAATCACTAGGTTCTTGTGGGTTTTTTCGGGCTATAGGACCATGTTCTAGAGGCATTTCTCCTGACATTTTGCCTGCATCTTTGGCAAGCATCCTCACCTCACTACCTCTGAGGATGCTTGCCATAGATGCAGGCGAAACGTCAGGAGAAATGCCTCTAGAACATGGCCCTATAGCCCAAAAAAACCCACAAGAACCTTTGTTTTTTTGCTTCCCCAGAGACTAGGATGCGAAACAATGGCTTCAAACTAAGAGAGGAGATTCCACCTGAACATGAGGAAGAACTTCCTGACTGTGAGAGCTGTTCAGCTGTGGAACTCTCTGCCCCAGAGTGTGGTGGAGGCTCCTTCTTTGGAAGCTTTGAAACAGAGGCTGGATGGCCATCTGTCAGGGGTGCTTTGAATGCAATATTCTTGGCAGGGGGTTGGACTGGATGGCCCATGAGGTCTCCTCCAACTCTTTGATTCTATGAATCAAAGAGCATTCAGAACTCCACCGACGATGGAATTGAACCAAATTTGGCACAGAGAACTCCTATGACCAACAGAAAATACTGCAAGGGTTTGAATACCAATGGGGAAATTGATTTTGTCATTTGGGAATTGTAGTTGCTGGGATTTATAATTCACCTACAATCAAAGAGCTTTCTGAACTCCACCAAGGATAGAATTGGGCCAAGCTTGGCACACACCCCCATGACCAACTGAAAGTACTATTTCCTGGTGGTCTTTCTTGACCCCCCCAGGAGTACCGACCCCCCAGTTTGAGAAACGCTGCAGGGAAATGCAAGAGAAATGAAAGGCGGTAGGGGAGGAGAGGGAGGCCTTTGGGGCCTGCTTACCTTGAACTTTGGGTCCCCTCCACCCGAAAGCAATGCCCAAGTGGCGCTCGAGGAGGAGGCAAAACTTCCCCCTTTCCCTTTCCTCTCTTCTTTCCTCCTTTCAGCCTCAGCCTGACCTCCTGCAACGCCTCAGCAGCCGAGAGTGGCCCAGCCAGACCCACTTCCGGGTGGAAGAGGCGAGGAGCACGGCCACTTCCGGCCCCTCTGGCCCAGGCCGCGGCTACAGAGTGAGACGCAGTGAGACAAGCAGAGGGCGGACGTGACGTGTCTGGAAACCTTGGGCGGGGCCTAGAGTTGGGGAGAAGCAGCAGCAGCAGCGGATCCCCAGCTATTACCATTGCTGTGATTTATGATTACTTACACCAATTAACTATTCTAAAGCCTTGGACTGTGTGGATCATAATAAATTGTGGCAAGTTCTTGATAGTATGGGCATACCAGATCACCTTGTCTCATAGAATCATAGAATCAAAGAGTTGGAAGAGACCTCATGGGCCATCCAGTCTAACCCCCTGCCAAGAAGCAGGAATATTGCATTCAAATCACCCCTGACAGATGGCCATCCAGCCCGTTTAAAAGCTTCCAAAGAAGGAGCCTCCACCACACTCCGGGGCAGAGAGTTCCACTGCTGAACGGCTCTCACAGTCAGGAAGTTCTTCCTCATGTTCAGATGGAATCTCCTCTCTTGTAGTTTGAAGCCATTGTTCCGCGTCCTAGTCTCCAAGGAAACAGAAAACAAGCTTGCTCCCTCCTCCCTGTGGCTTCCTCTCACATATTTATACATGGCTACCCCAGCAAGCGAGAGTCCAAAAGTGGCAGGCCCAAACCCAGCACCTCAATTCATGGGTGATACCAGATGAGAGACTCCTCCCGGCACTCAGAAGACTGGGCGACTTGGAAGGCGCTGAACAGACTGCGCTCTGGCACCACGAGATGCAGAGCCAATCTTAAGAAATGGGGCTACAGGGTGGAATCCTCGTCATGCGAGTGCGGAGAAGAACAAACCACTGACCACCTGCTGCAATGCACCCTGAGCCCTGCCACATGCACAATGGAGGACCTTCTTGTGACAACCCCAGAGGCACTCCAAGTGGCCAGATACTGGTCAAAGGACATTTAACCAAATACCAAATTTGCAAAATCTGTGTGTTTTTTCCCCCTTTTTCTTTTTAATCTGTGTGTTTGTTTTGCTCTGTTAGAATTGTAATACAATGGCCGCTGATGACACGATAAATAAATAAATAAATGGCTATCATATCTCATATCATATACGGTTCCGGCCCGATACCTATCCGACCGCATCTCGACCTACGAGCCCACCAGGACTTTGAGATCGTCCGGGGAGGCCCTGCTCTCGATCCTGCCTGCCTCACAGGCACGCCTGGCGGGGATGAGAGATAGGGCCTTCTCAGTGGTGGCTCCTCAGCTGTGGAACACCCTTCCCGTGGACATCAGACTGGCTCCTTCCCTGATGATATTCCGCAGGAAATTAAAGACTTGGCTGTTCAAGAAGGCGTTTGAACAAGAAGTGCAATAATTGGTAATGACAACAGGAATGGAACAATGGAAAATGATACTGGATTGTGGTTTAGACGATGAGACGACGTGGAATGGCTTTTGTAGTATTGATGTTTTTCTGATGATGATGTTTTTGGTTAATGCTGGACTGATTATTTTAGATTGTGTCTTGAATTTTGAACCTTGTTCTTTCTATGTTGTACACCGCTGTGAGTCGCCCCCAGGCTGAGAACAGCGGTATATAAGCAAAGTAAATAAGTAAATAAATAAATATAGCCTAGTCAAAGCCATGGTATTCCCTGTAGTAACCTACGGATGTGAGAGCTGGACCTTAGGGAAGGCTGAGCGAAGGAAGAGAGATGCTTTTGAACTGTGGTGTTGGAGGAAAGTTCTGAGAGTGCCTTGGACTGCGAGAAGATCCAACCAGTCCATCCTCCAGGAAATAAAGCACATGTCTGTGTTTTAGATGAAATTTGCTACTATTGCTACTATTATGAATTGTAATGTAAATATCTGAGATGCAGGATGTATTTTCATACACTGGACCAAATTTGGCAGATGCGATGACTATTTAAAATATCTGAACAGAGGAGAGGAAGCCAGAGATCCCTTGGACAAGCTGAAAATAGGTTTGATTTTGTTTGTATAGGTTTTGTATTTCTGGTCTGATACTAAAGGTAAACTACAACCTCCCAGATGTTAGTGGACTGCAACACTAGGCAGTGATGAGGAGTGATGGGAGGCGCAGTCCACAAACATCTGGAAAGCTGCACAATCTATATAAATAAAAATGTAATGTTAGTTTGTGGGATTAACATAACTCAAAAAACACTGGACGAATTGACACAAAATTTGGACACAACGAGTGTCCATCACCCATAAACACACACACACACACACACACACAAAACCCGAGCGGAACAGACTTAAAAACCCACATACACTCATATATATATATATGCACATGCAGACATTCATACACACACACATATATATGCACAAACACACACAAATACACACATACACATAAACACATGTATATGTATGTGTGTATACATATATATCCAAATACATACATATATACGCACAAATATGCATATAGACAAGCACACACATATACACAATATGCATGTACACATATAAACGCAAAAATACACAAATATATACACATATATACACACATATATGAAAACACACAAATATATACACACACATATATACACCCACATATATATATAAGCACACACATATATACACACATATACATAATATGCATGTACACATATAAACACACAAATATATACACACACAACATATATCTGCAAACACACATATATACACAAATATATACACATATATACAAATGCATACATATACCCACACACACATATATATAAGCAAACACACATATATACACACATATACATAATATGCATGTACACATATAAACACACAATATATACACACACATACACACACAAAACATATACACAGACTGGGCCACAGCAACGCATGGCAGGGGATGGCTAATTCCTACATATAGGAGCTTCCTATATATGATACAGAAGCATCCAAGCTGCAAAGTCAGCATAAATTTTGTGTGGAATATATTTACGAAACAACAGAATCCAACAACTTTGTGAAGCACAATATCCACACAAGAGAGAGCATCAGTTAAGCCTTGCCATTTGGGCACCTATTAACACACCGTATAGATAGAAGCAGGGGAAAGCAATTTTTATTGAACACAGATTTCAAAGGCAATCTTTCTGTGCGATGGACGCGTGTGCATCCAGCACACGATTTCCGTGTCCATTTTGGGATAATTGTCAGCGAGAACTTGATGTCACCGGCGAATTCCTCTCATAGAAATGGCTACGTCCTGTTTGCAATTAGGCACTAAAAAGACAGGACTTCTTTCTGAATTATCCCAGGAAGTCTGGCAGCCAGGGAATGGTGTAAACATTGCCAGAAGATCCTCCTCTGTGGAACAAGATGGCACATTCTTCCTGTTCTTTCTAGATTTGGTTGTCCTTCCTTCTCCACCTCCCTCAGTAGCAGTCCTGCGGGGGTCTTCTGTTTTTCCAACTTCTCCTTTGCTTCTGTTGACCGTGAGGATTCTGCACTGGAAAATCAGGGCTCGGCAGTCCTTGTGGCAGTGGTGGCTGGTAAGCTGCATAGAACAGCCCAGGGCTGGGCCTGAGACTCTGCGGGATGAAGCTTGTTGTTGGGGGGAACTGGGGGTGGAACACAGGTGGGCCTTGATAGTGCGGGACAAGGCTCTGGCCAGGATGGGGTGGCCTGGAAGAAAGGCAAGGCGTGGGGTTTCAATCAAGCGGCATCCCAACAAGCACGCACAAACCTACGTCAACCTCTGTAACTTGGCCCTGTCAGCCGATTAACATATTATAGAATCATAGAGTTGGAGGAGACCTCATGGGCCATCCAGTCCAACCCCCTGCCAAGAAGTCTAATCCAATTAATTAATCCAATTTCCATCAATGGCCATCCAGCCTCTGTTTAAATGCCTCCAAAGAAGGAGCCTCCACTACACTCCAGGGCAGAGAGTTCCACTGCTGAACAGCTCTCTCTCACAGTCAGGAAGTTCTTCCTCATGTTCAGATGGAATCTCCTTTCCTGTACTACAGTGTTTCTCAACCTTCCTAATGCAGCGACCCCTTAATACGATTCATGTTTCTTCTGAAGTCCTTGCAAACCATATATATCCATTAATCTTATAAAAGCAATTTCTCTTGAAATATTTAATCTCTCCTACAGATATATAGGCATTTCCCCCTGCAAGCCTTTGCAATCCCTTGTTGTTTACTCATCCAGTAGTTTCCGACTCTTCGTGACCTCATTGACTGCCCATGCCAGAGCTCCCTGTCGGCCGTCACCACCCCCAGCTCCTTCAAGGTTGCAATCCCTATGTACCTATATATCTCTATCTATCTACATGAATTTTATATATGAATTTTCCCCTCATATGTTTGCAGATCTTGAAAATCCTATAGATAGATAGATAGATAGATAGATAGATAGATAGATAGATAGATAGATAGATAGAGATTTCTATGTACTTATATACAGATATATAGGCACCGGGATTGCGGCGCAGCTGGCTGAGTGTCAGCTGCATTAAGATCACTCTGACCAAAAGGTCATGAGTTCGAAGCCAGCCCGGGTTGGAGTGGGTTTCCAACCAATTGTGTAGCCTGTTGTCGACCTTTGCAACCCGAAAGACAGTTGCATCTGTCAAGTAGGAAAATTAGATACCACCTTAAAGTGTGGGGAGGCTAAATTAACTAATTTATGAGGCCATAAAAAAGACTCCAGCAAAAGCACTCCAGCAGAAAACATGCGGTGAATGCGGAAGTACTTCATCAGTGTCGCAGATGGACGATGAAAGCTCCCCTGGCGGCCAGAAAAAGTTAAATAGCCTCTGTCTATGTCTGTATATATTGTATGTTAAAATTGGCATTAAATGTTTGCCATATATGTGTACACTGTAATCCGCTCTGAGTCTCCTGCGGGGTGAGAAGGGTGGAATATAAAAGCTGTAAATAAATAAATAAATAAATGTATACATCATCTTATATATGAATTTCCCCTCACATGTCTGCAAGTCCCTGCAAATCCTATATATAGATATTGATAAATAGAGGTACCTATATATCTGTATATCTGTGTGTATGTATATGTGTATATATATAATTTTATATAAGATTTTTCTCTCACATGTTTGCAAGTCTTTGCAAAACTTCTATAGATATAATTATCTACATAGAGATGTCTAGATAGAATATATGAATATAGATATATAGGGCTTGCAAATAATATGGAGGAAATGCACACAAAAATATATAGACATGTATAGATTTGAATATAGACATATAGGCCTTGCAAATATTGCAGGAAGGCAATGTGCATATATAGAGAGATGATCTGCAAATGTTTCAGGGAGAAATGCATATGTGAAATTAGTATATATAATTACAGATCTATATCTAGCTCATTAATCCACTTCATTAGCCTGCATTTCATTGGTGCATTTTAACTGTGTCTACTATGCTTTATGTATTGTCAGGGTCTTATTTCTGATCCCTCTGATTTAGTAATTACTATTTAGTTATTACTGTTATTATTTTTAACAGATGTATGGATGCATTTATATCCTGCTCAACAGTCACAATTTATCTGCAGATGAAATCTGTGTCTTTCTTCTGTTGTTACAGAGCTCTAGAAGCTCCTCTAAGTAAACACACAATGGGTGCAGAGGCTTCCAGACCCTCTTGCTATTTACCTGGGTGGGATCTGTCCTTCCCTTCCTCTCCTTGGATCAAAGCGCCTGCAAGACAAAGAAGGCAAGAGGTCATAAGAACGATACCACTGCCTGAGCCACCATTTTTGAGGAAAGTCTTTCTCAGCATCCCCACAAGCCGTACTTGGTTCCCTATGGGACATTGTTTTAGCCATCCCATGGAGCTTTTTGGGACAAGATGCAAGGTGTAGGCAGGGCCAAGGAGTGTTTCACATGAATCTGTTTGGCTTGTGGGACAGAGGGACTTGAAATCGATCTGCCCCATCACTCCATAATCCCCATCCAGGGAGAATGGCTACGGAGTGGCAGAGCAGGGGCAGGAAACAAGCGGAGACGCCAAGCGCACGTCTGATGGTACTTTTAAAACCCAAAATGGGGAAAGGCTTCCTAAACAGCAGGCTCCATCCTAAAAAGAGAGGAGGGAACTGTTGGAAATAGCAACCTTCCAAGCCTTCACTATGTATTTGTTTGTGTGTGTGTGTGTGTATGTATACTAGCCATCTCCTGCCATGCGTTGCTGTGGCCCAGTCTGTGTATATGTCTTTTGTGTGTGTATATATGTGTGTGTATATGTGTTTGTGCATATATATATATATACATACATATACATATATATGTATATATATGTGTGTGTGTGTATATGTGTTTGTGCATATATATATGTGTGTGTGTGTGTGTGTATGTATATATTTGTGTATTCATGTGTTTATATCTGTATATTTATTTATTTATTTGTTGTTTAAACTTATATGCCGCCACTCCCCTGGGGCTCGGAGCGGCTTACAAGAACAGGCTAAAATCGAACACAATTTAAAAACAATTTAAAACAATTTAAAAACAGCAATATCAGAGATCAAAGGCCCGTCGAAACAGATATGTCTTGCATGCCCTGCGGAAAGCTGATAAGTCCCGCAAGGCATGGACTTCAGGTGGCAGAGTATTCCAGAGTGATGGTGCCACTGCTGTAAAGGCTCTGCAACTGGTTGCTGTTAGATGCAAGGTCTTGACATTGGGAATTTCCAATAGATCTTGGTCCTCAGAACGGAGGGATCTCTGAGGTTGGTAGGGGGTGAGACAGTCCCTCAGGTACATCGGCCCCAGACCAAGCAAGGCCTTAAAGGTGAGTACCATCACTTTGAAAGTGATCCGGTGCTCAATTGGTAACCAATGCAGCTGTAGTAAGATTGGTGTTATGTGGCATCTCATCAGGATTCCCGCAAGAAGCCGAGCAGCTGCATTTTGTACCAACTTGAGCTTCCGGATCACCGACAGAGGGAGGCCAATGTAGAGGGTGTTACAGTATTCCAGTTTTGAGATGACCGTAGCCTGGATCACTGTAGCTAGGTCGTCCCTGGACAGGTAGGGGGCCAGCCATCTAGCCTGCCGCTGATGAAAAAAAGCGGTTCTGCTAACGGAGGAGACCTGGGCCTCCATCGTCAGCAGAGGGTCCAAAAGGACTCCCAGACTCTTTACCAATGATGATGGGCATAGCACCTCGCCATCCAGGGTAGGCAGCTGGATATCCCCACTGCCCGGTTGACCCAGCCATAGGATCTCCGTCTTTGCTGGATTCACCCTCAACCTGCTGGCACGCAGCCATCCAGTAACGGCCTCGAGGCACTGATGGAAATAATCGGATATGGAGTCCGGTCGGCCTTCCATCTTCAGCACCAGCTGAATGTCATCGACATACTGATAGCACTCAAGCCCAAAACCTCGAACCAGCTGAGCAAGTGGTCGCATATAGATGTTAAACAACAGAGGGGAGAGAATGGCCCCCTGAGGAACCCCACCAAGATAGAGGGGACCTCTCAGAAACCAGGCCTCCCCTCTCCACTCGCTGTCCACGGTTGTGAAGAAAGGAGGACAGCCAGTTTAAAGTGATACATTACATTTAAAATCAAAGAAAAATTTCAGTCAGCAAGATTCAAATGCCAGCCTAAATAAATAAGTTTTACAAGCTCTACGAAAAGATAGTAAGTCTCGGAGAGCTCATGTTTCCGCTGGCAAGGCACTCCACAGGTAAGGAGCCACCACCGTGAATGCTCTACGCCTAGTAGAGGGGAAAGCAAATGAAACCTTTGTGCTTACAGTGGGAACTGTCGAGATCTTTGGGGGCCACAGTCGATAACTTCATAATCTGGATGTGGGACAGGACCAGAGCACCCCTTAATCCATCTGTACTTAGGAGCTGCCATGGGAGGTGGGTTCCTTCGGAGATAAAACATCGAGAATTAAAGTTCTAGCATTTAAGAGTCAGGTTACTTCTCCAAGAACATACAAGAACAAGTAGCCACAACTAAACTTGTTCTGATGGACTTGGAGAGGTGATGAATGGGATTAATACAAAACATGACCCCCTATGGTGAGTTCAAGAATACAGGCTTCTTCCAAGACACTCCATTCTGTTCCTCCACTTCTCCTTACCTTATGGGAGTCTGTGGTACTTGAGCAGGTTCAGCCGCAGAATTTTGGGCCCGTTCCAGTGCTCTTCTAATATAATAATAATAATAATAATAATAATAATAATAATAATAATAATGACATATCTATTTGTATTCCACTTTTCTCCCTAAATAGGGCTCAAAGTGGGTCACAACATTTTAAAACAATACAAATCAATGATACATATAATAACATATAAATATATACGCAAGCATTTCCTTCCAATCTTATATATTTCCCTCTATGAATCACCTCAGAGGTTAAGATTATCTGGGGAGGCCCTGCTCTCAGTCCCATCTCCCTCACAGGTTCGAATGGTGGGGATGAGAGACAGGGCCTTCTCAGTGGTGGCTCCTCAACTACGGAACTCCCTCCCCAATGAAATTAGATCTCTGCCCTCCCTCTTGGCCTTCAGATAAAAAGTAAAAACGTGTCTATGGGCCAAGTCTTTTGGCAGTAAGCACTATAAGGAATGATCAGAGATTATCTATATAAATAAAAATGTAATGTTCGTTTGTGGGATTAACAGACTTCAAAAACCACTGGACGAATTGACACCAAATTTGGACACAAGACACCTAACAACCCAATGTATGTCTTTCACTCAAAAAAATTTATTTTGTCCTTTGGGAGTTGTAGTTGCTGGGATTTATAGTTCACCTACAATCAAAAAGCATTCTGAATTGAACCAAACTTGGCACACAGTTCTCCCATGACCAACAGAAAATACTGGAAGGGTTTGGTGGGCAGTATCCTTTGGATTTGGAGTTCACCTACATCCAGAAATCACTGTGGACTCAAACAATGATGGATCTGGACCAAACTCTACATGAATACTCAATATGCCCAAATGTGAACACTGGTGGAGTTTGGGGGAAAATAGAATCTTGACATTTGGGAGTTGTAGTTGCTGGGATTTATAGTTCACCTACAATCACAGAGCATTCTGAACCCCACCAATGATAGAATTGGGCCAAACCTCCCACACAGAACCCCCATGTGGGCCATAGCAATGTGTGGCAGGGGACGGCTAGTGTACAATAGATATTTGACTTTTGGAACAGCTTTGGACCATGATTTCTGAATTATGTGATTTTAACGTGTATATTAATATGTTTTTAACTCCACGTTTTAATTGTCTAAATGTTGTTACATTTTTATGATCTAATCCAGTGTTTCTCAACCTTCCTAATGCCGCGACCCTTTAATACAGTTCCTCATAATGTGGTGACCCCGAACCATAACATTATTTTTATTGCTACTTTATAACTGTCATTTTGCTACTGTCATGAATTGTAATGTAAATATCCGATATGCAGAATGTATTTTCATTTACTGGACCAAATTAGGCACAAATACCTGATACAAGTGAAGTAAATAAATAAATATGTAGCATTCAAGATACATGAAGCTCTGCACTTGGACAAAGTGTTCATTCCAGACATATTGAACAGTTAGCAATGCAGCTACAGACTAGTTAAGGAAATGACGGGAGTTTCAAGCTGTGTGAGTTTATGAAGGAGTGTGACCAGGTTAGATGAACTCAGGTATAGCTCTTTCTCCCGCTGAAATCTCTGGTGGCAAATATTGATTTCCCTCCACCTCCCTCCTTAATGCACAGGAAAGACAACAAACAGACCTGGCAAGACCCAACTGTAGGAAAGAGGGGAGTACATACCTTTTCCGATACCCACTCCTAAGGTCTTCAATGTAGTTCTTCCTCTCTATAGAATGCCCTCGGCACCTATTGAACACTAAGAGGGATACAAGCCTTAGAGGGGAATTCTGTGCACAGTCAACCCAAAATAAGTCCAACATTGCAGTGTGGAATGGGCCAGGATAATAATTATTTTAAACACTGCAGTAGTAGTAGTAGTAATAATAATAATAATAATAATAATAATAATTTGTTTATATTCTGCCCTGAAATGGCAATAATAAAAAAACGTTATTTATATTTTACGCTAAAATTACAATAATAATACTTTATTTATATTCTGGCTTAAAATTGCAATAATAATCTATATAAATAAAAATGTAATGTTCGTTTGTGGGATTAACAGAACTCAAAAACCACTGGACAAATTGACACCAAATTTGGACACAAGACACATATTAGGCCAACGAGTGACGATCACTCATAAGCACCCCCAAAAAATAGTGGAAGGGACTCAAAAAACCCAAAAAGCTAAATAACAATACAGAAAAGGAAGGAAGGAAAGGGAGAAAGAAAGCGAAAGAGAGAAGCATGGAAGCAAAGAGCGAAGGAAGGAAGGAAGGACGAAAGGAGGAAAGAAAGGAGAGAAAGAAAAAGAAAAAAGGGGGGAGGAGGGAAAGAGGTAGAGAAGGAAGGAAGGAGAGAAGGAAAGAAAAAGGGAAGGAAAGGGGGAGCAAAGGAAGGAGGAAAAAAGTAGAGAAAGGGAGGGAAGGAAATAAAGAGAGAATGAAGGATGGAAGGAAAAAGCAAAGGAAGGAAGGAAAGAGAGAAGGAAGAAAGAGAAAAAAGGAAGGAAAAGAAAAAGGGGGGAGGAAGGAAAGAGGTAGAGAAGGAAGGAAGGAAGGAAGGAAGGAAGGAAAGAAAGAGGGAGGGAAGGAAGGAAGGAGGGAAAGGAGAGAAAGAGGGAGGGAAGGTTGGCCACAGCAACGTGTGGCAGGTACAGCTAGTAATAATAATAATAATAATAATAATAATAATAATAATAATAATAATAATACTTTATTTATATTCCACCCTAAAATTATATTCTGCCTCATCTCCCCAAGGGGGACTCAGGGCAGATTCCAACATACAATGGCAAATATTCAATGATTCCATAAACAGACAAACATCAACATAATAATCCCAGAGGAACCCCACACATCAAAACAGTGTAAGAGCCTAACATCAATACATTAAACCCAGCATAATCAAACAAAAATTATATGAAGGCATAAAATCTGAACATAAAAACATTCACTTTGATTTATCGAAGCCAACTGTCATTCACCAAATTGTGCGGGTTAGTTGTATAGCAACACTCCCACTGTTATAATGCGTGAAGCAGCAACACTTGGGGCTATTGCTATCCCGGTAAGCAGACAAATGGTACTTTTCCAGCTGTTCTCCTGGGTATCCAGGATGTTTCCAATGGGCCACTAACCAGAGGATAAAGACAGGTGGGTCCACATTAGGTCCAATACTTTTTACTGTCCTTCATGCAGAGGGGTAAGGGCTAGGAGAAGGGAATATCTTCAGTGCCTTCAAGGCTGGGACAAAATGGCAAAATCCCCATTGCTCTTCATCCAGAATGGAAATAGAATTTAAAAAAAAAGTATGTTCACTTTAATGGACTATTTTATATCTCTCTGCTAGACTTACAACAAACATGGAATAACACCTGCCCTGCTCACCCTCTAAGTGACAAGCAAAGACTGAGGAAAACTCAGAACGACTGTTCAGCGGCCCAAACTTCCTTATACGATTACAAGGTCCTCCAGGTGTGATATGTGGGTCTGATCAGGGTAAATTGTAGGGGTGATAAGGAAATGTGATGTATATATTCAGTTTTATCATATTTATTTACTGTATTGTTATAAGTGTTTTATTTTACTACTTGGGGTGTAATCAAGTCTTATCAAACCTTGTTGTTTGGTTTGGTATTGTGATATGGTCTAAGAGCTAATCAATAAAATGGATTGTACGATTACAAGGCCCTCCAGGTGTGATTGGACCGCTCCTTCCAGCATTCCTCACTCCTGGTTAGCAAGGAAGGCTTGTAGGCAATAATATCTGGATGGCTGCATGTGTTAGAGGGCCTGTCCAGACAGTCACTTTAGCCTATGAGCTCCTGCAGAAAACAGGAGGGTGGTCAGACACCATTCTCTCAAACAAAGAAGCAATGGCTACAAGCAGCAAAAAACACGAGGTTTTCAGGTGCAAGAATATCCCAGTTCTGAGCTGAAAATCTGCATCTTTGCATGTCTGTATGTCCCTGCATTCGGAAATCACGGGATTTTTTTTATCTAAGTTTGTTTCCAGGTTTAAGATATTTGTTCCTGATTGGTCAGTTCCTAAAAAGAAGATAACACTTGAGTACAAAGCAAAAACTTTGTTTGTGTGCCAGAAATTTAATAAAACGTGTGGAGGGCACATTTTCTCTGGCCAGGACAAAGTTTTGTGCCCCCCTAGTCAACGTTGTACATCTTTTTACAAGAAGAGCAATCAGGAACAGTTATCTATAACCCAGTAACTTGTTGTTCCATGCCACAAGGACACAATCAAATCTGTCTGTACAGATGGCCTGGCAGCCAGGCTCTAAAAAGTGTCAATAATGACAAAGTTCGGTTCCTGGCTTGAAAGTGTTTGTTCCTGTTTGATTGTGCAGTGCTGACTTGGGCAGAAGTAGTCCTACCCTGCAAACTTTATTTGAGTGGCAGAAACTACATTAAACATGTCGAGGGCAAAGTTTCTCTGGCCAGGACAAAAAAAATGGAACTTTTGCAGTAATTCGCATATCTGCATGTCTGCATCTTGAGGGTTATAAAAAAAAACTGCCAAAGTTTCTGGCGGACATCACAAAGCATCAAGTGTGGACGACGGTGGCAGAAATCCCGAGGCCAATATGTCTGTACATGGACCTCTTCTGAAGTCCCGAGATTTTTGGCCCCTCACTAAAACCCGTGATTTGGTGCTGTCTGGAAGCGCCCTGAGTCCTAATTTAAATCAGCATTTGACTCTTGTCTTTCTAGCACTCTCTCAACTATAGAACCGTGAGAGAGCCTCAGAATCAGAATGACAATGTTTTCATCATGAAGTTAATAGAAAAGGCTTGTTATTTTGTAAAGAGGAATAAAATGCAGAAAGGTGCAATGCTTACATTCTATTGCCTTGTTTGGATGCATTCCTTCAACATCGATTAGGTACCTAAATACGATAACAGGTACAAGAACAAAGAGGTAATACCAGGTTATATATTTGAAAACATAAAATTAAAGACAAAATGGGACTGGGAAGTCCCATATCTACACACATAATAAAAGTAAATATATGTATGTATGTGTGTGGCTTGGGTGTCAACTTACAAAAAGCTCCTACTTTCACAAATAGCTATCGCTTTCAGTGCTCAGGAGACACCAAAGGCCCTCCCTCCAAGGACACAACAGGTTATAGAGAGCGCCGTAAACATGTCCAAGAGCCCTGCCAATGTTCTCCACAAACACCACACTGCCCACCACCCAAATGAAGGCTTTCATACAGGGAGAATTTCATCCTAGATTCCTCCACCACAGGCATCCCAGTGTTTCTTACTCTCTCCATTAGTGTGGAATTTGCATGACTCCGCTCACTGACTCTCCCTTAACCCTTTCCTATTATTTTCTATGCCACACAGCAAACAGAGAAATTGATCAGCAACTCAAGAGAGGTTTGGGGAGAATTCACCATAATTTATAAGAGTTGTAGGTACTGGGATGTATAGTTCACCTGCAATCTAAGTGCACAAAGGTGGAATTGGACCAAACTTGGCATAGAGAGCCCCCATGACCAGCAAAAAAATACTCCAGGTCTTTGGGGAAAATTCACTTTGATTTGGAGAAGTTGTAATTCACCGACATCCAAAGAGCATTGTGAACCCAAACACTGATGGATCTGGACCAAACTTGGCACACATACCTGACATGCTGAAATTTGATTACTGGAGGGTTTGTTTTTTTTTGGTGGGGGGGGGGGGGGGGGGGGGGGGAGGACTGGCCTTCTATGTTTTGCCTATTTTTTGTGGTACAATTAGGTGCCTTGGTTTATATTTGGGCCGGCTTATACTCGTATATTATACGGGTATATTTATGTTATTTTATCCCTTTAATCCTATCTCAGCAGACTGGTGACTAGCATTCCTTTCCCAAAGAGCAGCCTACCTGCAAACCAGGTAACCCGTTCGGTTCAAGCCATGCGTACAGTGAACGCCAATGAGCTTGTCTAGGAATAACAAAAAATACAAGTTGAACAGGCATAAGCATACTATTTGCTAATTGTCAATAATGCTCACGTCATGCTCACCGTTGTGCTGGTTTTCTGCCAGAAACTTCTTCACAACACTCTTGAACTGATAAATTGTTTCATTACTAGGTACTTCATGGCCAACGGTCAAAATCTTACAATACTGCAGCGTGTCTGGCAGCTCCTGCAAGAATTAAGGAAAGAAAAGAGGTTGTAATATACCTCAGAACAGGCCAGCTACCTGGAACAATATTCACATTTCAAGGCAGAGAAAAGATTTGAAATTACTTGCAGCAGTGGGAGCAATTGCAAAAGGGCTCTGTGAAGCACATCTATCCCAGTGTTTCTCAACCTGGGGGTCAGGACCCCTGGAAGGATTGCGAGGGGGTGTCAAAGGGGTCACCAAAGATCATCAGAAAACACAGTATTTTCTGTTGGTCACGGATGTTCTGTGTGGGAAGTTTGGCCCAATTCAATCATTGGTGAGATTCAAAGGGATCTTTGATTGTGGGTGAACTATAAATCCCAGCAACTATAACTCCCAAATGTCAAATCTATTTTCCCCAAACTCCATCAGTGTTCACATTTGGTCATACTGAGTATTCCTGCCAAGCTACATCCATCATTGTTTGAGTCTACAGTGCTTTCTTGAGGAAGGTGAACTACAAATCCAAAACTCAAGGTCAATGCCCACCAAACCCTTCCAGTATTTTCTGTTGGTCATGGGAGAACTGTGTGCCAAGTTTGGTTCAATTCCATCATTGGTGGGGTTCAGAATGTTCTCTGATTGTTGGTGAACTATAAATCCCAGCAACTACAACTCCCAAATGACAAAATCAATCTCCTCAACCCCACCAGTATTCAAAATGAGGTGTATTGGGTATTTGTACCAAATTTGGTCCAGTGAATGAAAATACATTCTGTATATCAGATATTTACATTACAATTCCTAAAAGTAGCAAAATGACAGTGATGAAGTAGCATGAAAAATAATGTTATGGTTGGGGGTCACCACAACATGAGGAACTGTATTAAGGAAAGTTGAGAACCCTTGGTCTATCCTAAAGCTGAAGGTACAGCTCATAAATAGAACTGACCTTTGGCTGGTAATAGCGGGTGGTGTACGTCAAATCAATGATCAAACCCAGATCTTCCTTCTGCTCCCTGATTTGATTGATGAGGTCTTCTGGAGTAAAGCGCTCTTGTGGGGCGAGCTTAAATCCAAACCTCTGGAAAAAAAAGTCAGACAATTCAGCCATATCTTCTAAGCTGCCATCAATCTTTGGGACGTCTTTTGACCCATCAGAAGCAGAGTCCATATTTGCATAGTCAGGTATTCCTTGATTTTATCCCATGCTTTGTTCGCAAAGAGATTATTATTGTATACCTTCAAGGCAACTATACAAGTTACATTGTCAGACCATAGTTTTTACCCGCTCATCACTATTTAATTACAAGGACCAGAATGGAAATTAAACTTCTACCTACATTGCAACTTACCTCGTGAAGAGGAACTTTAAAGGCAATGAAGCGTGTCTTGGGTAGTCTTCTTCCAAGAGGTAAATAATGCGTCCATCTAGAAAAGAAACATTGCAATTTTCTACTACTGTACAAAAACAGATAGGAAAGGACAGGAGCAATCAGATGGACCAAGAGAAAGACTGCAAGAAGCAGACAGGCTAAAATGGAGAAAAATATTTTCATTCACCTACAAATCCCATCAGACATATTCAGCATCGTTATTTATTTATTATTATTTACAGCATTTATATACCGCTTTTCTCACCCTGAGGGGGACTCAAAGCCGTTTACACATAGATAATGGCAAAAATTCAATGCCTTACAACTACAATAAAACCACACTTTAAACATAGATCATATTAAAAACAGTACATCATCAAATCACTGTTCAACGGGGAAAAAGTTGCGGGCCTGAAGATAGTTTTCTTTTATGATTTTGGGGTGCTGAAAATGAAAATGACATTTAAAAATGTATATTGGCTCTAGTTTTTATGATATAAGCAATCACGTGATCACGTATGGTTGAAAAAATGCATGTTGCGACTTACACTATGGAAGATTCTAGAATATTCTAGAAAGTTTGATGACGCAGTATTAGTGCCGTGTGCAAAAGCCCGAAAGCCCTATATAAGGCCAGACTTTTGAACGGTGAGGGTCAGTCAGTTGAAGACTGAGACAGTATCGTTAAACATCGTTTTACATTGTTGTTTTCACTGTAGTTATGCCTCGCACGTGTGTAAATAAAGCACTATGGAAAAAAGATATCAAGGCAAATGGACTCCGTCAATGCTGTCAGACTACTGCTGGAGCATTGTAAGAGACAATCCTTTCCTTGAATACAAAAGAAAAGTCAAGAGAAGCAAACAGGATATAAACTAAAGTCACGATTAAAGCGACATTTAAACTTTCAGACTTTTCAACTGCATTAGGCCTACTAATATAGTTTCTTGCTGCACAAACATAAACAATAGACTAATTAAATAAATATTTCTCATGTATAAACTATTGGCAATATAATTTGACTAAAATTTAGTAAATATTCACGGTTTATATACATGCAGAAAGGTTAGGCGCATTATTAACGAATTACCTATTGTGGAGAAAATTAAAATAGCAGTTGCATAAAAACCAGAGCCAATTAACACATTTAATTATTATATTTGAATTCAGCATGTTAAATTTATTAAGAAACGGCACATTTCGTTTCCGCAACTGAGAAAAACTGAAAATTTGTAGAATATCAAAAGTTATTAAAACCATAAAACAATCCCATCAGTCGAGTCACTGTTCCAGTCCTTGCCCCACTAAAAGCTGCATACATCTATTGTCCGAAAGCCTGGTCCCAGAATCATGATTTTAATTTTTTCTAAAGGTCAGGAGCGAGGGAGCAGATCTTACCTCCTTTGGGAGTGTGTTCCATAGGCAGGGGGCTACAGCCAAGAAGGCCATGCTCCTCATCCCTGCCAGCCACATTTGCGCTGTTGACGGGAACGAGAGCAGGGCCTCCTCGGATGATCTTAAATTGCGAGATGGGACATAGGGGCAGATGCGTTCTGACCGTATAGAGCTTTATAGGTCAAAACCAGCACTTTGAATTGGGCTCGGAGATGGACTGGCAGCCAGTGGAGCTGGCATAACAGGGGGGTGGTATGCTCCCTGTATGCGGCCCAGTTAGTAATCTGACTGCCGCCCGTTGAACTAACTGAAGTTTCCGAACCGTCTTCAAAGGCAGCCCCATATAGAGCATGTTGCAGTAATCTATTCGGGATGTAACAAGAATTTACCAGTAGTTTCTGCATTTCCCACTTCGGCTTATACTTATGTGGAGATTGGGTCCACATTGACTTTAAATGTTTTTAGGATTGACATTTATTGCTCTGCATTCCTTTCTATGCCTTTATTTTTGCACATTCTTGAAAGTGCAAGAGTGAGCACCTGAGCACAGAATCGAACTCTGATGTCTGGAGCAGTATAGATTACTTGGCCAAACTTCAGAAATGTTATATTAGTTAAAGCTTGCTCTGGCACTTGCAATTTAGTATATTAATTGTACATGCATTATCTAGCTGCTGTCTTCCCATGTGTACTATTGGGTTCATTTATGGGGCACAGCTTAATTAACTCACCACACTGAAGTCATTTCAGATTATTGGGTTAAAAAAGCAATCTAATGTATGATGAAGAGTCTGAAAGACACAAGCAGGTACCCACACTGTCTTCCTTTTATAGGGATTTGAAGACTTGGATGTTTAAACAAGCCTTTGAGAATGTGTAAGATAAAAGTAGGCTCTGAATTGGGGAATCTTTGCAGAAGTCAAAGTGTCGGTTACATTTGTGTATTGTGTGGATTTTGTCGCTGCCTGTTTTTGTGCTGGGCTTTGGGTCCGAGTTCTGCAGCCTGGAGTTCCTGTTCCTGTGTGTGTTCGACTTGGACTGACTTCTCGTGAGTGTGGTTTTCTCCCTTCCTGGATCTCAGATTGGTTTGACGAAGACACTGCTTGACGGACTTGGAAACGACACTTCTTTGGATTTCACCTATGACGACTCCTGGACTTTGTCTGGCTTTGGTTACTCTTTCGGCGGTTTATCTTTGCTGTTAACTGTTTGAGTGCGGCGTTGTTTGTTTGCCACTAAGTACTGCATTTAATCCAGTTCTTTTCTCTGGTTAATCCGAATTATGTTTCTGTTTGCTTTTTAAACCAAGGTTGGCTAATTTTTTGAGTTTTAGCCAGAGGCACTGAAGTTAAGTTTCTCTGAGCTTCTGTGTTTTTGTTGCATTAAACTGTACTTTGGAACGAATACTTTGTGTGGCCCCTTTAAGGCGTCTGTGTCTCGACAGTTTGAGTCCACAGTGATCTCTGGATGTAGGTGGACTACAACTCCAAAACCAAAGGACACTGCCCACCAAACCCTTCTAGTGTTTTCTGTTAGTCATTATTATTATTATTATTATTATTATTATTATTAACTTTATTTATACCCCGCAAAATCTCCCGAAGGACTCGATGCGGCTTACAAAGGCCAAGGCCGCAACAAACAACATACAAATATAACATAAAACTCATAAGGAAATAATAAAACATCAAGCAAAGACAATAAAACACTAAAAACAATGACACATGATGCATTTAAAATCTAAAAGGCCGGGCCAAATGTAATGGACAAAATTTAAAAGGGCTGAACTTGACAGGAGGTATGTAGAGGTTTTTTGGAGGTAAGTGCAATGTGCAGACAATCCTAGTCTCTAACAAAGTGCATTTGGGACATGATGCCAGGAGTTTCCTAATCTGTAAAGGCACACTGGAACAGCCAGGTCTTCAGGCTCTTCCTAAAAATTGCCAATGTTGGGGCTTGTCTGATGTCCTTGGGGAGTGTTCCAGAGTCGGGGGGCTACCACAGAGAAGGTCCTGTCCCTCGTCCTCACCAAACTCGCTTGCAACGCAGGTGGGATCGTGAGCAGGGCCTCTCCAGATGATCGAAGGGAACGTGTGGGTTCATATATGGAGATCTGTGTGCCAAGTTTGGTTCAATTCCATCGTTGGTGGGGTTCAGAATGTTCTTTGGTTGCAGGTGAACTATAAATCCCAGCAACTATAACTCCCAAATGATAAATGGTGGTCCCTCGGCTGTGGAACACCCTTCCCACGGACATTAGACTAGCACCATCTCTAATGATATTCCGCTGTTCAAGCAGGCGTTCGAATAATTAGTGCAGTGATTGGTAATGAATATAGGAATGGAACAACGGAAGACGAATTTGGATTATGTTTTGGATGATGAGACGACGCTGAATGGTTATCGTAGTAATGGTGTTAAATATGTATAGTGTTAGGTTGTGAATTGTTTTTATTCTGTAGTTTTGAATCTTGCTGTTCTTGTTTGTTGTACACCGCTGTGAGTCGACCCCGGGCTGAGAACAGCAGTATATAAGTAAAGTAAATAAATAAATAAAATGATAAATAATAAAGTCAATTTTTTTGAGTGAAGGACATGCATTGGATTGTTAGGTGTCTTGTGTCCGAATTCGGTGACAATTCGTCCAGTGGTTTTTGAGTTCTGTTAATCCCACAAACGAACATTACATTTTTATTTATATAGATATTATTTTGTATTGCTTTGTATTGTTGTTATTGCGTTTCTGTTGTGATGTGTTGTTGGGCTTGGCCTCATGTAAGTCGCTCCGAGTCTCTTGGGGGGATGGTGGCGGGGTATAAATAAAGTTTTATTACATTATTATTATTATTATTATTATTAGGTTCTTGTAGGTTTTTTCGGGCTATAGGGCCATGTTCTAGAGGCATTTCTCCTGACGTTTCGCCTGCATCTATGGCAAGCATCCTCAGAGGTAGTGAGGTCTGTTGGAATTAGGAAAATGGGTTTATATATCTGTGGAATGGCTGGGGTGGGGCAAAGAGCTCTTCCCTGCTGGAGCTAGGTGTGAATGTTTCAACTGATCACCTTCATTAGCATTTGAAGGCCTGCCTGAGCCTGGGAAAATCTCTTGCTGGGAGGTGTTAATCTGTGCCTGGTTGTTTCCTCTCTGTTGTTTTGCTGTTGTAATTTTAGAGTTTTTTAATACTGGTAGCCAGATTTTGTTCATTTTCATGGTTTCCTTTCTGTTGAAATTGTCCACATGCTTGTGTATTTCAATGGCTTCTCTGTGTAGTCTGACATGGTGGTTGTTGGAGTGGTCCAGCATTTCTGTGTTCTCAAATAATATGCTGTGTCCAGGCTGGTTCATCAGGTGCTCTGCTATGGCTGACTTCTCTGGTTGAAGTAGTCTGCAGTGCCTTTCATGTTCCTTGATGCGTGTTTGGGCAGGGCGCTGCGTTTGGTGGTCCCTATGTAGTCTTGTCCACAGCTGCATGGTATACGGTAGACTCCTGCAGAGGTGAGAGGATCCCTCTTGTCCTTTGCTGAACGTAGCATTTGTTGGATTTTCTTGGTGTGTCTGGAGATAGTTTGTATGTTGTGTTTCCTCATCAGTTTCCCTCCATGGTCAGTGGTTCCCTTGATGTATGGCAAGAACACTTTTCCTCTGGGTGGGTCTTCGTCTTGAATTTCGTGGGTTGCTCTCAGTCTTGCAGCTCTTCTGATGTCTGAGGGGGAGTCTCCATTGTGGTCATTCCACAGATATATAAACCCTTTTTCCTAGTTCCAACAGACCTCACTACCACTGAGGATGCTTGCCATAGATGCAGGCGAAACGTCAGGAGAAATGCCTCTAGAACATGGCCATATAGCCCGAAAAAACCCACAACACCCCCCCCCCCCCCCCCCCCCCCCCCACCCCCCCCCCCCCCCCCCCCCCCCCCCCCCCCCCCCCCCCCCCCCCCCCCCCCCCCCCCAACCCCCCGAAAAAAACCACAAGAACCTAGTGATTCCAGCCATGAAAGCCTTCGACAATACATTAATTTAAATACTTTCACATTACCACAATCAGTGGATTTTGGTCTCCACGGTTTTAGATGAACCAATTTTTCTTTTCAGTTTTACCTTCGATGCCAGGCATGGGCCAACTTCGGCCCTCCAGGTGTTTTGGACTCCAACTCCCACAATTCCTAACAGCCGGTAGGCTGTTAGGAATTGTGGGAGTTGAAGTCCAAAACACCTGGAGGGCCCAAGTTGGCCCATGCCTGGCCTAGGCTCTCCCTTCTTTCAGGTTGGGCCAGGAAGGCTCTATGTACTCCGTTCTCAGGTTCTTACCTATCCGGTAGCTTGTTCTTCTTTCCCATTTCCGTCCCTCAGGCCTCTGCTTCCAACGAGGCGCTCCCCTCGATTACCTTCCTACCAAAGTCGGTTAAACATCCGCTTCCGTTTTTTTGCGCCGACGTGCTGGGATGACGTCACCGCGTCAGGACACGGGAGGCTCGGCGTCCAATCAGCGTCAAAGGAAAAAAAAGAGAAGCGCGCATGCGCATAAGAGGCTGAGGCCTGCCTGGCTGGCGGCCGGGGCTAAAGTGAGAGTCTCTCCTGCTTGTTTTCCTCTTCTCTCGGTGTCTCTCCATTCAAGCCCCGTCGGGATCGAGGCCGCTCTTAAAGGTGAGTGAAGGCCCTTGGGCAACTCTGCACATGCTCAACAGAGGCCCTGTTCCAATAGCATTCTCTCCTGACGTTTCGCCTGCATCTGTGGCAAATGGCACCTTCAGAGGGTCTTCAACAGAAAGGAGGAAACCATTAAAATGAACAAAATCTGGCTAGCAGTATTTAAAAAACTCTAAAATTACAACAACAAAACAACAGAGAGGAAACAATCAGGCACATCTAATCACCTCTCAACAAAAGATTGCCCCAGGCACTGCCAGGCCATCAAATGCTAATCAAGGTGGTCAGTTGAAACATTCACACCCAGCTCCAACAGACAAGAGTTCTTTGCCCCACCCTGGTCATTCCACAGATATATAAACCCATTTTCCTAGTTCCAACAGACCTCACAACCTTTGAGGATGCTTGCCATAGATGCAGGCAAAACGTCAGGAGAGAATGCCTCTACACCATGGCAAATAGCCCGAAAAAACTACAACAACCCAGTGATTCCGGCCATGAATCATTATATTATATATATCTGTGGAATGACTAATGTGGGACAAAGGATTCCTGTCTGTTGGAGCTAGGTGTGAATATAAACCCATTTTCCTAGCTCTAACAGACCTCACAACCTTTGAGGATGCTTGCCATAGATGCAGACAAAACGTCAGGAGAGAATGCCTCTAGAACATGGCCATATAGCCCGAAATAACCTACAACAATTCAGAGGGTCTGTTGGAAATGAGGCATGTGTATATATACCAGTGGAATGATGTCCAGGGTGGGAGAAAGAAGGCTTGATTAGCATTGAGTAGCCAAGAAGTTTGCAAAGTGAATCGGAAGGAACAATAGCGTCAAACTACAAGAAAGGAGATTCCACCTGAACATGAGGAAGAACTTCCTGACTGTGAGAGCCGTTCAGCAGTAGAACTCTCTGCCCCGGAGTGTGGTGGAGGCTCCTTCTTTGGAAGCTTTTAAACAGAGGCTGGATGGCCATCTGTCAGGGGTGCTTTGAATGCAATTTTCCTGCTTCTTGGCAGGGGGTTGGACTGGATGGCCCATGAGGTCTCTTCCAACTCTATGATCCTATGATTCTGCATAGAGGTAGCCTGGCCTCAGTTGCATGGAGGCATCCTCTGTTTGGGGATCCTCTGTTTAGCACTTGATTATTTACTGTCTGGAGTTCCTTTGGTTCTTTATTTACTGCCTTGATTCTGGTGTGTTTTTAATACTGGTGGCCAGATTGTGTTCATTATCATGGTTTCCTCTTTTCTGTTGACATTGCCCTTGTGCTTGTCTGTTGGAGGCAAGTGTGAATGTTTCTATTAAGCAAAATAATAATAATAATAATAATAATAATAATCTTTATTTATACCCCACCACCATCTCCCCAAAGGAGTCTCAGAGCGGCTTACATGAGGCCAAGCCAAGAAATGCATTACAACAAAATAAAACCAAAACACAAAATAAACATCGCAATAAAATAAATAAAACATAATAATACACTAAAATAATGCAAAATACAGTAATAAATAAATCACAATCACAGTGAGCGGGCCACATGTGAAAAGTAAAATGATAAAAACTCAGGATGAGATAGAAATAAAACACAAATATTTGTGAAGGAAAAACTCATTGGAAAACGGAGTAATGGAGACAGACCTTCAAACAGGCAGTGTGGGGACAGGCATTATGAGGGAGCGAACAGAAGGAGATGTAGGCTCACTCTCCAAAAGTGCAGCGGAAAAGCCAGGTCTTGAGACCCTTCTTGAAGGCTGCTAGAGTGGGGGCTTGCCTAATCTCACCAGGCAATGAATTCCAGAGTTGTGGGGCCACAGAGGAGAAGGCTCTCTCCCTCGTTCCCATAAGTCGGGCCTGTGAGAAAGGAAAGGGCGAAAGGAGGGCCTCTCCTGAAGATCAAAGAGAGTGGGCCGGTTTGTGGAAGGAGATGCGGTCATGAAGGTAGGTAGGTCCTAAACTGTTTAGGGCTTTATAGGTGATGACCCTTGAATTTGGACCGTAAAATAAACGGCAGCCAATGGAACTCCTTAACAAGAGCGTTGACCGCTCTCTGTAATTCGCCCTGGTTATTAATCTAGCTGCTGAACATTGAACCAGTTGGAGTTTCCGGGCCGTCTTCAAGGGTAGCCCCACATAGAGTGTACTGCAATAGTCCAATCTAGAGGTAACTAAGGTGTGGACCACCGTGGTCAAGTCAGGCTTCACAAAGTATGGTCGCAGCTGGCGCACAAGTTGTGCGAAGGCCCTCCCGACCACCGCCGACACCTGCGCATCAAGCGTCAGCGCTGAATCCAGGAGGACCCCCAAGCTGCGGACCTGTGACTTCAGAAAGGAGGAAACCATGAAAATGAACAAAATCTGGCTTCCAGTACAGTAAAGTCTTGCTTATCCAACCTTTGCTCATTCAACGTTTTGTATTATCCAACTCAGTCTATCTCCCGCCCGGATCCATGGCTGTTTCAATACATTGCGATGTTTTGGTGCTATATTCGTAAATACAGTAATTACTACATAATTTTACTGTGTATTGAACTGCTTTTTATGTTGATTTGTTGTCAAACATGATGTTTTGGTGCTTAATTTGTAAAATCATAAGGTAATATGACATTTAATAGGTTTTTCATTAATCTGTCCTCATTATCCAACATTTTTGCTTATCGGAACATTCTGCTAGCCCGTTTGTGTTGGATAAGTAAGACTCTACTGTACTAAAAAAACTCTAAAATCAGAACAGTAAATAAAGAGCAACACTCAGAAAATATGGAAGAACCATGGCCAGTTAACTCCTCCCAACAAAGAATTCCCCCAAGCAGGAATCAGCCAGGTGAGTAATTGCAGCATTCACACTGGCCTCCAACAGACAAGAGTTCTTTCTCCCACCATGGGCCTTCCACATATATTGCTTAGGTAAAGGTAAAGGTTGTCCCCTGACATTAAGTCCAGTCATGTCTGACTCTGGGGTGTGGTGCTCATCTCCATTTCTAAGCCGAAGAGCCGGCGTTGTCCGTAGACACCTCCAAGTTCATGTGGCCGGCATGACTGCATGGAGCTCCGTTACCTTCCCGCCGGAGCGGTACCTAGTGATCTACTCACATTTGCATGTTTTTGAACTGCTAGGTTGGCAGAAGCTAGGGCTGACAGCGGAAGCTCATGCCGCTCCCCGGAATCGAACCTGCGACGTTTCGATCAACAAGCTCAGCAGCTCAGTGCTTTAGCCCACTGCGTTGCTTAGTTTACAATATACCTCACAACCTCTGAGGATGCCTGCCATTGATGTGGGTGAAACTTCAGGAGAGAATGCTTCTGGAACATGGCCATACAGCCTGAAAAACACCTCAACCCAAGGATACTACTGTCCACTTCTCAAACATTTGGATTGAGTTACCTTATGGACCCAGGTAGTCCCATGGTATAGGATTTACTATATATATAGTAAATACATATAGTTATATATATAAAACAGCGCTCCATGCAGCCATGCCAGCCACATGACCTTTGAGGTGTCTACGGACTCTTTGGCTTAGAAATGGAGATGAGCACCACACCCCAGAGTTGGACATGAGTGGACTTAATGTCAGGGGAAAACCTTTACCTTTTATATACATAGGAATGCACAAGATCAACTCCTGGAAATATTGGGAGGTGCTTCTGTGGGCCCAAACTCATAGCAGATTCTAAATTTACAGACCCAGGCTCCAATCTGTATCAGCAGCTCCTCAGAAATAAACACCAGATGTGTGAAGAAGCCAATTTCTTGGTGCTGCTCTCTTCCTTCCTGCCAGGGACCAGGATGAGGGGCAAGAGGAGTCCTTTGCCCCAACGGCGTTAGCAGCCAAAGACGTGGAGACATGTCATACCGAGGCAACGAACGCGATTTCCAGACCTCTGCACGGAAAATGGGGACCTCCCTGCTTTTCCAGCTGTCGGTCCACGAGAGAGAGCTGGATCTGGTCTTCCTGGATCACAGCTATGCCAAGCCCTGGAGTGCCCACCCAGATGCCAGCAATGCCCGCCCTACCCGCCTGCTCTTTGTGACACCTAAGAGGCACCAAGACAGCGGCACCATGTGAGTGTCACTCGTCTGTCTCGCTGTCTGTGCATGTTGACTTAGGAAGATCTCTTGACTTAGAAACCTACAGGATCCCCAGTCCCAATCTTGCAAATTCTGGGAAACTGCGGCTACTTGGATTGAATCAGTCCATCTGTATTGTAGTTTCTCTTTGAACTCTCTCTTCCTTCCACTTTCCCAAGCATTATGGTCTTTCCTAAGAAGTAGCATTGTTTCATGCTATGACCATAATAGAGTAATCTCGGCCATCTTCAGAGAATCCAGGCTTGGTTTGTTCTCGGATCCATATGTTTGTCTTTTTAGTGATCTGTGGTCTTTTCTAGCTCTACTTTTCAAATTATTTGACAACCCCCCCCCCCCTCCCCGTATTGTCCTTTACTGTCCAGTTTTCAATTCCACAGAGAAATCTATATAAATAAAAATGTAATGTTTATTTGTGGGATTAACAGAACTCAAAAACCACTGGATGAATTGACACCAAATTTGGACGCAAGACACCTAACAACCCAATGTATGTCCTTCACTCAAAAAAAATGATTTTGTCATTTAGGAGTTGTAGTTGCTGGGATTTATAGTTCACCTACAGTCACAGAGCGTTCTGAACCCCACCGTATTCCGTGCTATAACTGCTGAGTTTAGTCTAGACACCCCCCCCCCCCCGGGAGTCACAAGGGGGTGCCAGAGGAATCGCCAAAGACCATCAGAAAACACAGTATTTTCTGTTGGTCATGGGGGTCCTGAATGGGAAGTTTGGCCCAATTCTATCCTTGGCGGAGTTCAGAATACTGTTTGATTGTAGATGAACAATAGATCCCAGCAACTACTACTCCCAAATATCAAGCTCTATTTTCCCCTAACTCCACCAGTATTCAAATTTGGACAGATCGGGTATTTGTTCAAAGTTTGGTCCAGATCCATCATTGTTTGAGTCCACAGTGCTCTCTGGATGTAGGTGAACTACAACTCTAAAACTCAAGGTCAGTGCCCACCAAACCCTTCCAGTATTTTTTGTTGGTCATGGGAGTTCTGTGTGCCAAGTTTGGTTCAATTCCATCGTTGGTGGAGTTCAGATTGCTCTTTGATCATAGATGAACTATAAATCCCAGCACTACAACTCCCAAATGACAAAATCCATCCCTCTCCAACCCCAACAGTATTCAGATTTGGCCGTATTGGGTATCTGTGCAAAATTTTGTTCAGTAAATGAAAATACATCCTGCATATCAGATTACATTATGATTCATAACAGTAATAAAATGACAGTTATGATGTAGCAACGAAAATACTTTTTATGTATTTTTGTTGGGGGGTCACCACAACATGAGGAACTGTGTGAAGGGGTCACGGCATTAGGAAGGTTGTGAACCATTGGTTTAGTCCATGGTGTGTTCTATGCAGACATTATGTCACTTAGGTTTTCTTGTTAAGAGGACATTAACCAGCTGGAAGCAGTGGTTATGTTCCCTGAAATGGCAATGTCTCCGTCCAGTGAGGCTGATGTCCCTATTGATGTGGAAACGGTGACCCCTACGCCAGTTCCACTGTACGACAACCAGAAGGCCCGGACGGTGATGAACGAGTGTGAACGACACGTGATCTTTGCTCGCACTGATACGGACACCCCGCCTCCCCCAGATGACTGGGAGGAACATATGAACAGGTAACGAATGGGAGGAGAAGTGGTGAGTAGTAGAAGGGAGGAAATAAACATTGGTTCCCCATTGACGCCATGCTTTTCAACTCTGACTTATCCAAACCCTAGTTCAGAGCCAGGAACAACTGGGTTGTTGGCTGGGTTATTTGTCGGCTGGGTTCAGTGCTCTCTGGATAAGGGTGAACTACAACTTCTAGATTCCCAGGGTAACCACATCCAAACCCTACCTGTATGCACAGTTGGCCATGTTGATTCTGTGTGCCACATTTGATCCAGAATTGTTATCGGCTGGGTTCGATGCTTTCTGAATGCAGGGTAAACTACAACTCCCACATGTGTGGATCAGTTCCCCAAATCCCTCCATTATGTTATGCTCTGGGGAGGCCCTGCTCTCGCTCCCGCCTCCTTTGCAGATGTGTCTGGCGGGGACAAGAGACACGGCCTTCTCAGCGGTGGCCCCTCGACTGTGGAATGCCCTACCTAGAGATATAGGATCAGCTCCCTCCCTCCTGACTTTTCGAAAAAAGGTGAAAACCTGGCTTTTTGAGCAGACCTTCCCAAATACGGAATAGCTAAATGGAATTATGGAACTACTTGATAATGCAATGGAATAATGATTTGACATGAAGACACTCACAATAATGTTTTAAGTTTTTGTATGGTTTTTATATTTTTTTTTATATCATATGCTGTTGTTTTTAACAGAATTTCTTGATTGTTTTTACTTGTTATAGTTGTTGAGGCATTGAATTGTTGCCAATTTGTGAACCTCTCCGAGTCGCCTCTGGGCTGAGAGGAGCAGTATATAAATATAGTAAACAAATAAATGTTGGTCATGGGGTCTGTATGCCAAGTTTGATCCAGATCTGTCATTGGTGGGGTTCAGAATGCTCTCTGGATGCAGGGTGAACTACAACTCCCACGCAAGTGGGTCAGTTCTACCAAAATCCCTCCCCTATGTTCTGTTGGTCATGGGGGGGGGGGGGGGGTGTCTGTGTGGCATGTTTGGTCCAGGACCCTCACTCATGCGGGTCACAGTGATCTCAGGACATGAATGAAGGTACTGCAAGTCCCATCATCCATGGTTCATCCTCCTCCTAAAGGGTTAAGGGAGAGGCAGTGGGCGGGGTCATACAAATTACACACCAATGGCAAGAGTAAGAAACACTGGGATGCCTGTGGTGGAGGAAAAACAAATTCTGGGATGAAATGAAAGCCTTCACTTGGGTGGTGGGCAGTGTGGTGTTTGTAGAGGACATTGGCAGGGCTCTTGGACATGTTCATGGCGCTCACTATAACCTACAGTGTCATTGGAGGGAGGACCATTGGTGTCTCCTGAGTGGTGGGAATTATAGTTGTTTGTCTGTGTAAGTGGACACCCCAGCCAGACACACACAGGCATATTTTCACTTTTATTATGTGTGTAGATTACAAAACCTGGTTTTTTGGTTTCCCTTGCAGATCTGGCTGGACAGTGGCTCAGAACAAGCTCTTCAATAAAATCCTCAAGGCTTTGCAGTCGGACAGACTGGCCCGGCTAGCTAACGAAGGGGTAAGGGCTCCTTCATTCTCTCTGTATTGGTCCATCTGATGGATGTAGGGCATGTTTACATCATTCAATGAAGAGGGATCTTCACTAGGGCCAGCAAAATATTCTCAATGAGGACACTGAAACACTGTTTTTTTAAAAAAAAAATCAGGATGATTTGCACTTGACTCGTGCACCAGCATGTCTATGCTTTCCCTTTTCATGTCAGGAAGAGTTCTCCCTCAACCTGTCTGACCGAGATGTGAGGTTTTTAACACCAAGCTGTGTCCCTTCAGTTTGGACTTTGTTTTGTCGGCATCCCTTTCAGTCTTTCTGTTTTCTGTTCTGCAAGGCTTGCAATGAACCAGTCCTCAGAAGGATCGCAGTGGACAAATGTGCCCGACGAGTCCGTCAGGCTTTGGCCAGCATCAGTTGGGACAGCAAACTCATCCAGTGGCTGCATTCGACTCTGGTGGAGACCCTCAGTTTGCCCATGCTGGCTGCATACCTGGATGCCCTGCAGACTCTGAAGGGGAAGGTGATGAGCATGAAGTGTTTATAGTGTGTGCATGTGTGTATGTTCATGTGCCTATATACCATATATACTTGAGTATAATCTGAGTTTTTCAGCTCTTCCTTTAGGATGAAAAAGCCCCGCTCAGCTTATACTGGATTCAAAGTTATTTATTATTTTATTCTATTTTTATTATAACATTTATGTTAGTTTACTCTATTATTAATATTTTTATTACATTTATTATTTTACTCTATTTTTATTATTACATTTATATTATTTTACTCTATTAGTTTTATCAAATTTATTGTTTTATTCTATTAGTATTACATTTATTATTTTACTCTATTATTACTGTTACTACATTTCCATTATTTTATTCTATTATTAGAGTAAAATTATTAGAGTTATTTATTATTTTACTCTGTTATTAATATTTTATTACATTTATGTTATTTTACTCTATTTTTATTATTACATTTATGTTATTTTACTCTATTATTTTTATCAAATTTATTATTTTATTGTATTAGTATTACATTTATTATTTTACTCTATTATTACTGTTACTACATTTCCATTTTTTACTCTATTATTATTATTGTTATTTGTACATTTACATTATTTTACTCTATTTATTATTGTCATTATTACATTTACTATTTTACTCTATTACTGTTATTATTACATTTACATTATTTTACTCTGTTATTATTATTTTTATTATATTTATTATTTTACTCTATTATTATTATATTTGCATTATTTTACTCTATTAATAATTTTGTTACATTTATTATTTCACTCTATTTTTATTATTACATTTATATTATTTTACTCTATTTTTATCACATTTATTATTTTACTCATTATTAGTATTACATTTATTATTTTACTCTAATATTACTGTTGCTACATTTACATTATTTTACTCTATTATTTTTATTACATTTATTATTTTACTCTCTTTATTATTATTGGAAATATTCGTAAGCTTAAGCGTCTGAAGGGAAAAAAGAAACGGCCTGAGGCCTGGAATTGTGGAAGTTAAAGTGCAAAACACCTAGAGGGCAGAAGTTTTCCCATGCCTTCTGTAGATAGTGCTCTTGTCCAACAGACAAGAGAGGTATGAGAGGCATGGAGTGGGGTTCCCTCAACAGCTTTTTTGTCTTTTTCAGATTCCCACCCTGATCGACCGGATGTTGTTGTCTTCCACTGCAAAGACAGGGGCTGCTGGGGCTGAGGCCTTGTCTCTCTTGCTCAAGAGGCCCTGGGATCCTGCTGTGGGCGTCCTTTCGCATAACAAACCAGTAAGCACGTTGTGGGGCTCAAAATACCAAAGGATATTAGGGATACAAATGGCCAGTCCTATGTTGGATTTCTGATGATTGGATTTAAATACTTGCTCCCTTGAAGGGCTGTTCCTAGACCCCAGTGGTTGAAGGGGTGGATCTGTTGGGCGAGTGGGCTCATAACGAAAAATCCTCCTGATAAATGCACATCAGAGTAACTTATTAGCAGTGTGACCCAGTACCAGTAGCCCAAGGTGATAAAAAGAACAAAAACACACAGACCAATGTTCTCTTCCTTAGGAGGTTTTCTTTGTAGTAAAATTATATTTATTTATTTATTTATTTTATTTTTTATTTATCGTGTCAGGAGCAACCAGACATTTGTATTATATTTTTAACAAAACAAACAGACAAAACACAAAGTTTGCAAGCTTGTTAGTTGATTAAATGTCCTTTGACCAGTATCTGGCCACTTGGAGTGCCTCTGGTGTTGCTGCAAGAAGGTCCTCCCTTGTGCATGTGGCAGGGCTCAGGTTGCGTTGCAGCAGGTGGTCAGTGGTTTACTCTTCTTCACACTCGCATGTCGAGGATTCCACTTTGTAGCCCCATTTCTGAAGGTTGGCTCTGCATCTCGTGGTGCCAGAGCTCAGTCTGTTCAGCACCTTCCAAGTCGCCCAGTTTTCTGTGTGCCCAGGGGGGAGTCTCTCATTTGGTATCAGCCATTGATTGAGGTTGTGGGTTTGAGCCTGCTACTTTTGGACTCTCGCTTGCTGAGGTGTTCCAGCTCGTGTCTCTGTAGTTCTTAGAAAACTATTTCTTGATTTAAGTTGTTGATGTGCTGGCTGATACCTAAACAAGGTATGAACTGGAGATGTCACTGCCCTGGTGCTTTCACTATTGGTTGCTACTTCCCGACGGATGTCAGGTGGTGCAATACCGGCTAGACAGTGTCGTTTCTCCAGTGGTGTAGGGCGCAGACACCCCGTGATAATGCGGCATGTCTCATTAAGAGCCGCATCCACTGTTTTAGTGTGGTGAGATGTGTTCCACACTGGGCATGCGTACTCAGCAACAGAGTAGCATAGCGCAAGGGCAGATGTCTTCATGGTATCTGGCTGTGATCCCCAGGTTGTGCCAGTCAGCTTTCGTATGATATTGTTTCTAGCACCCACTTTTTCCTTGATGTTCAGGCAGTGCTTCTTGTAGGTAAGAGCGCGGTCCAGAGTGACTCCCCGGTATTTTAGGTGCGCTGCAATGCTGCAATGGGATTCCTTCCCAGGTAATCCTCAGAGCTCAGGATGCTTGTCTGTTCTTAAGGTGAAAAGCACATGTCTGTGTTTCAGATGGATTAGGGATCAGTTGGTTTTCCCTGTAATAGGCAGTAAGAGCATCTAGAGCTTCGGTGAGCTTCTGTTCAATCATCTCAAAGCTCCCTGCTTGAGCAGTAATGGCATGATCATCAACATAGATGAAACTCTCTGTCCCTTCTGGCAGTGGCTGGTCATTTGTGTAAATGTTGAACATGGATGGAGCAAGCACGCTCCCCTGAGGCAAGCCATTCTTCCGTTTCCGCCATCTGCTTTTCTGCCCCTGGAACTCAACAAAGAAGCTCCTGTTTTGTAAAATTATATGGTTGCACTATTTAAAAGAACAAGGTTTTAATAACACAAATAAATTTCTTCACGCTTCCTTCTTTCCTTCCACGTTGTGCTCCTTTCTCATGCAGATAAACAGCTTTGCTCTCGTAGAGCCTCCTCTCACACTGAAGTTACACAGGAGCTTCACACAGTAGCTTTGCACGCAGAGCAGCCTTCACACACGATAGCCTTCAACCTGGGGCTTCTCTCACCAAAGCTTCACACACACTGAGGCATTTCTCCCACTGAGGGCTCTCTCAAATTGACGTGTCTCACATTCTGAGGCAAACTAACTAATACTGAGGCCTACCTAACACACTGAGGCCCTTCTCCCACAGAGACCTCTAACAGAGGGAACTAAGCTACAGGCACACCTACCTACATTGAAGTACAGCTTTTGCTGAGTCATTGTATCTATTTAAACCTTTCAGTGTTCGACTGTGGAGCCCCCAGTGGCGCAGTGGGTTAAACCCCTGTGCCGGCAGGACTGAAGACCGACAGGTTGCAGGTTTGAATGCGGGGAGAGGCGGATGAGCTCCCTCTATCAGCTCCAGCTCCTCATGCGGGGACATGAGAGAAACTTCCCACAAGGATGATAAAAACATCAAATAATCCAGGCGTCCCCTGGGCAGTGTCCTTGCAGACGGCCAATTCTCTCATACCAGAAGCGACTTGCAGTTTCTCAAGTCACTCCTGGCACGATTTTAAAAAAAAAGTGTTCGACTCTGTTTTTGTAATGAAAAATACCTAGTTAATTTTAAATATTTCTGGAAGAATCTTCTCAAAAAGAGAAGGGGTTTTCCGTTCTCTTTATGGCTTTTCATCTCACTTGGTTTTGTTTTTCAAGGGCAAGCTGCCTGGCTCCCCACTTATCCTCCTGGCGGCCTCCGGACCATCCAACTCCATGTTCCCCACTTCACGTCGGCATCGGTTTTGGCAGTCGCAACTCTCTTGCTTGGGAAAGGTTGGTGGCGTTGCGCTGTTCTCCTTCTTTGTGTGTGGATTTTTCTCATTGTTCCATTTATTACACTTATTTCTGTCCTGCTTTCCCTCCCACACACTGGGACCCAAGGCAGTTCTAAAGGGGTTTTTTTTGTTTTTTAAATGATTTTTTTTAGAATATTATAAAGTTACATCGAAAGAGGGGAAATATTTATAAGAAGATAGAAAAGTCGGAAAATAGGAAATAAAAAAACAAAAGGGAAGAAAAAATTACCACCCACTTCCCACCAACCGTCCCTTTTTCTTTTTTTATCAGACACGTAAAGAGGGGGAACAATACTGGTAATAGGAAAGTAGGAAATTGGTAAAGAAGAAAGAAAGAGAAAAAGAAAAAAAAAGTGAAGGACATAGTTTATGGTGCGGAGCTTCCAGTCCATTCCACAGAAATGTGAGCTTCAGTTTGAAAACCAAAATAAAAAATGTTTTCTTTATGTCGTCGCTATCCGAATATTTTGATTATCTTATTTATATATTAATATTAATCTTCATTTTTTCCTGCAAGTACTTTTTGAGTTGGTTCCAATCGGTTTGATTTTCCTTTTTCTGATTTTTAATTATCTGTGACAGTCTATCCATATTCATAAACTCTCCAATCTTGGAGAGCTAATTCTCTATTATTGGGGGGTCTTTGTCTTTCCATTTTTGGGCGATCGTAATTCTCGCTGCGGCTGTGAGATAAAAAAGAATATTTTCTTCGTTTTTCCCGATTTCAAAATTCAACAGGTAGTATTCGGGTTTCAATTCGTATTTTATTTTGATAATATTTTGACAGGGCCTGTGGATTGTTATCCAGTATTTCTTAATGATCTTACAATTCCACCACATGTGGTGGTATGATCCCATTTCTCTTTCGCATTTCCAACATTGGTAGTTATGGTTCTTGTAAAATTTGGCTAAATGTACTTTTGAAACGTGTAAAATGTTGGACTGTTATCAAACCATCCATAACATTATAACTTAATTTACAACACACAATTGATAGAAACAAATGCAGTATGTCATCCCTTCCGGGATTTCGGTTGATTGAGAAAGCCTGAGGGTTTCTTGATTAAATTGTGGGATTGACCAATTGGGGGATTTATGATGGAATCATTGTCATGCATGGAAGTGCAGATTGTTTTTCCTGTTTGCTCTGCAGGTGATCCCCGTTGCCACCCATTTAGTGAACAACGGCAGCGGAGTTGGAGTCTTGCAGTGCCTGGAGCACATGATTGGTGCCTTGAGAGGCAAAGTCCTAGAGGTACACGCTATGTTTGACTCTTATTGAGATTTCTTTTGGCCTACAAACCCCAATCTATGTCTGCACATGTCTGGTGGTCTTCTGCTGTCCTCATTCCTCCTCGTTGTCTTTTTTTTTTTCAGATCCACAACCATTTCTCCCACAAGCCCATTATCCTCATTGGCTGGAATACAGGAGCCCTGGTGGCCTGTCACGTACGTCCAATCCACTCTCTTGGGCCTGAAGCTTTTTAGTGGTCACTTTTGAATTGGTGGCTTTTGCAGCCTGTTTTGGTTCCACCCCTAGGTTTCGGTGATGGAGGACGTCACTGCTGTTGTGTGTCTCGGGTTCCCTCTCTTAACAGTGGATGGACCAAGAGGGGTAAGAACAGAAGATGCTTAATGGTTTCAATGTTTCTTAACTTCTAGAGGTACATTCCTTTAGTGGTTACATTTATAATCTTTCATAAAACAACTCTTAAGAGGACTGTTCTTTCCGCTAGACAGGTTTTAAACTTATTTCCTTCCAAATGTATTTCTCTCCAAATTCTTTTTTTAAAAAACTTTGTGTTTTTAAATGCATTTTAACTGTACCCTCAACTTGCTTCTGATACGATAAATAAATAAATAATAGACCATTAACCAAATCCAGAGGGTAGAGGTATATTGGTTACATTATCCTGCTTTTCCTTGTTTTTAAAACTGGATCTATTTATTGTCTTCACAGAATGAAATTCCTATTCTGTGTGCTTTATAGGCTGTGTGTATTTACATTCAGGAAGTCCCTGTGTTGCCATCCACTGGCCTCAGTGAATCCTGGGTGTTTGCTAAGCTTTGAAAGGACCTGATTGGTTGTTTCCTGTGGCAGGATGTTGACGACCCTCTTCTGGACATGAAGACTCCGGTTCTCTTTGTGATTGGCCAGAACTCCCTCCAGTGCAACAGCGAAGCCATGGAGGATTTCCGGGAAAAGCTTCGGGCGGAAAACAGCCTGGTGGTGGTTGGAGGAGCCGATGATAACCTTAGGTATCACGCAGAATCCACAGAGATTGTATTCCCTTGGGAGATGTTACATCTGGCCACAGATTGTTTTTAACCAGTTTTACTTATTTGCATATCGTTTACCGTATATACTTGAGTATAAGCCGACCTGAATATAAACTGGGGCACCTAAGTTTACCACAGAAAACTGGGAAAGCATATTGACTCAAGTATAAGCCGAGGGAGGGAAATGCAGCAGCTACTGATCAATTTCAAAATAAAAATAGATACCAATAAAATGACATTAATTGAGGTTCAATGTTTTTGAATATTTGCCGTATTTCAAAGAAAAGCAAAAAAATTGCTCTGTAAGTAGAAAAGGCGGGTCAACAAAAACAATATGGTATCAACAATAACATAATAATAATAATAATAATAATAATAATAATAATAATAAATAAATAACTTAATTTGTACCCTGTCCTATCTCTCCGTGCGACTCAGATCAGCTTCCAATATAGTAACAGGCAAACATTCAATGCCTGTATAAACAATGCAGAGGAAGATATAGATCTACAATTATATATACTAATTTCACATATGCATTTCTCACTGAAACGTTTGCATTTCCCTCCTGCAATATTTGCAAGCCCTATATATCTTAGTTTATATTTATCTAGACATCTCCCTCTATATGTGTGTGTGTATGTGTGCATTTCCTCTACAATATTTGCAAGCCCTATTTATTTATATTCATATCATCCTAGACATGTCTATATATATCTGTGTGTGCATTTTCCCCTGTAATATTTGCAAGCCCTATATATCTACATTCATATCTATCTATCTATCTATCTATCTATCTATGTAGAGATCTCTCTACAGATAATTATATCTATATAGGATTTGCAAAGACTTTCAAACATGTGAGGGGAAATTCATATATAACATTATTTTTATATATACACATATACATGCACACATAGATATACAGATATATAGGTACCTCTATATATTTATTGATATTTATATAGGATTTGCAGAGACTTGCAAACATGTGAGGGGGAAATTCATATATAAAAAGATATTTTTTTTGTCATGTCAGGAGAGACTTGAGAAACTGCAAGTCGCTTCTGGTGTGAGAGAATTGGCCGTCTGCAAGAACGTTGCCCAGGGGATGCCCGGATGATTTGATATTTTTTATCATCCTTGTGGGAGGTTTCTCTCATGTCCCCGCATGAGGAGCTGGAGCTGGTAGAGGGAGCTTATCCGCCTCTCCCTGGATTCGAACCTGTGACCTGTCGGTCTTCAGTCCTGCCGGCACAGGGGTTTAACCCACTGCGCCACCAGGGGCTCCTATAAAAAGAATATATACATATAGATACAGATACACAGGTACATGGATTTCTCTAGATATTTATATGCATATAGGATTTGCAAAGACCTGCAAACATATAAGGGGAAATTCATATATAAAATTAATGTATATAGATAGATACAGATATATAAGTACATAGGGATTGCAAAGGCTTGCAGAGGGAAATGCCTATATATCTGTAGGAAGGATTAACAAATATTTCAGGGGGAAATGCTTCGATAAGATGAATGGATCTTCCTGACTTGCAAGGGCTTCTCTCCCCCTCCTTTCCCTTTTCAAAACATTCCAGCCTGGGAGGAGAAGCAGATCAAGCAGAAAAGAAAACACACTGTTTAGGGAGGGGAAGGTGAGAGAAAAATAGATCATACATTGCAAGCAATGGCCTCCAGGCTCTGCTGCCCAGCCTTGACTCCGTTATAAGCCGAGGGAGGCTTTTTCAACCCATAAAAAGTTCTGGAAAACTCAGCTTATCTTTTATATACAGTACTCATGTTTAACAATATTTTTTAATGTCTTACAAGCCCCTTGGAATTCTGAACAGGAAAAATGTGGGGCGTATAAAATAGCAACAACAATATCATGAAACAAAAATGATTTTTTTTGTCCTGATCTATAACATCAGGACTGGAAATATCCATTCTCTTTGGCACTCAATTTAAGCTTTGAAAAACTGAATTAAATACACAAAGCTCCCCCTACAGCAAGTTAGTTCTAGGATGGTGTCTTGATGACCTTTCTTTTTCAAAACAGGATAAGCAAAGCCAAAAAGAAGGCAGAAGGCCTGACCCAGAGCATGGTGGACAGGTGCATACAGGTAAATGGTCACTTTCTCTCTTCCCCAATGATGCCCCACAGAAATAGGCATCATGGAATTGTCCCACTCCTTTTGTTCTCATGCTGCTTATTTTGGGCTTCTGAAACCATGGTTTTGAGCATTTTACCCTAAGTGACTGCTGTTGGAAGTGCTCTTCTGATGTCCTACTCCCTTGCCCCCCGACTCTGGAACTCACTACCTGGAGAAATTAGGAAACCTTTAAAAAGGGCCTTAAAACCTGGCTCTTCCGCTGCGCTTTTGATGAATAGGTTTACATTCTCACACTATTGCTTAGCCTCAATGTTTTGTCATTGGAGTATATGTCCCGTCCCCCCCTTTGTGGGAAAGCCTGATTCCACAACTCCCACTATAATGAGTCCTCCTCCGCAAATAACCCGTCTCTCTCTTAGCTCGCCTGAGTTTTAATTAGTTTTAATCAGTCTCTCTTTTAATCATTACATGTAGCCCGCCCATTGTCATTGTGATTGTGCCTATTGTAATTTTATATTGCTATGTTTTCATATGTTTTATGTAATTATGTTGTTTGTTGTTTATTGTTTGCATTTTCAGTTTTATTTTATTGTAATTTTCTGTTTGGGCTTGGCCTCATGTAAGCCGCTCCAAGTCCCCATTGGGGAGATGGTGGCGGGGTATAAATAAAGATGATGATGATGATTATTATTATTATTATTATTGATCTCTAGTGGAACTGAGTACTTATTTATTTCTATTGATTGATGTAAAGTATTCCGGTGTCACCCTCCAACCCAATGAATAATCAAGATGTTTTTGAGGTGCAACTGCTGTTCAATGGCTGGACTCTGCTTCCTTGCCTCCAAAGGATGAAATTGCCGACTTCTTGACTGGAGTGCTGACCCGGGCAGATGGCCATTCGGGCTCCGATCCCCGCGACCTTGATGCAGAGAAGAAGAAGAAGACCATGCGGGATGCAGCTCGAAGGGACCTGTCTTTCGACATGGCCGAGAGGAGCAGCCGACCCGCCTCCCCAGCCACCAAAGTCCCCGCTTCGCCCTCAGGCTCCGAGGTGAGAAGAAGGCTGAGCTTGGGCAAGAGTCGCAGTGGGACCGGCCATTGGATGGGCCATAGAATCATATGATTCTACTAGCTTGGGTACCCACCGATGCCTGGGTTATTTGAAAAAGTGAATTTTAATTGTACAAAATGCATAAGGTTGTGGGTGAACGACAACTCACATCATGCCAAGTTAACCCCCAAAAGTTCCATCAGTACTTAAAGTTTGCTCTAGATGCATCGTCGGTGGGGTTCAGTGTGCTTTCTGGCTGCAAGGTAAACTACAACTCCCACTGTGGTGAGTCAGTTCCTTCAAGCACATCCAGTAGAATTAGTGAGTCATGGGGGTTCTGTTTGCCAAGTTTGGTCCAGCTCCATCATCTCTGGTTGTGCCCAAATGTGAACACTGGTGGGGTTTGGGGAAAATAATTTATATACTCGAGTATAAGCCTAGTTTTTCAGTCCTTTTTTTAGGCTGAAAAAGTCTCCCCCGGCTTATACTCGAGTCAATATTATTTATTATTTTACTTTGTTGTTGTTGTTATTATTATTATTGCATTTATTTTTTATTTTTGTTATTATTACATTCATTATTTTACTCTCTTTATTATTGTTATTATTACAATTATTATTTTACTCTATTATTGTTATTTTGCTCCATTTATTATTATTGGAGGACATGTAAGCATATTTACATTGAAGAAGGTTAGAATAATGGTTTAATCATAGTTGAGCAGTCTTATCTTGAATTACAGTTTTATGTAAATATTCAAAAACATTTAACCTACTGATGCCTAAATTAATATAATTTTACTAGCTATCCCCTGCCACGCGTTGCTGTGGTCCAGTCTGTTGATCTGGTTTCTAATATATGTAATTTCTTTATGCTTGTGGTAAACAGTATTTCTTGCTGTTTCTTTGTCAGTGTTGATGTGGAGCGTATCTGGTTTGCCCACCCTGGAACATGCAACATATCATTGTCCTTCTTTAGGGGTCCCTTTCAAATCTACGATACTATATCTGTGTGTGAATCGTATATATCTATCTAAACGTATGGCTGAATGGCTCTTTGTCAGGAGGGCTTTGATTACTTTTCTTGGGAGTTGGACTGGATGGCCTTTAAGTATTTTTTGTTAGTCATGGGGATTCTGTATGGGAAGTTTGCCCCGATTCTGTCGTTCATGGGGTTCAAAATGCTCTTTGATTGTAGGTGAACTGTGAATCCCAGTGACTACAACTACCAAATATAAAGGTCTTATTTCCGCCAAACTCCATCTATGTGCATATTTGGGCATATTGAGTATTCGTGCCAAGTTTGGTCCAGATCCATCATTGTTTGAGCCCACAGTGCTCTCTGTATGTAGAGACTACGCTTCTACTCGAGTATATACAGTAGGTTTTCTGATGGTCATTGGTGACCCCTCTGAAACCCTCTCGCAAGCCTCCCAGGGGTCCCAACCCCTAGGTTGAGAAAGTCCGAGTCCGAGTTTCTGAGTCCGAAGAGTTACTAAGCATTTTCATTTGAAATGTGTCTCTAATGGTATGGCGTTTCTCCATCCTTTGGCTAGGACTTCTCCAGTGTGTCCAGCAGCCCAACGTCCAGCCCCAAGGCTAAAATGGCTGCTGTGTCGTCCTGCGTTCAGAAGTCCAGCCAGCTTGGTGCTGCCCAGCTGCTGAAGAGGCCTGTGCAGCGGATGGAGGCAATGCTCCCGCAGAAGCAGACCCAAGGTAACCCACTCCTCGGGACCCTCTTTCCTGGACCAATTAAACCCCTTGCACCCCAGGCATACTTAAAAAGGGAAACAGGGAATAACACCCCATCTGTGTAAAGAGGCCACTGTTGGAGAGGGCTGCCAGGACCCTCCTGGCACCATAGTTGTGCCGTTATGGTGCTTGTCTCCAAGCTGGGCATCCTCTCCACACATCTGACACTCCAGGTAGAAGGAACTGGGGTCCTAAATGATCCAGGCCCAGACTATTTGCAGAACCGTATCTCTGTTTACAAACCGGCTCAAGCACTGATTTGCGGAGGAGGGCCTACTCTTGGTCCCAGTCCACGGTCAAGTACAGTCAAGCACGGCTGGTGGGGACGAGAGAGGGGGCCTTCTCCGTGATCGCTCCCCACCTCCCAAAACTTCCTCCCAAAAGCTGCTAAAACACCTCTATGCACCCTAGCGTACAGAGAGGAGAATAATCAATACGTCTCGACATATAACATCATCTAGATATATTAAATTCCGTCTAGATACTGGAATTGATCTCAGCCTGTTAGTTGTTGGCAAGCATTTAACTTCGTAATTAAAGTTCTTGCTGTTCAGTGGCCTTTTTCTGAAGTCAAAAAGAGGACTTCAATGGGCAGGTTCAGAACAGGACCCCTACTTCTTTCTTGTCAGGCCCAGCATCTGTTTGGTTTGTCAGAAATATTTAAAAAACTTGGTATTTTTAATTACAAAAATGTGAGCCTTCTCTAATAAAAACACACTCAGTTAGCCTTTCTCAACCTGGGGGATGGGACCCCTGGGGGGCGGGTCATGAGGATGTTTCAGAGGAGCTGCCAAAGACCATCAGAAAACATATATTTCTGATGATTTTTGTCAGAGAAGGCTGAAGATCTCTTCGCATGTCATTCTCTTCCTTTTTGTAAACAGGCAGCGAATCCTTCCACCAAAAGCCCTCCTGCATTATGATTGGCCAGGCTCTCAGGCAAGGAGAGGGCTGTTTCTAAGACTCCAAGCGGGGAAGGGAGAGCAGGCGTGCTTGGCACATGGCAGCATAGTACGCTTGTGCGGGTGAGGGAGAGCATGCAAGGTTGGAGGGAGGCTCTCACAAGCAAGTCTTGTGTGAGAAGTTCTGTGTGGGAAGTTTGGCCCAATTCTATCTGGTGGGGTTCGGAATGCTTTTTAATTGTAGAAGAAATATGAATCCCAGCAACTACAGCTCCCAATGTTAAGGTCTATTTTCCCCAAACTCCACCAGTGTTCACATTTGGGCATATTGAGGATTTGTGCCAAGTTTGGTCCAGATCTATCATTGATTGAGTCCACAGTGCTCTCTGGATGTAGGTGAACTACAACTCCCAAACTCAAGGTCAATGCCCACCAAACCCTTCCAGTGTTTTTTGTTGGTCATGGGAGTTCTGTTTGCCAAGTTTGGCTCAATTCCATCTTTGGAGGAGTTCAGAATGCTCTTTGATTGTAGGTGAACTATAAATCCCAGCAACTACAACTCCCAAATGACAAAATCAACCCTTCACAACCCCATCAGTATTCAAATGTGGGTGTATCGGGTATTTGTGCCAAATTTGGTCCAGTGAATGAAAATACATCCCGCCCATCAGATATTTACATTTTGATTCATAACAGTAGCAAAATTACAGTTATGAAGTAGCAATGAAAATCATGGAACTGTGTTAAGGGGTCGCGGCATTAGGAAGGATTACTGTAATGCACTCTATGTAGTGAAAACAGCCCGAAAATTTCAATTGGTACAATGGGCGGCTTCTTGCAGGGAGCGGTCAACCCTCCTGTTTAAGGAGCTCCACTGGCTGCTGGCCCCAATTTCCGGTCCCAATTCAAAGTGCAGGTTCTTACCTACAAAGTCCTGAATGGTTTGGGACCCGCCTAGCTGCGTGACCGCATTTCTGTATACTATCCCATGCGATCTCTTTGATTATCTGGAGAGGCCCTGCTCACGCTCCCACCTTCTTCGCAGGCGCGATTGGTGGGGATGAGGGAGAGAGCCTTCTTGGTGGTGGCCCCCCGACTCTGGAACTCACTTCCCAGGGACATTAGACATGCCCCAACGTTGGCAGTCGTTAGAAGGAGCCTGAAAACGTAGTTGTTCCAGTGTGCCTTCCCAGAATAAGGAGAACTCTCAGCAATATGTCCTCACAATGCCCTTTAATACTGACTTAGGATGGACTGTGCTCCCTCATTCCTCTCCGAAAAATCCTATCCTAGTTATATTTTACCTTGTTCACGTCAGCATATTTTCAATTTTAATCTATTACATTTGACCCGGCCATTTTTAAAATGGTTTATGTCACTATTATTGTTTTTTGTTTATGTGATTTATATGATTTGTATTTTATTGATTGTTTATTGATGTTGTGTTAATTGATGTTTTGTTTGATGTACTTTGGGCTTGGCCTCATGTAAGCCGCACTGAGTCCCTTGGGGAGATGGTAGCGGGGTACAAATAAAGTTTATTATTATTTATTAAGATTGAGAAACACTACACTCAGGGCTTGTGAAAAGAAGGAGGAAGTGGCCTCTCCATTGAGGCAGTTTAGGAACTTGGAACACATTCCCCTTTATGCCTGATGCTCAGTGTTTTGGCAGGAAGATCATAAGACACTTGGGTAGGAATAGCATTGCAGGCTGAAAGGGGTAAGACTCAATGCCAAGGGTAGTTAGAATTTGTGTTGTTAGTATGAATGACTTCATTGTACATTAATGGCAAGTAGATAGGGTTGTTTTGTTTTAAAATGCAGTCTGTAGTCCTTATGAATACAACCTAGCTAGTGTACTCTGATCTAGGAAGAGAAAATTAGTATGCCATTATGCACAGCAGTTGGGCTGAAATGGGTTGTGTTTAATTCCAAGGTTGTTGTATTTTTAAGTTAGGATTTTTGTTGTTAGTATGAATGACTTCATTTAAAATTCATCACAAGTAAATACAATTTGTTTGTTTTTTAAATGCAGCCTTTATTCCTTATGAATAGTTTTCAGAATCTGTCTTTTGCCTTGACATTCTCCTTCTATATGTGTCTCTCCCTCTGACTGTTCCTATCTTCCACTAGTTTCCTATTAAGGAAGGGAGGGCCTTTCATGCCAGCCATTGGCCTAACAAGGTGGCTCTGAAGGGATAGAGAGGATTGGCACAAAGTGTCAGAAATATTAAATATTAACTGGGTATTTTTGATTACGAAAGTGTGAGTCAAACATTGAAAGAGTTAGTAGGCCAAAGCCTGTTAGAGTTAGTGGGCCAAAGCTAGTGTTGTCCTGAAGAATGTGAGGAAAACCTCTCTGTGAGAGAAGCCTAGTATGAGAAAGCTCCAGTATAAAGGCGACTGTGTGTAAAAAGCTATTTTGTGTGAAGCTTCAATGTAAATGTTGAACTTTGTGTTATAGAAACCTCGTGTTGTATATTAGCTGTTCAGCCTGTGATTGTGTCTGATGATCATGTTGACGTTCATGAAGGTAATGGGGTTGATGATCCAGTTCCTGAGCCAGGGTCTGTTGGATTTGGGGATGACGGATCACTTGGGCCTGAATGTAGTTTAGACGAAAAGTGTTGAGAATCACCCTGTGTTTGTGTTTCAGGATCCTGGTATGGGAAATAATGAGGGAAATGATGGTGCTGAGGCTGAGGTACAAGATTGAGATGGTTTGGTCAATGATTTTCAGGCAGACAATGATAGAGAGGCCCCAGTGCAAAGGGCAGTTTCTTATGAGAATATTCTTGCTGGGACTAGCAATGATAGTTCACTCCCTATCTGTGAGGTCTCAAGATTTGGGTTTAGAAAACAATCTGACACCTGGGAATTTTAATGAGCAGCCAGATAGGGAGCTGAAGAATAGGCAACTGGAGATTAGCCAGGACCGACAGGAAACTCACTGTTTACATCCCTCTGAAAGGCTTTGTCTGATAAGGGGGAAATGTGGAGGGAAGCGAAACCAATTCCTGAGTTTTGGGATATAAGGTTTGCCTCAAGAGGAAACCTGTTAGATCAGGCATCGTTTGGAAACCAAGTTCATGTGCCATGGAAATTCTGTTCAAGGGGTCTTGTTCCTGTGGAGTTTTTTAGCCTTTTGGATTGTCTTTGCATCCTGTGTGATTCCTCTCTGGATTAATGCTTTCTTGGATTGCTTTTATTATTTGTGTGGACATTGCTTTGTGTTATTGCTTTTTATGGACTTATTACTTTTTGGAACCTTCTTATTTTCTTAAAAGCATTTATTTCTTCTGGCTATTTACTAAGATTCAATAAAATAAGATTTGTTTCTTCACTCTTCGTGTGGTGTGTTTTAATGTCAGAGGGCTTCTTCCTGACCTGGAGTGCAACAAGAGGCCTGAGATGCTGCAAGAACATTCCAAGGTCCCAGGCTTGGGAAAGGCGTTTTGCCTCAGCTATCTGACAATGAAGCTGATTTTGATTTACCAGGTGCAGGAGTTAATGATGAGAGTGAGACCTTGAACAGGAAAAGACAGTTTTAGTAAACAGAGGCAGTTCGGGCAGCAATTAAGATGCTCAACTCGGATTCAACAGAAGATAGATAACAAACTGAAACTAAGAAAGAATGCATTCCTTGCAGTTTTGGAGTCAGAGAAAGGTTTATAATGATTTGTGGGAGACAATTGCCTCAGTTGAGGCAATGTTGAGATAATGCCAAATTTCATGTACCAAGGTTTGCCAAGCTCATGTTTAGCTTGGGATATGCCTCCTATGTTGTTCATGGATTCAAGAGCCTAAATTGGAATTTGAACTTTTACTGTGGATTTCTTTTCACTGCTTTGGCTATGTATATTCTTAAATAAACTGCTTGCTGAATTTACCCAGCTGGTTTGGTGTTTAAAGCCAGAGGTGATTTTGCCCTGGAGTACGACACCGTGTTATTACTTACTTAGGCGATCCCTCGTTGGACAAGTATAGGATAGTCTTCCATGATCAGTATTCTTGTGGATCCGTAGCTGGCTGTGGAGCCCTATTCTTGACCTGCATCTTCTCCCACAGTGAGAACATTGGTTTCCAGGTGGAAGGCAGTCTCGGTCGGGATTGGCTTGACGGCCCTTTCTCCTGGCATGTTTCTCTCTTTCACCCTCCATTCGTGCCTCTTCAAATTCTGCAGCACTGCTGGTCACAGCTGACCTCCAGCTGGAGCAGTCAAGGGCCAGGGCTTCCCAGTTCTCCCTGTCTATGCCAGAAATTTTAAGTTTGCCTTGGAACCCATCTTTCAATCTCTTTTCCTGCCCACCAACATCCCGTTTTCCGTTCTTGAGTTCGGAGTAGAGCAACTGCTTTGGGAGACGGTAGTCAGGCATCTGGACAACGTGGCCGGTCCAGCGGAGTTGATAGCGGAGGACCATCACTTCAATGTTGGTTGTCTTTGCTTCTTCCAGCATGTTGACATTTGTCCGCTTGTCTTCCCAAGGGATTTATAGACAAGCACCTTGGTATCCCTACGGATGTACCGGTCCTCAAACACTCTTTGCTTCATTTAGGAAAATGCTGCACTCGCAGAGCTCAGGCGGTGTTGTATTTCGGTGTTATTTTAAATAATGCAACTATATTATTTTACTACAGAGAAATGCCTCCTATGGAAGAGACAACATTGGTCTGTGTGTTTTTGTTCTTTTTATCACTTTGGTGCTGGGTGAGGCTGCTGCTAATAAGTTATTCTGCTATATATTTATAAGGAAGAGCTCACTTGCTCCACACAAAGGGCCACACAATTGTGGCATGAAGGAAGGGGCAGAGGAGCCTAAGTTTGCCCTGACTGTGCAAAGAGTGTCCTCTGTTTCAGGGTATTGCCTTTTGTCTTTTGGTTCAGAGCCATCACAGCAGCAATCGCTTCTTCAGCCATCGCCAGATACCGGGGAGAAAGAGGAGCTGCCGCCTGCGCTGAAAAGGCCCCCTCCGCCCAGCCCTCCTCATGGGGCCAAGCCCCCCAAGCGAGCCAAGATCAAGGTGACCATCGTCTCCCATGGGGAAAGTGCCGGCGCAGGGAGCAATGGGGCCCCGCCAGATGGAGCGCCGGAAAGTGAGTCTGGGGGGAATGGGAGCACCTCAGAAGGAACTCTTTCCAGTGCTTGAACAACTCATTGCATCAAGTTGTTACCATGCACTTCATTTTTGCATTGCTTTCCAATACTTTTCTGGAAAAGGCTTGATTAGGGAATAGTACTGTGACTGGACAAATGCCCACCATGAAAGGAACCGGAAATGTTGCTTCCAAGAGTGCCTTCACTGGCTTCTTGCATCGTTGTTGAGACTGAGCAGGGCCATGATGCAGCCAGAAGGCATCCCCTCATAGAGCAGCATTTGTCAGCCTAGGAGTAGGGACCCCGGGAGAGGGGGGTCGCAAGGGAGTTTCAGAGGGGTCGCCAAAGACCATCAGAAAACATATTTCTGGTGGTCTTAGGAACCCCTTTGGCAGAGAAGGCTGAAGATCTCTCTGCCTGTCCTTCTCTTCCTTTTTGGAAACAGATGGCGAATCCTCCCACCAAAAGCCCTCCTCTACTGTGATTGGCCAGCCTCTCAGCCAAGGGCAGGGATGTTTCTGAGACTGAGTGGGGAGGGGAGAGCAGACGTGTTCGGTGCATGGCAGCGTGGTGTGCATGTGTGAGTGAGAGAGAGCGTATGATGTTGGAGGGAAGCTCACGCCAGTGAGACCCTTCAAGGCATGAGGGGGTCGGGACCCTGGGGGGAGGGGATTGCTAAGAGAGGTCACCAAAGACCATCACAAAACACAATATTTTCAGTTAGTTATGGGGGTTCTGTGTGGGAAGCTTGGCCCAATTCTATCATTGGTGGGGTTCAGAATGCTCTTTGATTGTAGGTGAACTATACATCCCAGCAGCTACAACTCCAAAATATCAAGATCTATTTTCCCCAAACTCCACCAGAGTGCACATTAGGGCATATTGAGGATTTGTGCCAAGTTTGGTCCAGATTTATAATTGTTTGAGTCCACAGTCCACCATTTCTACCCCGTCCTTCCTACCCCCGAGGAGGGACTCAGGGCAGCTAACACAGGCAACAATTCAATGCCAGCAGTATCAAAACGACAATATAAAACAGCAATATAAAATCCATTACATAACAATTAAACAGTGATATTAATTAAAATTACATAATCACATAGAACAAATCACATAATCACAGGTCATAAAGCCATTTCCAATTTTCAAGTCCGAGTTCAGTGCGTAAAGTGTTGCTGTGCCCACTAGCCAAAGGCCTGGCTCCAAAACTAAGTCTTTAGTTTTTTCCTAAAAGTAAGGAGGGAGGACGCCAATCTAATCTCGCTGGGGAGTGAATTCCATAAGCGGGGTCACCACCGAGAAGGCCCTGTCCCTCATCCCCACCAGACGTGTTTGAGATGCTGGTGGGACCGAGAGCAGCCCCCCCCCATCTTAAATTACGAGGTGGAACATAGAGAGAGATATGTTCGGATAAGTAAGCTGGGCCGGAGCTATATAGGGTTCAAGGTCAATGCCCCCCAAACCCTTTCAGTAGTTTCTGTTGGTCATGGGAGTTCTGTGTGCCAAGTTTGGTTCAATTTCATCTTTGGAGGAGTTCAGAATTATCTTTGATTGTAGGTGAACTATAAATCCCAGCAGCTACAACTCTCAAGTGACAGAATCATACACCCCCGCCATCCCCACCAGTATTCAAATTTGGGCATATTGGGTATTTGTGCCAAATTTGGTCCAGCGAATGAAAATACATCCTGCATACCAAATATTGACATTATGACTCATAACAGTAGCAAAATTACAGTTCTGAAGTAGCATAAAAATAATGTTATGGTTGGGGGTCACCACAAAAGGAGTCATAGAGAGACACCCAATGCTTCCATCAGTTCTTCAACTGGCAGGAGCCACCATCTCTAATCCTTTCCTAGGCATGAAGCTAGTCAAGGCTTTGGGATAGGCTCCTGATCGTACCCTTCCACCAATAGTCCTTTGTGTGAAACAGGACCCAATTGAGCACACTGAGTCCCAGAGACTTCCAAAGCTGCCAAATCTTATACTTTTCATGTACCCCCCCCCCCCTTTGGCTATTTCAACAGCAGACTCCACATTCAGACTAATCCGTCTTCTATTGCAAGCATAAATTTACCAGCTTTGAAAGTCTCTGTATTTTTATTTGTACATCTTAATCACCCAAATTTTATTTCTCTTCACAGAAATATATGAAATACAGAAGTAAACTTGAACCAAACCAAGAGTTCCCTCTTACCTTACCTGGACAGGAGGAATATGCAAGACAGATTTCCATTTGTATCCAAAAGAAATGAAAACAGAACAAAAAAAAAACCTCCAATAAAAACATTATTTTTTTAACTCGCTTCCGTTCCTGTGTATTTTCTAAAGCCTTTTAGGAGGATGAGACAGATTGAGATGCGTCCTGTTCTGAACAAAAGAGAGAGTGAGGCCTAGAGAGGTAGTCTGAAAAGAGAAGGCAGAAGTAGTAGCATAAGTGAAAGGAGCAAAGCGGAGTCGGATGGTTCCTTGGAGCCTGGCTTCCCCCTGCTTTGGAGGCAGATCCCTGACCCAATCCAGAAGATGGCCCTTTTATTTTCCTCTCCAACCCCTTCAAAGGAATGCATTGCATTGTCCTGGCATTTGAGTCAGCTTAGGTGGAAGGGTGCTACTTAGTCTTTCTGCCATATTTTTGGAAACAGCGGCCTTTTAGCTTTGTCTAGAGAATTGTGATGCCTCTCACGGCCTCTTTTGTTTTGCAGCGGCTGCAGGAAAGCCCCTCGCTGTGACTCTGGGGCCAACTGTGGCTGGAGCGAAAGAGGCAACGGGACTCCTGGCTGCTTCCAAGTGAGTTGCCCACATTTCGAATGCCATGTTCCAGACCAAAGCTAGGATCTTGTCCCTCATTCTCTGTCGTTCCAGGCTTCCAGAAGGCTCTGTTCAGTGCCAAACATTGGCTCTGCTCAAGCTGCGAGTTGCACTTCAAGAGTGATGGGCTACAGTTTATTTATTCTTATTTATTTACTAGCTGTCCCCTGCCACGCGTTGCTGTGGCCCAGTCTGTTGATCTGGATAAAGGGAATGAGAAAGTGTTGGTTTCTAATATATGTAATTTTTTATGCTTATGGGTAAACAGTATTTGTTGCTGTTTCTTTTTCAGTGTTGATGTGGAGAGTATCTGGTTTGCCCATCCTGGAACATGCAAGATATCATTGTCCTTCTTTAAGGGTCCCTTTCAAATCTATGATACTATATCTGTGTGTGTGTGAATCATATCTATCTATCTATCTATTTATATCTATGGCTGGATGGCTCTTTGTCAGGAGGACTTTGATTGCGTTTTCTTGCCCTGCTGAAGGGAGTTGGACTGGATGGCCTTGAGTATTTTCTGTTGGTCATGGGGGTTCTGTGTGGGAAGTTTAGCCCAATTCTATCATTGGTGGGATTCAGAATGGTCTTTGATTGTAGGTGAACTATAAATCCCAGCAACTACAACTTGCTAATGTCAAGGTCTATTTTCCCTAAACTCCACCAGTCTTCACATTTGGGCATATTGAGGATTCATGCCAAGTTTGGTCCAGATCCATCATCGTTTGAGTCAACGGTGCTTTCTGGATGTAGGTGAACTACAACTCCAAAACTCAAGGTCAATGCCCACCAAACCCTTTCAGTATTTTCTGTTGGACAGGGGAGTCCTGTGTGCCAAGTTTAGTTCAATTCCATCACTGGTGGAGTTCAGAATGCTCTTTGATGATAGGTGAACTATAAATCCCAGCAACTCCAACTGCCAAATGACAAAATCATAATTTTTAGTGATGGCCACTCCTTGTGTTGTGAGATTTTTTGTTGCCAAATTTGGTGTGATTTCGTTCATTGGTTCTTTTGTTTTTAAGGTACTCATTATTCACAGAGTATTTATATATATATAGATTACTATATTGTTGCTGGGGGTGGTGGGCTCCCAACTGATAGCACGGGAAACATGGTGGAACTGTGTCTTCCTGGCTTCCCCCTCTTCACTCTGGCTCCTGGGTCTTACATTATGCTTTTTTGTATCTGAACCCGCAGAGCGACCTCTTCGGCGGAGAGCCTCTCCCTCGGCCCAGGCCCTACAGCCACCCTCCCCAGCAGCGCAGCCCCCAGTGCCTTCCATGCCCTGCAGAGCAGGCTGGTGGCTGGCGCTACTCATGGTCTCCCAGCCCAAAGCAGCAACAGCACCCTCCAAGGTAAGGGCTCCATACTAAAAAAAGGCTGAGATTTGAAAAGTGAATTTTACCAGAAGTTTTAAGAATGGATTACAGAAGAGTGTGGAAAGAGTGAGAAGAGAGTGACAAGGAGTGAAAGAATTGGAAAGAGAGAAGCATTGCCAAGCATCAGGAAAAGATGTTTATCTCCCTTGGGGGGAGATAAAGTGGGGTATTGATCTATACACTTAATAAAAGTGTAAATCTCTATGGGTGTATGTGGCTGGGGTGTCCCCTTACACAGACAAGCTCCTTCCTCCACAAACAACTATGGCTCCCACAACTTGGACGACATCAAAGGCCCTTCCTCCAGTGACATTGCAGGTTATAGTGAGTGCCATGAACATGTTGAAGAGCCCTCCCAATGTCCTCCACAAACACCATACTGCCCACCACTCAAGTGAAAGCTTTCATGCGGGGACAATTTCATCCTAGATTTTATGTATTTCCCTCCACCACAGACATCCCAGTGTTTCTGACTCTCTCCATTGGCATGGAATTTACATGACCCCGCCCACTGCCTCTCCCTTAACTCTTTCCTATTCTTTTCTATGGCACACAGCAAACAGAGGAATTGATCAGCAACTGAACATACTAAAGAGGTTTGGGGAGAATTCACCATGATTTATAGGAGTTGTAGGCACTGGGAAAGTTAGGGAATGTCTTTTGTCTATCTACCTGCATACTCAAGATAAGGTTTCCCTTTTTTGTACCTTATCAGAGCATTATCCTGTGTGTTTTCTCTCGTGTATAGTCCTAGCAATGCTACAGTGCACTCTGCTATAGATCCCAAATATCCCTGCAAGGCTAGCTCTCCTCCCAGATTCTCTTCTCCAAATTCAAGGTGCAGGTCATGACCTATAAAGCCCTAAACGGTTTGGGCCCTGCCTATCTCCGCGATCGCATCTCCTTCTATGAACCAGTGCAAACTCTAAGATCTTCCAGGGAGGCCCTCCACTCGGTCCCACTACTGTCTCAAGCACGGTTGGTGGGGATGAGAGAGAAAGCCTTCTCAGTGGTGGCCCCCATCTATGGAATGCCCTTCCAAGGGAAATAAGACAGGCCCCATCCCTCCCCGCTTTCGTAAGAACTTGAAAACCTGGTGGATTCAACAAGCCTTTGAAAATGACCAGTTCTAATTCAGCTCTACACATTGTCGAATACGGCCTTATTCTTCCGACCAATTACCCAGATTCTTTCCTCTAATCGGCCCTGGAATGAACAGCCACAGACCCGAACCCAATATTATTGTTGCCTGCCATAGCATTGCACTTAATTCCCGGTCCCCTAGAATTTTTGGGCTTACACAAATCTTGACCCGGCCTTATAAATTTTTAAATTGCCTTGAACAGGCAGGATTACTTTTAATATATGTGTGTTATGGCGACAATTTTTATGCTTATACTAGCTGTACCCGCCACATGTTGCTGTGGCCAACCTTCCCTCTTTCTCTTCTTCTTTCCCTCCTTCCTTCACTCCCTCTTTCCTTCCTTCCTTCCTATCTTTCCTTCTCTTCTTCCTTCCTTCTCTATCTCTTTCCTTCCTTCCCCCTTTTTCTTTCTCTTCTGCTCTTTTCTTCTCTCTTTCCTTCTTTCCTTCTCTCCCTCTTTCTCTACATCTTCCCCCTTTCTTTGCTCCCTCTTTCTTTCCTTCCTTCTTTCCCTTTTTTCTTTCCTTCTCTAACTTTCCTTCCTTCCCTTTTCTTTCCCTCCCTCTTTCTCTCCTTTCTTCCTTCTCTACCTCTTTCCTTCCTTCTCTCTTTGCTCCCATGCTTCCTTCTCCCTTTTCTTCTTTCTTTACTTCTTTCTTTCTTTCTTTTCCTTCCCTTCCCTTCCCTCCCTTTTTCTTCCTTTTTTCTGTATTGTCATGTAGCTTTTGGGGGCTTTTAAAGTCCCTTCTGCTGTGTTTTTCAGTGTTTTTTGAGTGAAGGACATATATTGGGTTGTTAGGTGTCTTGTGTCCAAATTTAGTGTCAATTCATGCAGTGGTTTTTGAGTTCTGTTAAATCCCACAAACTAACATTACATTTTTATTTATATAGATTGTCCTCCCAACCCTGCTATATGCCTGCGACTTGTATGTTTTGTGATGTTACCTGGGAACTGCTCTGAGTCCCCTCGGGGAGATGGAGCGGTATATAAATAAAGTATTATTATTATTATTATTATTATTATTATTCTCTCTTTAGGGGCAGCCTCTGCCAGCAGCCTCCTCCAAGGCTTGAGCTTCAGCCTCCAGGATATCCGCACCAAACCGACCTCTGCAGCCGTCGCCAGCGTTGCCTCAGCGGCAGGCCCTCTGGGACAGGTAGGGGCCTGGCAGCGAGGTCTGTGGATGGGGTCCAACAGATAGGGAAAGGCACAGGCACTACTAAGCTTTGTGTTTTCCCTCTTCTTCCTGCTTGCCTCTCTTCCCTCCTCATCTAAGGGTTGGCTATGTCTGGCTGCAAATGTCCAGTGAGCTGAGCTCCATTTCTCTGAGCCATAAAACAATGACTGGATAGATGTTTACTTAGAGAGATAAGAATCCACGACATCCAATGGGCTTTTTATCTGATGTCCTTTTGGAGAACGTTAACTAGTCCATAGAATCGTATAGATCAAAGAGATCACGTGGGCCATCCAGTCCAAAACCAGGCAGGAATCATGGAATCAAAGAGTTGGAAGAGACCTCATGGGCCATCCAGTCCAACCCCCTGCCAAGAAGCAGGAATATTGCATTCAAATCCCCCCTGACAGATGGCCATCCAGCCTCTGTTTAAAAGCTTCCAAAGAAGGAGCCTCCACCACACTCCAGGGCAGAGAGTTCCACTGCTGAACAGCTCTCACAGTCAGGAAGTTCTTCCTCATGTTCAGATAGAATCTCCTCTCTTGTAGTTTGAAGCCATTGTTTTGTGTCCTAGTCTCCAGGGAAGCAGAAAACAAGCTTGCTCCTTCCTCCCTGTGGCTTCCTCTCACATATTTATACATGGCTATCATATCTCCTCTCAGCCTTCTCTTCTTCAGGCTAAACATGCCCAGCTCCTTAAGCCACTCCTCATAGGGCTTGTTCTCCAGACCCTTGATCATTTTAGTCTCCCTCCTCTGGACACATTCCAGCTTGTCAATATCTCTCTTGAATTGTGGTGCCCAGAATTGGACACAATATTCCAGGTGTGGTCTAACCAAAGCAGAATAGAGGGGTAGCATTACTTCCTCTGACCTTTTGATTCCTCCCTAGTAAGCACAGCCAAAGCCCTCCTGGGAGATGGTCATCCTGTCTGTTTCAAAGCCTTCAGGGAAGTAGCCCCCATCTGACTCCAAGGCAGAGAGTCCGTTGGTTGAACAGGTATGATGGTGTCAGGAAGTTCTGTCAGAAATATTAAAAATTAGCTAGGTATTTTTAATTACAAAAATGTGATTCAAGCACTGAAAGGATTAAATGGATAAAATGACTCAGGAAAAGCTGCAGTTCAATTTAAGTAGCTTAGTAGCCCTCAGTCTGTGAGAGGCCTCTGTGGGAGAAGGGCCTCAGTGTGTTAGTAGGACTCATTATGAGAAGGCCTCAATGTTAGTTTGCCTCAGAGGAAGAAAGCCCTCAATATGAGAAGGCCTCAGTGTGAGAGAGCCCTCCGGGTGAGAAAGGCCTTAGTGTTAGTAGGCCTGGTGTGAGAAGCTTCATGAGGAAGTCCAGAGTGAAGGTTGCTGTGTGTAAAAACCTACTGTGTGAAGCTTTTGTGTAACTTCGGTGTGAAAGGAGGCTCTGTGAGAGCAAAGCTGTTTATCTTAATCAGAAAGAAGCCCAGCGTGGAAGCAAAGAAGGAAGTATAAAGAACTTTATTTGTGTTATGCTGCTGATAACTTACTCTGCTGTAAATTTATGAGGAGGGTCTTTTGTTAGTAAGCCCACTCACCCAACAAGTTCTTCCTAATTAATGTTCAGGTGGAATCTCCTATGGAGAGAGTGAGTGTCCTCCTGCTAAGGGAGGGGTTGAACCTGTCTTGCCATGATCTCTTCCTTCTCCTCCTCTGCAGACCCCTGGCCTGAAGGCCTCCACTCCGCTCCAGGGCCTTGGCTCCATAGCCACCAGCACTGCCGGCACCATTGTCCGCACCATCCCTGTGGCCACTTCCCTCGGGGCCTCAGCCGGCGGGAAGCCCACCACCATCCATCAGCTCCTGGCCAACGGAGGGCTGGCCAAATTGGCAAGCAGCCTCCCTGGATTGGCTCACATCTCAGGCCAGGGCTCAGGTCAGGAAGTGGACAAAGTTTCCGGGGTGGGGGCAGTTTGCAAACAGAATCAGTATCCAACTTGTGGCCGCTACTCCTTCAATGCAATGGGCAGTGACCCTTCCTTTCCCCCTCCCTCTTCTCTGCCAGGCCTCAAAGCCCCCACCACCATCACGGTGACCCTTCGGGGCCAGGCCAGCCGCCTCTCCACCCTCAGCCAGGCGGCTATCGGAACGGCACAGACTCTGTCGGAAGAGCAGTCCCCACAGCCGCTCTTGCTGCCCGCTGCACAGGTAATGCTGGATGCTGGGCTCTCAGGTGAGCACCAGGGGAACGGGCAGGGAATGGAGGCCTTCTGCTCGTTTGTGCCCGTTTTTGCCAAGCCTCCGGCACCCTTCTGGGCCTTTGGCACTGTTTGAATGCCACTAGGGTCACTTACTTACTTACTTACTTACTTACTTAGGCGATCCCTCATAGTCCGAGGATGATGGTCCTCCAAGTGTAGTGTCCTGGCGGTGGGTCTGCAGGTGACTGTGGAGCCCTATTCTTGACCTGCATCTTCTCCCACAGTGAGGGCATTGGTTTCCAGGTGGAAGGTGGTCCCAGTCGAGGTTGGCTTGATGCACCTTCCTCTTGGCACGTTTCTTCTCTTTCACCCTCCATTCGTGCCGCTACAAACTCTACAGCACTGCTGGTCACAGCTGACCTCCAGCTGGAGCACTCAAGGGCCAGGTCTTCCTAGTTCTCAGTGTCTATGCCAGACCTTTTAAGGTTGGCTTTGAGCCCATCTTTAAATCTCTTTTCCTGTCCTCAACTTTTGTATCCTGTTTGGTTTTGGATGCTTTGCTGTATATTTTAGGGTACTTTTCCCTAACAAAATCATTGTCCTCAGACCACTTTCAGAAGTTCTGTACCTCTCCTTTTTTGACCATCGGTCATATTAATGCCATGCTTTTTGGGAATATTCTGGTCAGAAATTATAGTGTCCACCTCCTTTCCCACTGCTTTCAGGTTGCTGATAGTTTACCTGGGAACTTGACCAGCCCCGCGTCTGGCTCTGCTGCTGCTCCTGGAAAACTTTTGTCCCAGATGGACCTTGGCAAGGCCCCTTCTGCTCCAGAGGCCCCTTCTGCAGACACTGTCTCCCAGGCCACCTTGCAAGCCACAGGTGAGAAGCACTGGCCCCCTGCATTTTGAGTTCCTTACATTTTAACCCCATCTAATCTGTATATATATAAAGGCACAGCAAGAGCTTTTCTAGCACAGCTTCCTCCCCCAACAGGAAATTCCTTTAGGTGAACGTGAGTTGCTAAAACAGATATATGGGAATCATGTGGCCCTCCAGAGTCTTGTTTCACTGCAATTCCCAGCATTCCCCACTATTGGCTATGCTGTTGAGAAGGCTGTTGGGAGTTGTGTATTCCTTTGATTGCTAGAGGTCAGACTGCTCCAGCTTGAAGATGGCAAAAAAAAGGTCATCCTGAGGGTCTTCTTGGTGGTGCCCCCCCCCCCCCTCCCCGACTCTGGAACTCACTTCCCAAGGACATCAGACATGCCCCAACTCTGGCAGTCTTTAGGAGGAGCCTGAAAACATGGTTGTTCCAGTGTGCCCTCCCAGAATAAGGAAAACACTCATTAATATGCCCTCAAAATGCTCTTTACCACTGATATAGGACTGACTGCATTCCCTCATCTCTTTTTGAAAACCTTATACCAGTTATATCCTACCTTGTTCGTGCCCAGCGTTATTTTTAAATTTTAAATTATTACATTTGGCCCGGCCATTGGTTTTTAAATGCTTGCGTGTTACTGTTTATTGTTTTTGTCTATGTGATTTATTTTAATTGTATTGCATTGATCGTTTTGTTATTGCTTTGTTATTGATGTATTGTGGGCTTGGCCTCATGTAAGCCGCACCGAGTCCCTTGGGGAGATGGTAGTGGGGCATAAATAAAGTTTTATTATTATTATTATTATTATTATTATTATTATTATATTATTATTATTATTATTATTATGAGTGTACAGGCAGTCCTCAAGTTACAAACAAAAGAGGTTCTGTAGGTTTGTTCTTAAGTTGAATTTGCATGAGTCGGAATGTGTACATTTTTTAATGTAATGCCAGATATATATAATCGCTGTGGATGACACAGGGAAGGGTGAAAGTAAGGTTACAAGGCACGTCGCTTTCACAGAGAATTTTCACAGGGAAAGTTGGTATCACTGCCATGTAGTGGGAAGCCAGTGGAAATGAACGAGCAGTGCCAGTCGTCAGTAGCTCATCAACTGCCGTTGTGGTGAAGGTTAGAGATGAGCGTCCTTATTCCGTTTCCCTCCAAGGACGAAGTTGGCGCTGTAATATGCTACCTAAATGCAAAGGGCATGGACGCCACTGCACTTCATCACAAAATCGTTTCAGTTTATGGAGAGGACGTAATGTCAAAGCAGCATGTGACAAAATGGGTATAGAATATATTATGAGACCACAAAGAAAGATCGCAGAGCCATCCAAATCCATGCAGCACAAGAGTTGTGGACTTCATTGGGTTGGGATGTTTGAAGCCACCCCTCTCACAGCCCCGATCTCGCACCTAGTGACTATCACTTGTTCACTCAATTGAAGGAACACTTAAGTGGAAAACACTTTTCTGACAATAACGAGGTGAAAATTGAAGTGACGAACTAGCTCAAAAAGGCAGGGGGGAAACTTCTGACATAGGCATCAAAAACCCGTCCCATGGATGACAAAATGTATTGAACTGAATGGTGATTATGTGGAAAAATAATGTAATACCTATGCTACATTCCATGTAAGTTTTATTACCATACTTACATGAGCTCCGGTTATCCGATTTGTGGTTATCCAACACTCCATATTATCCAATGCCTTTGCCACCCTCCCTGCCCTTGCTCCCTTGTCCTTTCCTCCATCGCTCGCTCACTGGGATGATTCCTGGTTCTGCCACTGTGATATGTCGTGGTGAATGAGTGAGTGAGGGAAGCAGGAGCCTGGAAGAGGGAAGCAGGAGCAGGAGCCTGCAGCCGCTGCCGCCTTTGCCACCCTTCTCGCTCGTTCACCCACCCACTCCCCTTGCTTGCTACTCAAAGGGCTGAGTCCTGGTTCTGCCGCCAGGACCTGGCCCAGTGAGTGAGCAAGTGAGGGAGGGCACATGAGTGAGCGAGCGAGGGCGGCAAGGGTAGTAGCAGCGGCAGGAGCAGGAGCTTGGCCACCTCTTCCAGGCTCCGGCTCCTGCTGCTGCTTCTGCCTTTGCAGCCCTCCCTCGCTCACTCACCCACTCTCACTCGCTACTTACCATGCCACATCCCGGTGGCAGAATCAGGACTTGGCCCTGTCAGTAGTAAGGGAAGACGGGTGAGCGAGGGAGGTAAAGCCTCAAAGGCAGAAGCAGCGGCAGAAGCAGGAGTCTGGAAGAGGTGGCCAGGCTCCTGTTTCTCCCACCGCCACTGCCCTTGACACCCTAGCTGGCTCACTCATTTGCCCTCCCTTGCTTGCTCACTTATTGGCTGGATCCCGGCAGCAGAACCAGGACCCGGCCCGGTGAGTAGCAAGTGAGGGGGAGTGGGTAAGTGAGCGAGAAGAGTGGCAAAGAGTCCAACATGTTTGTTTATCCGACGTTCTGCTGGCCCATTTATGACAGATAACCGAGACTCTACTGCAGGGGTCCTCAAACTTTCTAAACAGAGGGCCAGCTCACAGTTCCTCAAACTGTTGGAGGGCCAGATTATAATTTGAAAGAAACATGAATGACTTCCTATGCACACTGCACATATCTTATTTGTAGTGCAAAAACACTTAAAAACAATACGATAATTAAAATGAAGAACAATTTTAACATATATAAACTTATTAGTATTTCAGTGGGAAGTGTGGGCCTACTTTTGGCCGATGACATAGGATTGTTGTTGTTGTTGTTATGTGCTTTCAAGTCATTTCAGACTTAGGTTGGCCCTCAGCGAGGGCCAGGTAAATGACCTTAGAGGGGTGTATCCGGCCCCCGGGCCTTAGTTTGAGGACCCCTGCTCTACTGTATTCTTTTTTTTTTTGTATTTTAAAAAAATCTTGTAGCCTTTCTTTCCGGATAATCCTTGTAGCAAGCAAAGTTTATTGAATAGTCTATTGACCGCATCAACATTAAAGATAATCCTTGTATGTATTTTAATTTATAGTTCCTTATTCTTTTCCAGTCCTCTATTTTGCAATTTCAATCCCGTTCTTAATTAGAAGTTAGATGTTTGTAACTTGAGGAACTCCCTGTATATATAGTTGAAACTGTGCATTTCCTTTGGAAGCATGTTGATGCACTGCATGAAGACCACAGGATGAGGGGGGGGGGGCAGAGAATACCTCAGCCCCACCTGAGACCTCTTCCCTTGTCTTCCTCCTCCTTTAGTGACCACCTCGAGCCCCATGAAGACCCTCTATGTGATGTCGGATGCCAAGCTGTCTGCGCTGACCAAGTCAGTCATGGCTGAAGCGGCTTCCAGCCCCCTGAAATCTGCAGCTCTTCAGACCCCCTCCTCTTCTTCCCCGTCCGTGACTTTTGCCCCTTCAACAGTAGCCAGTGCGTCCGGCAACTTGGGCCCCGTCCTGCAGACCACCTCCAAGACAGTGTTCCTGACCTCTGCGCTGGCAGCCATGAAGGGGGGCAGGGGGGAAAAAGCCGCACCAGCCAAAGGTCACCACTCCCATGTGCTGGGGCCGACAGAAGCCCTGGGCAGGGTGCCCTCCGTGGTGGACGACGGGACCAGCACCATCCTGCACACCCGGGAGGGCCTCCCCAGTAGACACTTGCTCCCTGCCGCCGGAGCCACCCTCATCACGCTGGGCAGCGGCCTGGGCAGTTCCTCCATAATTGCCACTGCTGGGCCGGCCCTCGGCCACAAACCATAGCAGCGGCAGCACTACACATCCTAACCCGCTCCCCCAATATGAAGGCGTCCAAGTCATTTCCTTTGTGGAAGCGAGGCCAGGCTCCAGGGCAAAGAATGATGTCCTCACTCCTGCTCCCCCCCCTCTTATGATGGATGCATCAACTTGTTTTGTTTGTACCCATTTAATAAACTTATCTTTTGTTTGTGTACGCAAGGTCTCTTTTCATCATTGCCACAAAAAAAGAGAGAAAGGAAGAGGAACCTGCAGACATTTGGGTGCAATGTACAAGACTTCTGACAGGCAGAAAATGAAAGGTTTGGCTCCTAATGCAAGGGAGAGAAGTGCTGTCCCAAGTCACAACATCACAGGCATCAATTGGTCCAAATGGTTGACTTCTAAAATCAATCCAGTGTGACACTAGAGCAGTGTTTCTCAACTTCCCTAATGCCACAACCCCTTAACACAGCTCCTCATGTTGTGGTGACCACCCATGCATAAAAGTATTTTTGTTGCTACTTCATAACTGTAATTTTTCTACTGTTATGAATCGTCATGTAAATATTTATTTATTTATAATTCAAACTTATAGGCCGCCACTCCCCTGGGGCTCGGAGCGGCTTACAAGAACAGGCTAAAATCTAACACAATTTAAAAACAATTTAAAACAACAATGTCAGAGATCAAAGGCCTGTCGAAACAGTTATGTCTTACATGCCCTGCGGAAAACTGATAGGTCCCGCAAGGCACGGACTTCAGGTGGCGGAGTATTCCAGAGTGATGGTGCCACTGCTGTAAAGGCTCTGCGTCTGGTTGCTGTTAGACGCAAGGTCTTGACACTGGGAATTTCCAATAGATCTTGGTCCTCAGAACGGAGGGATCTCTGGGGTTGGAAGGGGGTGAGGCGGTCCCTCAGGTACATCGGCCCCAGACCATGCAAGGCCTTAAAGGTGAGTACCATCACTTTGAAAGTGATTCGGTTCTCAATTGGTAACCAATGCAGCTGCAGTAAGATTGGTGTTATGTGGCATCTCATCGGAATTCCCACAAGAAGCCGAGCAGCTGCATTTTGTACCAACTTGAGCTTCCGGATCACCGACAGAGGAAGGCCAATGTAGAGGGCGTTACAGTAGTCCAGTCTTGAGATGACCGTGGCCTGGATCACCGTAGCTAGGTCATCCCTGGACAGGGAGGGGGCCAGCCATCTAGCCTGCCGCAGATAAAAAGTGGTTCTGCTAACGGCGGAGACCTGGGCCTCCATCACCAGCAGAGGGTCCAAAAGGACTCCCAGACTCTTTGCCAATGATGACGGGCGTAGCGCCTCGTCATCCAGGGTAGGCAGCTGGATATCCCCACTACCCAGTCGACCCAGCCATAGGATATCCGTCTTTGCTGGATTCACCCTCAACCTGCTGGCACGCAGCCATCCAGTAACAGCCTCGAGGCACTGATGGAAACAATCGGGTACAGAGTTCCATCTTCAGCACCAGCTGAGTGTCATCAGCGTACTGGTAACACTCCAGCCCAAAATATCCGATACGAAGGATGTATTTTCATTTACTAGACAAATTGGCCACAAATACCTGACACACCCAAATTTGAATACTGATGGGGTTGGTGGGGAATTGGTTTTGTCATTTGGGAGTTGTAGTTGCTGGGATTTATAGTTCACCTACAATCAAAGAGCATTCTGAACTCCACCAATGATGGAACTGAACCAAACTTGGCACACAGAACTCCCATGACCAACAGAAATAATGGAAGGATTTGGTGGACATTGACCTTGAGTTTGGGAGTTGTAGTCCAACTGCATCCAGAGAGCACTGTGGACTCAAACAATGATAGATCTGGACCAAACTTGGCACAAATCCTCAATATACCCACATGTGAACACTGGTGGAGTTTGGGAAAAATAGACCTTGACATTTGGGAGTTGCTGGGATTTATAGTTCACCAATAATCAAATAGCATCCTGAACTCCACCAATGATAGAATTGGGCCAAACTTCCCACACAGAACCCCCATGACCAACAGAAAATAATGTGTTTCTCTCTCCTGTTGTGATGACTTGGACAAAAATAACGTATGTAGTATAAGCCAAGGCACCTAATTTTCCACAAAAAACTGGGAAAATGAATTGACTCGAGTATAAGCCGAGGGTGGGAAATGCAGCAGTTACTGGTAAATCTCAAAATCAAAATCAATAAAATGGCATTAATTGAGGCATTAGGAGGTTAAATGTTTTTGAATATTTACATAAAACTGTAGTTTAGGATAAGTGTGTCCAACTCAGATAAAACCATTATTGTGACCTTCTTCAATGTAAATGTGTTTATGTATCCTTCCAATAATAATAGAGTAAAATAATAAATGTAATAAAATAGAGTAAAATAATTAATGTAATAACAATAGAGAAAATAATATAATAATACTAATAGAGTAAAATAATAAATGTAATAAAATAATAGAGTAAAACAATATAAATGTAATAATAGAGCATATTGTGCTCTATTATTATCTCTAACATAATAATAACAGAGTAAAATAGTAAATAACCTTGACTCGAGTATAAGCCATGGGCAGCTTTTTCAGCCTAAAAAGGGGGCTGAAAAGCTTGACATATACTCAAGTATGTATGGTACATCACTATATGAAGCAAGGAAATAGTGGAGGGAACAGAGAATGCCCCTTTAAAACTTGTTTTAGGGTGAGCTTTCATGTATTGCACGGGGACAAACAAACCGTCCTCAGAGGCTTTGGCGGGAATGAACATTTTATTCTGTTTAAGAAAACAGATAAATTATACAGTGATGGTTACAACAGACAAAAACCACATATATTTAGGTTGAATCCTTGGTTGCCATCTTTTGCTAGACTTTACTTGCAACTTGGTATACTTTGAGGAAAAGAAGAAATGTCCCAAACAAAAGCTGTGAGACTGAGGCCAGTGAGTTGAGATTAACATGCCACAAAACAGCTCTCATTCCCGGAAATGCCATTTCTGTAATCACTACCACTTTCCCCATCTGTGTATCTTTAAAAAAAATTGTATCAATTGGCTGGGCCATATAGAACAAAAATAATAATTTACCCCACTGATAAAACACATTCCTTGTCAAAATTCATGCCAGCTGGAAAATATACAATAATATCATTCTGGCCCAATAATAAGCACAGATACAACTGACTCCCTCCTACCTGATTAGCAACCAGAGCCTTCAAATGAATAAATATTTCCGGAATGTAGCACAGGACTCAATTGAGAAGTTCTTAAGAAGGAAACAGAGTCTCTCCAAGGTGATCATTTTCATGATAAGAGCTTGCTGTTGGCATCATGGTTTCGCAGAGAAATGCAGACTGCTCTGATTGATGGCAAGGGAAGCTGGGTTGTAACTGGAGACACTTGGTGGCCCCTTTGTCTGCTGTTTATGGCCCAGTTGAGAGGGGATCTCAAGCCTGTCACCACTCTCCAACCCGATCTCTGGGAATAAGCCGCAATTCGGAACCGTGCTTCAGGAAAACATTTCCTAATGTGGGGGGAAATGAAAGCTAGTGATTTGAGAAGCAACACGTGAAATAGCTGTACTTAGCTTTTTAGGTAAATAATAAATGGGTTGCTGTAAGTTTTTGCAGTCCGAACAGGCCATCCTTAGCACATACATGCCCCAGAGATCACAGATATACATGAGTGAGAAAATCTCCAGGTTGTTCATTAAGTACCGGAAGGATGCCAGTTGCCTTCCGGTTACCTCTTGTACAGGAGTTGATTATAAATTGTATGATTTTAACTGTATTTGTGTTTAGATTGGCTGCAGTAATGCTGGAGTGGCCTAAGTCAGAGGAGTCCTCCATGTGCGTTGCCATGGAGACCGATGCAGGAGAGAGGGAAGTGGGAGGAGCTTAGAGGGGAGAGTTTGAAAAAACGACAGTTAAAAATCTGTTAGGGTTTAGGTTTAGAGGAGTGAGCAGTCAGGAGTTAGGTTCAGAGGAGTGAGGAGTTGGGAGAGAAGGAAAGGAAAGGTGGCGGAGTGACTTGTGAAGCAAAACTTTGAGGCTTTGAAAAGCTGGGTTTGGCTATTGGAAGTTTCTCAGACTAGTGCAGCCGAATGGTGAAACATAGCTGGAATTCTTTTAGTCTAAGGAGAGGCTAAAGAATAGTTTACGTAGTATTTGATCTTGGGAGGATCAACTAAGGGAAACATCCCTGTATGGAAACTTTGTCTGAAACAAGTGCTCTACGTCAGAAAGATACTGTGTTACTAGAAAGAATGAACTGTTAAAGTTACAAGCATTATTCCAAGTGCAACAAGGAAAAGTTACGTCTTGCAACCACACGCTGTGTACTTAATAAAATTGTTAACTTTTATTTGAAGATTGCCTCAGCTCCGTCTATTCTGTGTACCAAGTGCCATTTCTCACAATATTACAACTTACCTCACGTGGTGGCAGAAACGTAAGGATAAGTAACCAAATAAATCTACATTCTTCTCTCCAGTCACGCTACAGTATATACAGTATATACGGTATATACAGTGTAATTACTACTAAGTTATTACTTTCTTAATAAAGGAGGAGGTGCAATTGAACAGCCTCCCTTCTAACTTGATGGTAAATTTGGTTCCTAATCGGCAACCTCCATTGCAAATCGGCTAAGTCTTTTTAAAATTGGGAACTGGGGTAAAATCTCCTGAATACTGGTTCCTTTTAAATTGGTGGCAACAATAAATCATCCCTCAGCTCCCTTGTTTCTTTTCACCTCTCAACCTTTATCCTCATGGATTGTGTTGACAATATGTTTGGCATATCAACAGGTTGGAAAAGATCCTCCTCACCAGCTCGGTGTCTACATCCATGGCCTTCCTGAGGAGCATACCGTTAGATGCTGTGTGCCGTGCCACCACCTGGTCTACTCCACTTACCTTTGTGTCCCACTACAAGCTGGATGTTTCATCCAGGAGGGACAATGAGTTTGGAAGGACAGTCCTCTTCTCTGCGGTGATGTGATACGCACCAACCAAGGTCAGTAGCTCAATAGTTTACCAAATGTGCGATTTACAATTGACCACGATGGAGAAATATGGATTGCTTACCCGTAACCGTATTTCTCTGAGTGGTCACCTGTGAATTCACACATCCCCACCCATCCTCCCCAATTTTGTCATGCCTCTGTCCTTCTGGCTACCGTGCACGGTGGAAGAACTGGAGCAATAGCCCCTCCTGCTGGCTATATATACTCCCAAGGGGAGAGTGGGTGGGGCTACCACCAAAAATGTTTAATAATGTGTCTAGAAGATTCCGAAGTTGTCTGCTCAGACGCAGAAAATACCATATGTGTGAATTCACAGGTGACCTCGCAATCTCTGAGGATGCCCGATACAGATGTGAGTGAAACGTCAGGAGGAAATGCTTCTGGAACATGGCTAGCCAGCCCAGAAAACTCACAGCAAACCCACTGATTTCGGCCTCGAAAGCCTTTGACAACACAAATAATAAATGGCTGTTTGGAAAACACTTGAGGGCCTCTATAGAAAATGTGCAAAACCATCACTGTATTTAGGCACTTGTTGAAGCTCTCTGTCTAAGCCTCCTTAATGAAAGTTATAATGGCAATATAGTATAGGCCAGAAACTTCATGCACTTTTCAGAGACAGGAAGATGTGGGCCGTGCTGCCTTTCCCTGGGACTTAATCTCCATTATAGTCAATGAAATGCAGAGAGAGAAATGACAGAAAAGTACAACTCACCAGCTGTCTGTGCAGGATTTATTCCTATTCCATCTAGAGGGGAAACAGAGAGTTAAAACAAGCATGCATGAAAAATCCATCATTGCATTGATCCCAAGCAAACAAGACAGACCAACACACTAGGACACAGCGATCCTCGCAATAAAGCAAGAAGGGCTGCTTAATTGTTTGAGTCAAAGTCACTCACTGCTCTTTACTCCTAGCAGAAAGTAAAGAAAGCTGCTCTGAAATCCCAGCAGCCTTATATTAAACTAAAAAACACAATTACCGTATATACTCGAGTATAAGCCGACCCGAATATAAGCCAAGGCACCTAATTTTACCATAAAAAAACTGGAAAAACATATAGACTCGAGTATAAGCCGAGGGTGGGAAATGCATCCGCTACTGGTAAATTTCAAAATAAAAATAGATTACCAATAAAATTGCATTAATTGAGGCATCAGTAGCTTAAATGTTTTTGAATATTTACATAAAACTGTAATTTAAGATAAGACTGTCCAACTCTGATTAAACCATTATTCTGACCTTCTTCAATGTAAATGTGCTTCTGTGTCCTTCCAATAATAATAGTCTAAAATAATAAATGTAATAATAACAGTAATAATAGAGTAAAATAATAAATGTAATAATTATAATAAAGTTAAATTATAAATTTAATAATAGAGTAAAATAATACATGTAGTAGTAGTAGTAGTAGCAGTAGTAGTAGCAGTAGTAATAATAATAAAACAACAACAACAACAGAGTAAAATAATAAATAACCTTGACTCGGGTATAAGCCGAGGGAGAGTTTCTCAGCCTGAAAAAAGGGCTGAAAAATTAGGCTTATACTCAAGTATATACAGTACTTTCTGAAATCATTGTTTTCTGGTCTGAAAGGTTCCCAAAGACTCCAAGAAGCCCTTTGTCAAAGAGACTTACCATGGACCTGCTTAAAACAGGTGAAAAGTGCCTGTCAGAAATATTAAAAATTAACTAGGTATTTTTAGTTACAAAAATGTGAATCAAGCACTGAAAGGACTAAATGGATGCAACGGCTCAGCAAAAACTCCTATTTTATCTCATCATAGTCTATTGTTTTTTATTTGGAATATGTGGCCCGCCCATTGTCATCTCTATCGTGATTGTGTCTATTGGAATTTTTATTTTATTTTATTATTACTATTATTTTTTATTATTATTTTAATGTTATTTTGATAATGTTGTTGTTGTCTGTTGTATATGCTTTGCTTTTATTGCTGTATTATGTTTTCCGGGCTTGGCCCTATGTAAGCCACTCCGAGTCCCCATCGGGGAGATGGTGGCGGGGTAGAAATAAAGATTATTATTATTATTATTATTATTATTTATTATTATAGCTGCAGTTCAATATAAGCAGGTGTGCCTGTAGCCTGTACCCACTTTTTCCTTCCAGGCACTTTGAGTACTCCCACTGGACATCTGGGCTCTTTTGGTGAAGCTTCACTCAGACAATATCTGGCAATACCGACCACTATCCCTGTGTCCTGGCATTAAAAAACTCACCGTTTGTTATGATGGCGCTTGTTGCTGCCGGGACTTTGAACTAAACAGAACAGAAGCACAACGTATTAAAGGAAATCGGGATGCCATAATCACTCATATCGTGCAACTATGACCCCCCCCCGGTGCCGACATATACCACATGGCCAAAAGGGAAGCCAGGATGCTGGAAGGGAACATGAACCGGCCATAAAGATCAATTGCTCTGATATGTGTGAATCGGAACTCCAGTATGTGGGAATTTCAGTGATTTATGAAATTGTAGGTAAAATCATATATGGGCTTAGAACATAGCTCAGGTACATTGGGAGAGTAGGCTTAATAACAAAAGACCCTCCTCATAAATGTACAGCAGTGTGAATCAGTAGCCCAAAGTGAGATAAAGAACAAAAACACGCAGACCAATGAAGAGAGGGGCCATGAAGCCAGCATCTTGCCTCCAGTGTCATCAGTTGGGAGTCCCCCCCCCCCCCGCCCCCAGCAACAACCGCTGCTCTGAGATCAGAATGAAGAGAGGGGCCATGAAGACAATTCCAAATGACGCTCCTACATTCCCTGCTTTGGGAATCTCTTGAAACAAATCAAGTAAAAAAGCACAAGAAAATGGCAACCATGAGATTTGTTCTGTCGTGCGCTGGGCTTGAAAGGAATTGCTTTTAAAACAGGACGTGCAACTTTAGCCCAGCGGGAAGCCAGGGGGCCCAAAGAGAAATTCTTAAGGATTTTCACCATAAACAGTCTTTAGAGGGCTTGTGAAATATAACAAAGTCTTTACTGGTAAACAATAAACTTCTTTTGTCTTCAGGCTTTTGTCTTCCAGGCTTTTGTGCCACTGGTGGCTTCTAACTGTTACTTTACTCTAAAGGAAAATCCCTTTCCAAACTTCTCCCAGGCTAACTGTGAACCTAAATCTAACTGATGTGGGCTCCACTACCGGACTGAACTGCGTCTCAAAGCACCGAGTGGACCTACCAGTAGGCCTGTAGTCACTTCAGCTGGAGTTCTTAGATGTTCAAAGCTGTTTTTCCCTCCAAAATTCCTCAGATCTTTAGGGCTGTTTCCCTGGGAATCTTTGGAAATCCTTTTGCTCTTAAGACTGTTCTCCCCCAAGAGGTCTCAAGGGTTGAAGCCTTTATACAGGAGAAGTCTGTACACGTCCTGTACATTGACTTTCCTTGCTGAGACTGACTGAAAATGGCTCCCTTCCCTTCTCAATTGTCCTGAACAGGGGGCGGAAACCAAACTTAACGGTGATGGACAGAGGGCCTGCCCTATAACTGCAAACTTTAATAGGAAGCCACCCTTCTGCAGAATCCCAAGCCTTGGACTGCAAGCAAACACTTCATACAAGGCAAATAAAGTGGGAGCTTCTGGTACAGCTGTACCAGCACAACATTGTTTGGGAAAATAAGAGAGCAACTTACTTCTTCCGCAGCAAATTTCAAGACAGCCGTGAACGGTGTGACTTCAGGCACACTCAGTCTACAGGAAACCAGAAATAACACGACTGTGAGACCAGAACATAAATCATGGAATCATGGAGTAGCAGTTTCACAGGGCCTTGAGCCTTCTCTGCCCAGGAGTGCCTGTGCCTCACCAAACTACAGCTTCCTGCATCCCACAGCATTGAGATTTGGCAGTTCAAGTGGTGTTAAACTGCATTAATCCCACAGTGAAGGGGGCAATGGGCACCTATTTAATTTGATTAATAAATAGCAATGGTATGAGGAATAGTTTGATAAAATAAATAGCCTTAGTCTTTAGTGTTAGAATCTGGCATGAGAAAAACAGCCTGACAGGAAAATGAAACACAAACAAAAAAAACAGGCCCAGCAATAAACAGGCCATCACCCTTTTTAGAGATACAAAAGGAGACATCAGTTGAAGGTCTGGAATGCCAAACTGCATTAAATCACTACTGATCAAGCAGCCAGCTGCATTAAATCACTACTGACCAAGAGGTTATGAGTTCGAAGCCAGCTCAGGTTGGAGTGAACTCCCGACCATTAACAGTCTAGTTTGCTGTTGACCTATGCAGCCCAAAAGACAGTTGCATCTGTCAAGTAGAAAATTTAGGTACCACTTTATGCGGGGAGGCTAACTTAACTAATTTACCACACCATCAAACCTTCCAGCAGCGTGCATAAGAATGAGGAAGTACTCCATCAAGGACTCGGTATCACAAGCGGATGGTGAAGCGGCAGCTCCCCCTGTGGTCGGAATCAAGCATACCCTCATGAAGCCGGAAAGCTGGAATGTTAAATTGCCTGTGTCTGTCTATATATGTTGCATGCCTAAAGGCATTGAATGTTTGCCATGTAAATGTGCCTTGTAATCCACTCTGAGTCCCTTGTGGGGTGAAAAGGGCGGAATACTGTAAATAAATAAATAAACAAACTATCGGTGGGTTGTTGTAGGTTTTTTCGGGCTGTATGGCCATGGTCTAGAGGCATTCTCTCCTGACGTTTCGCCTGCATCTATGGCAAGCATCCTCAGAGGTAGTGAGGTCTGTTGGAAGTAGGAAAATGGGTTTATATATCTGTGGAATGATCAGGGTGAGACAAAGGACTCTTGTCTGCCAGCCATAGGTTTTTGAATCCTTGAGTGCTACAGTTTATTGGTTATTGTTTATATGTGATTTATATTAATTGTATTGTATTTATTGTTTTGTTTGCTGCTTTTGTTTTTATTGATGCGTCGTTGGGCTTGGCCTCATGTAATCCGCTCCGAGTCCTTTGGGGAGATGGTGGCGGGGTATAAATAATAGAATCACCCCCGACAGATGGCCATCCAGCCTCTGTTTTAAAGCTTCCAAAGAAGGAGCCTCCACCACACCCCGGGGCAGGGAGTTCCACTGCTGAACAGATCTCAGTCAGGAAGTTCTTCCTCATGTTCAGATAGAATCTCCTTTCTTGCATTTAGAAGCCATTGTTCTGCATCCTAGTCTCCAAGGAAGCAGAAAACAAGCTTGCTCCCTCCTTCCTGTGGCTTCCTCTCACATATTTACACATGGCCCCATGTCTCCTCTCAGCCTCCGCTTCTTCAGGCTAAACATGCCCAGCTCTTTAAGCCGCTCCTCATAGGGCTTGTTCTCCAGACCCTTGATCATTTTAGCTTGTCAATATCTCTCTTCAATTGTGGTGCCTAGAACTGGACACAATATTCCAGGTGTGGTCTAACCAAGGCAGAATAGACAGGTAGAATGACTTCCCTGGATCTAGACACTAGAATCATAGAATCCTAGAGAAAATGTTTTCTTTATGTCGTCACTATCCGAATATTTTTATTATCTTATTAATATTAATCTTCATTTTTTCCTGCAAGTACTTTTTGAGTTGGTTCCAATCGGTTTGATTTTCCTTTTTCTGATTTTTAATTAGCTGTGACAGTCTATCCATATTCATAAATTCTCCAATCTTGGAGAGCCAATTCTTTATTATTGGGGGGTCTTTGTCTTTCCATTTTTGGGCGATCGTAATTCTCGCTGCGGCTGCGAGATAAAAAAGAATCTTTTCTTCGTTTTTCCCAATTTCAAAATCCATTATATTCAACAGGTAGTATTCGGGTTTCAATTCGTATTTTATTTTGATAATATTTTTACAGGGCCTGTGGATTGTTATCCAGTATTTCTTAATGATCTTACAATCCCACCACATGTGGTGGTATGATCCCATTTCTCTTTCGCATTTCATAGAATCATAGAATCGTAGAGTTGGAAGAGACCTCATGGGCCATCCAGTCCAACCCCCTGCCAAGAAGCAGGAATACTGCATTCAAATCACCCCTGACAGATGACCATCCAGCCTCTGTTTAAAATCTCCCAAAGAAGGAGCCTCCACCACTCTCCGGGGCAGAGAGTTCCACTGCTGAACGGCTTTATAATAATAATAATAATAATAATAATAATAATAATAATAAAGTTTTATTATTATTATAAAGGAATTGGAAGGAACAGAAGAGGAAGAGGAGGAAGGAAGGAAGGAGAGAGTAAAAGGAAAAAAGAGAGGGAAAGAAGGAGAGAAAGAAAGGAGGAAAGAAAGAGAGGGGATGGTTGGCCACAGCAAGGCGTGGCGGAGGGGGGGTAAAGCTAGTAATAATAATAAAAACTTTAACATTGTAGACCAGTGATTCTCAACCTGGGGTCCCAGATGTTTTTGGCTTACAACTCCCAGAAATCCCAGCCAGTGTACCAGCTGTTAGGATTTCTGGGAGTTGAAGGCCAAAAACATCTGGGGACCCACAGGTTGAGAACCACTGTTGTAGACTGATTCTACAGGTTGCCGGAAGTCACGACACACAGCCTTCTGTCTCTCTCCCGCCCCTCCCTCTGGAAAGCGACGTGTCCAATGCCCCTCCCGCGCATGCGCAGTACCCTCGCCAGGCGTCTCCCTTCCCTCAGGTCGGGACTCACACTTTGTAAGGCAGCCGCGGGTCGGAGGTGAGCGTGACTTTGAACGTGACTTTGGACCTGTGGGAAAGGCGGAGAGGAAAGGCGTCAGCGTGGCCGAGAAAGAGCCGCCAAACACACAGAAAAGCTGTCCGCGAACTCACATTTTGGTCGCCTCCGGCTGCTTAAGGGCCCACTTCCCGGCTCCGCGTGCTTCGTCACTTCCGGAGGTGTGGTTTTTCTCCTGTCAGGCCTTCCCACGTGACCTAAGGCAGGGAGGGGCGGGGCTCTCTAGCCAAAGAGAGATTGAGACGCTGCACCGGAAGTGGGGCGGGGCCAAGCCCGGAAGTGGGCTTCATCAGAGCGCTGGAGGGCTTCCCGTCGCCATGAGCAAGAGGAAAGCCCCTCAGGAAAACCCCAACGACGGCATCACCGACTTCCTCACCGGTAGGTGGGCCTCAGGACGAAGACCAGCCCCGTGCATCAATAGGAGTGTGGTGGAGGCTCCTCCTTTCATAGAATCAAAGAGTTGGAAGAGCTTGAAGCCATCTGTCGGGAGGGATCAAATGTTGTTCTTCTGCCTGGAATAGAATCATAGAATCAAAGAGTTTGAAGAGATCTCATGGGCCATCCAGTCCAACCCCATTATGCCAAGAAGCAGGAATATTGCATTCAAATCACCCCTGACAGATGGCCATCCAGCCCCTGTTTAAAAGCTTTCAAAGAAGGAGCCTCCACCACACTCTGGGGCAGAGAGTTCCACTGCTGAACGGCTCTCACAGTCAGGAAGTTCTTCCTAATGTTCAGATGGAACCTCACAACCTCTGAGGATGCTTGCCATAGATGCAGGCGAAACGTCAGGAGAAAATGCCTTTAGACCATGGCCATATATCCCGAAAAAACCTACAACAACCCAGTGATTCCGGCCATGAAAGCCTTTGACAATACATGGGATCTCCTCTCTTGTAGTTTGAAGCCATTGTTCCGCGTCCTAGTCTCCAGGGAAGCAGAAAACAAGCTTGCTCCCTCCTCCCTGTGGCTTCCTCTCACATATTTATACATGGCTATCATATCTCTCAGCCTTCTCTTCTTCAGGCTAAACATGCCCAGCTCCTTCAGCCGCTCCTCATAGGGCTTGTTCTCCAGACCCTTGATCATTTCAGTCGCCCTCCTCTAGACACATTCCAGCTTGTCAATATCCCTCTTGAATTGTGGTGCCCAGAATTGGACACAATATTCCAGGTGTGGTCTAAGCAAGGCAGAACAGAGGGGTAGCATGACTTCCCGGGATCTAGACACTACGCGCCTATTTATTTCTCGTGTCAGGGCAACCAGTCAATTATATTACATTTCTAACAGAACAAAGCAAACAAACAGACAAAATACAGAATTTGTAAGTTGATTAAATGTCCTTTGACCAGTATCTGGCCACTTGGAGTGTCTCTGGTGTTGTTGCAAGGAAGTCCTCCATTGTGCATGTGGCAGGGCTCAGGTTGCATTGCAGCAGGTGGTCTGTAGCTTTCTCATCTCCACACTTGTATGTTGTGGATTCCACTTTGTAGCCCCATTTCTGAGAGTTGGCTCTGCATCTTGTGGTGCCAGAGGGCCTTCCAAGTCGTCCAGTTTTCTGTGTGCCCAGGGGGAGTCTCTCATTTGGTATCAGCCATTGATTGAGGTTCTGGGTTTGAGCCTGCCACTTTTGGACTCTCTTTTTCTGCCTAAGTGGAGTATCTTGCATTTGTCACTGTTGAACTTCATTTTGTTAGTTTTGGCCCATCTCTCTAATCTGTCAAGATCGTTTTGAATCCTGCTCCTGTCCTCTGGAGTATTGGCTCTCCCTCCCAATTTGGTGTCGTCTGCAAACTTTATGATCCTGCCTTCTAACCCTTCATCTAAGTCATTAATAAAGATGTTGAACAGGACCGGGCCCAGGACGGAACCCTGCGGCACTCCGCTCGTCACTTCTTTCCAGGATGAAGAGGAAGCATTGGTTGAGCACCCTCTGGGTTCATCCATTTAACCAATTACTTATCCACCTCACCGTAATTTTGCCTAGCCCACATTGGACTAGTGGAGGCTTTTAAACAGAGGCTGGATGGCCATCTGTCAGGGGTGCTTTGAATGCAATATTCCTGCTTCTTGGCAGGGGGTTGGACTGGATGGCCCATGAGGTCTCTTCCAACTCTTTGATTCTATGATTCTAGTGTCTAGATCCAGGGAAGTCATGCTACCTGTCTATTCTACCTTGGTTAGACCACACCTGGAATATTGTGTCCAATTCTGGGCGCCACATTTGAAGAGAGATATTGACAAGCTAAAATGATCAAGGGTCTGGAGAACAAGCCCTATGAGGAGTGGCTTAAAGAGCTGGGCATGTTTAGCCTGAAGAAGAGGAGGCTGAGAGGAGACATGAGGGCCATTTATAAATATGTGAGAGGAAATCACAGGGAGGAGGGAGCAAGCTTGTTTTCTGCTTCCCTGGAGACAAGGATGCGGAACAATGGCTTCAAACTACAAGAAAGGAGATTCCATCTGAACATGAGGAAGAACTTCCTGACTGTGAAAGCTGTTCAGCAGTGGAACTCTCTGCCCTGGAGTGTGGTGGAGACTTTTTCTTTGGAAGCTTTTAAACAGAGGCTGGATGGCCATCTGTCGGGGTGCTTTGAATGCAATATTCCTGCTTTTTGGCAGGGGGTTAGACTGGATGGCCCATGAGATCTTTTCCAACTCTATGATTCTATGTGGGCTGGACAATGAGGTGGATCTGCCATTGGTTAAGCGACTGAACCCAAAGGGCGCTTCTCCCCAATGGTTCTTCCTCCTCATCCTGGAAAGAAGGGACTAGTGGAGTGCCAGGAAGAGGTCCTGTCCTGGGCCCAGTTCTGCTCAAGATCTTTATTAATGGCTTAGATGAAGGTACCTGCTGTTGTATTCTTTACTGCCACTTATATTTTTTACAACAAATCCTCTTTTCAGAACTGGCCAACTATGAGAGAAATGTGAACAGAGCCATCCACAAATACAATGCTTACAGGTGAGGTCTCCATGAAGGGAGGGTATTTTAGGTTTTGATGGGAATATTGCTGCCAAAAAAAATGTTAGAAGAAAAGAACATCATATTTGTCCCTTTTCTTTTACAACTTTACTACCTGTCTGATACTGGTGCATTGTGTCATGGGCAGTCTCCTTTAATCTGATACCAGTCTCTGTCTCTCCATCTCCTTTGGTGTAGTCTTGCAAGAAGGAAACAGCATACAGGAGGAACTTGATTTCACCTCTTATCCATGGAGAGGCAGGTTCACAGAGAAGAAAGAAAGTTACCATATATACTAAAGTATAAGTCAACCCGAACATAAACAGAGGCTCCTAATTTTAGCCCAAAAAAACTAGAAAAACGTATTGACTCGAATATAAGCCGAGGGTGGGAAATACAGCAACTACTGGTAAATTTCAAAATAAAAATAGATACCTATAAAATTACTTTAATTGAGGGCTCAATAGGTTAAATGTTTTTGAATATTTACATAAAATTGTAATTTCAGATAAGACTCTCCAACTCTGATTAAACCATTATTCTAACCTTCTTCAGTGTAAATGTTCTTACATGTCCTTCCAATAATAAAAAAGACAGTAAAGTAAATGGAACAACAATAATAGGAGTAAAATAATGCAAATGTAATAACACTAATAATAGAGTAAAATGATGCAAATGTAATAATAGTAAAATAAATGTAGTAATAGAGTAAATTATTATTATTATTATTAACTTTATTTGTACCCCGCTAGCATCTCCCGAAGGACTCGCTGCAGCTTACAAAGGCCAAGGCCACAATAAAACAACAATATAACAATTACATATAAACCAAAAGCAAATCAAAAACATTAAAGCAATAACAGTAAACAGTAAAAACAGCACACCGTGACACAATAAAACTAGGCCGGGCAAATGTACTGGGTACAGATTAAAAAGTGCTGGGTATGCTGAGTGATATAAGGATTTTGGATAAGTGCAATGTGTGGACAATCTTAATCTCTAATAAAGTGTTTTTGGGACGTGTTGCTGGGGTTTCCTATTCTGGAAAGGCACACCGGAATAGCCAGGTCTTCAAGTTCTTCCTAAAGACTGCCAACGTAGGGGCTTGTCTGATGTCCTTGGGGAGGGAATTCCACAGAGAAGGCCCTGTCCCTCTCTGATGTCCTTGGGGAGGGGCTACCACAGAGAAGGCCCTGTCCCTCGTCCCCACCAAACGCGCTTGCGACGCAGGTGGAATCATGAGCAGGGTCTCTCCGGATGAATGAAGAGAGCGTCCAGGTTCATAGATGGAGATGCGGTCACGCAGGTAGGCAGGTCCCAAACCGTTTAGGACTTTGTAGGTGAGCACCTGCACCTTGAATTGTGACCGGAAAATGAACGGCAGCCAGTGGAGCTCCTTGAACAGGAGGGTTGACTTCTCACTGTAAGGAGCACCAGTTAACATCCTGGCCGCCGCCCATTGGACTAGCTGAAATTTCCGAGTTGTTTTCAAGGGCAGCCCCACGTAGAGTGCATTACAGTAGTCCAATCTAAATGTAATAGTTGTAATAACAACAACAGAGTAAAATAATTAATAATCTTGACTCAAATATAAGTTGAGAGGGGCTTTTTCAGCCTAAAAAAGGGCCGAGAAACTTGGCTTATACTTGAGTATATACGGTATGTTTGAAAAATGTTTGGAAGCATTTGGGAACGTTTGCCTACTGGACCTACTGAACCTTTTAAATGGTTAGCCAGTGATATTCTGAATATGCCTGAGCACTTCTTTTCTAAACCAAATGATATTTATTAACATAATTCTTAATCAAAAATGTGAATAAAAGTTGGCTGCAAAATGGAGGGCTCTGGCCTCATCCTCCTTGCAGCTTCCCTTTGGCTAACCAGAATGCAGATTTGTTTTCTCGTACAGAAAAGCAGCCTCCGTAATTTCCAAGTACCCAAGCAAGATCAAAAGTGGAGCCGAAGCCAAGAAACTAGTAAGTCCTGTGACTTGGCCAGGTTGGAATGTTCCTTCTTAAAGAAAAAAAAAAGAATTTCTGTGCTTGTCTGTGGTTTGATTGAATACTTTTACTGTGCCCTAACCAGCAAAAGAGAACGTACACTTTTCCTTGATTTATAGAGTGATCAAAAAGAAAAAAAATGTAGGGATACTTTGATTGTGCTTTTCCTGTATGGCAGGGGATTGGAATGTATGGCCCACGTGGTCTCTTCCAACTTTATTATTCTAGTTAGAAATGCTATTGCATTCGCTTAGAGGTTTGATATTGTCTTATACCCTGTTTCCCCGAAAATACGACAGTGTCTTATATTAATTTTTCCTCCTAAAGATGTGCTAGGTCTTATTTTCAGGGGATGTCTTATTTTACCATGAAGAAGAATTCGCATGCTCTGGTGGTCTGTTCGGCGGGCATGCTTCTAAACAAAAACTTTGCTAGGTCTTACTTTCGGGGAGGCCTTATATTTCACTATTCAGCAAAAGCTCTACTGTGTCTTATTTTTAGGGGATTTTTTGGGGGGAGGGGAACAGGGCAATAAACTTGAAATGTGTTTAAAATAGCACAGAATGTAAGAAACAACAAATACCAAAATGTCTTACAACTGTAGAAGACATTGAGAGCACATTGATGTGGAAAAGTGGAGTTCTTTGGGGTTTCCTCTGCCACCCATTTTGTGCCTTTTTGCAACACTTAATGTCAAGGGTCGTGTAATGTATTTCACCATATACACTCGTCCATGTTTCAGGATGGTGTAGGAGCTAAAATTGCTGAAAAGATCGACGAGTTTTTGTCTACTGGGAAACTGCGGAAACTGGAAAAGGTACGGATTTGGATTAGATGGGGGGAGCTAGTATTCCTTTGCCCTCCTACCAGTTAGGAACTGGCTTGCTGTTGTCCATGCTGGCATGAGCTCCCTCCCTACATGATTGCTCTTGCAGCACTTGGCTTCTGTAGACTCGTAGGTTGCCCCTTTTCTGCTCCCTAGAATGAGACAGTTTGCTCTTCCAATCATTTCATATCACCCACACACACAACTCCCCCCCCCCACCCTCAGGACTATTTTCCAAAACCAAACATATACTTTCTGTTTTAGTTTGGGATTTGTTCTTTCCCTGGCATTATTGGAAGTCTGTGCAGCTCCTAAAGCAATGTTTCTCAACCTGAGGGTCGGGACACCTGGTGGGGTCACAAGGGTGTGTCAGAGGGGTCGCCAAGGACCTTCAGAAAACATATATTTCGGATGGTCTTAGGAACCCCTTTGGCAGAGAAGGCTGCAGATCTCTCCGTGTGTCCTCTTCCTTTCTGGAAACAGACAGCGAATCCGCCTACCAAGAGCCTTCCTCCGCTGTGATTGGCTGGCCTCTCAGCCAAGGAGAGGGCTGTTCCTGAGACTCCCAAGTGGGGAGGGGAGAGCAGGCATGCTTGGCACATGGCAGTGTGGTGCGCATGTGTGGGCGAAAGATAGCGTACAAGTCTGGAGGAAAGCTCGCGCAAGACAAGGGGGTTCTGTATGGGAAGTTTGGCCTAATTCTGTCATTGGTGGGTGTAAAGAAGCGATATAATTACAGGTGCTGTCGTGTGGCAGGGGAGACCTTTATTTTCTATCCCACCGGTGCCACCATCTTATAACAAAGACACGTCGACGAAGCCACCAGTTCAATAACAAAGCCTGTATCTATATACAGTGAGTGTGGTGGGAATGTTCTGCCTTCTCTTAGACATATACGAATACGTGTGACATGTGTTAGCCACCACTTTAACACTTAGGATGTACTCTGTTTCCACCCTGTTGAAATGTGCCTTTAATTTAGCTTTAGTGCCACCATTTACTATTATGTAGAGCATGTGAGAGAAGAATATTTCATTTTTAAAACGTTTTGCTGCTTTGTACTGATTCAGGTTCCTTTTTCAAACTGAATAGGACTCTCTGTGTTTATAAAAACCTTTTGGCTTTGAATCATAGGCTTGAGGCTCTCGTATGCAACAAGTTAACAACGTTTATTTATAACTTTAAGTTCCAATACTTGTGATTACATTTGTATCTTGTCACGTTCTTAAAGCTTACTTTCAATTTCATTAACTTGGTTACTTTTCCCTTTAAACTCTTGACAGAATTATATTGTAACTTAAGCCACACTGGCTTTAACTTATTCTCCTTTACAACTTGAGCTACATTTAATAACTCTTCTCTCAAAACAGAGTTTCCCCACTGTCTCTCTCTCAGACAGGATTCTTTTCACACTCAGATTCCTAACTGCTTCACAAACAGCTATTCCTAACTCACTTCACAAGCAGCCATTCCTTTTTTTTTTTTTTAATATATTTTTATTGAAAGATTTTTCCATAATTACAAACATTCATATCAAACACATCAGAATTCTAGTAGATTATTGATTCAAGCATCATTCCTTTTACATTACTCCTTTAGGGTTCACAATTATCACGTTGACACTTCCCTGTTCTTCGCATACACTCGAATATCAGGTCAAAGTATATTATTCTCTACTAAAATCCATATTCAACTAACGTGAAAGGGAGAGGAGTGGGTTAAAGGGGGCGGAAAAGGGAGTGGAGGGGGTAGTGAGGGGTAGGCGGGTTGTGAAAAGTAACCTAAACATGTATACATCCATTGAACTTCCCAACAGTCCTGGGGGTAATTACATCCTTGTATATTCCTACTTAATATTACCTCTCTTTGTTGCTGACGTCTACGATCAAACAGGAAGAGAAAAGACCTCATACAATTAAGTTTTTCTTTTCTTTAAAAAAGAGTCTAAGTGGACACCAATCTACTCTTCTCCTTACATTAATGTTATATATCAAATTAGATAATGAATCTAACTCCATAAAGTCCTTTATCTTATATAACCAAGCCTCCACCGACGGTATTTCCCTCACTTTCCATTTATTCGCTATTACGATTCTCGCGGCTGCTGAAAGATGAAAGAGCAAACTCTCCTTATTTTTCTCCATCTTAAAGTCCAATAAGTGCAGAAGGTAGTATTCCGCCTTTAGCTCGAACTTTAATTGCAAAATCCCCTGTATATTTCGGTGGATCTCCTTCCAGAAGGTTTTGATTTTTTTACAGTCCCACCAACAATGTATAAATGTGCCAACTTTGGTACCACATTTCCAACACAGATTACTAGCACCACGATAAAATTTTGCTATTCTAGTCGGCGTTAGGTACCACCTCGTAAACACCTTATACCAGCTTTCTTTGATGATTACTGTTTTGGTGAGTGTCAATTTATTTTTCCAGATATCTTCCCAGTCTTTCAAGAGAATGGTGTGTTTGAAATCTAACGCCCATGAAATCATATTTTCTTTAATTAATTCCTTTTCTGTTCTCCATTCTAACAGCTTTTGATAGAGAGTTTTTATCACCTTCCTCTCCTTCACCATTATCTTATCCCAGAAGGAGTCAGTTGTAACAAAACCTATCTTATTCTCCTCCTTAAAGGTGTCCCTGACCTGATGATAATTAAACCAGGAGAAATTTGCATCAAGGGACTTCAGTTCCTCTATTGACTTCATTCTGTATTGATTTCCAACCTTTGTTAACAGGACCCTATATGTATGCCAGCTATCACTTGGTAGCTCCCTTTTTTGAAATGCCTCAATAGGGGAAATCCAGAGGGGTGTTTTGTCATAAAATCTAATTTTATACTTTTCCCATACCTTCAGCAACGCAGCTCTGATGGTATGGCTGGTGAAGTTCTTTTCTATGCTAGCCTTCCCGTGCCATAAATAGGCATGCCACCCCCTCCTTAGTTCTGCACCCTCTAGATTTAAAAGTTTTCTCTTTCTGAGGGTTGCCCACTCCTTGACCCATACCAGTGCTGAGGCCTCATAATATAGCTGGAGATCCGGTAGCGACAATCCTCCCCTGTCCCCCGCATCTATCATCGTCGTATATTTGATTCTAGCCTTTTTCCCATTCCAAATAAATTTCTGTATGTCTCTTTTCCATATCCCGAAATAATAGTTTGTTCTAAGTATCGGGAGCATTTGAAATAGGAAGACCATTTTAGGTAAGATATTCATCTTTATCAGAGCCACTCTCCCCATGATACCTAGCTTAAGCTGTTTCCATTTTTCTAAATTTTTGGAGATTTCCTTCCAAGTATGTTCATAATTGTTTTTAACCAACTGTATATTACTTACTGTTAGGGTTATCCCTAGATATTTAATTTTCCCAGCTATACTAAATTGTGTGGTCCTCTCCAGTTCTAATTTCTTAGTTTGGCTAATGTTCTTTGTTAATAGTTTAGTCTTTTGCTTATTTATTTTTAGACCTGCCACTCTTCCATACTCTTGGAATACTTCTATCCAGTTTGCGATGTTCTCTGTCGGATTTGATAATATACAAACAATATCATCCGCATACGCCTTTAGTTTAAACTCATCTTGTCTTATTTTCACGCCCTTTAGATTTCCATCTCTCCTTATACCTTCTAGAAGTACCTCCAATGACCATATAAATAAAAGGGGTGAAAGGGGACAGCCCTGTCTAGTACCCCTTTCAATCTGGATATTGTCTGTGAGATGGCCGTTTACTCTTACTTTAGCTCTCTGATTTGTATATATGGCCTTTAACATGTTAATAAATTGAAAGCCCATATCTCTCTCAATAGCTAAATGCATCATGAAATCCCAATTCACTCGATCAAAGGCCTTCTCGGCATCCACAAATAAAAGGCCTAATTCTCTTTGATGGTTGACTTCGTGGAACTCTATGATATCTAAGATAGTTCTTATATTTTCGCTCATTTGTCTTCCAGGGAGAAATCCATTTTGATCTTCCTTAATTACCTCATTAAGGTAAATTTTAAATCTGTTGGCCATTATATGTGCGAATATTTTATAATCTATATTCAATAAGGCAATTGGCCTATAATTTTTGACATTATCTTCCTCTGAACCTGTTTTATGTATTAGAGAGATGGTCGTCTCTTTCCAGGAATCCGGAATTCTACCTTCGTTTAGTATATTGTTAAATAGTATCTTCAAATATGGTAAGAGCTCATCTCGGAATAACTTATAATATATAGCTATTATTCCATCCGGTCCCGGCGCTTTTTCCAGGGGAAGGTCAGTTATTGCTCTGATTATCTCACTTTCCTGTATCTGATTATTCAGTAATTCCCTTTGTTGCTCCGTCAGCTTCTCCAGGTTGTATTTTGACAGATATTTAACTACTTCCTCTTGAGATATATTTTCTTTCTTATAGAGTTCCTCATAGAATTCCTTAAATTGCCTGCTGATTCCTTCCTCGTCTGTGTAGTAGCTCCCTTCTTTAGTTATCTTCATGATATGTTGGGATTGTCTTTTTTCCCTGAGAGACTTGGCTAAGAGCTTACCCGGTTTATTGGCTTGTGCATAATGTTTGGCCCTCAAGTATTTCAGGTTTTTGGCTATGTGTTCCAATTGGTACGAGTCCCTTTGTCTTCTCAGCATCTCTAACTCTGTCTTAACTTTTTTCCTTCCTGGCTTCTTTTTAAGTAAGCTCTCTTTTTCCTCAATACTCTTCAGTAATTTAGAGAGTTCCTCATTTCTCTTTCTATTGCGAATTATTGCTTGCTGAATTAGGTGGCCTCTTATAACCGCCTTCCCGGCGTCCCATACCACCTCTTCCTTCACTTCTTTATTGGCGTTGAACTCAAAGAATTCTTTAATTTTTTTTCTACACATATCTACATCTTCTTCATTTTTAAGCAAGAATTCATTTAATCTCCAACTCCTTTGCTGTTTGTCGCTAAACACCTGTAGAGTAATGGGGCAGTGATCAGAATTGCGCCTGGGCAGTATTTTTACCTGTTCTGATTTGGTTATGAGCGTCTTGGACATCCACACCATGTCAATTCTAGACCAGGTGGAGTGACGGGCTGAGTAAAAAGTAAAGTCTCTACCTAAGGGATTTTTAGTTCTCCAAACATCATACAGGTGCCAATCCCTTTTTAGTTTCAAAAAACTTTCGGGTAGTCTCCCACCATTCTCTCTAGCTCTCTTCTTTCCCGTTTTATCGATCTTACAATCTAGTACTCCATTAAAATCCCCTAAAAGAATTAGATTATCAAATGACTGTTCTTTAAGTTTCTTTCTAAGTAGTTTCAAGAAATTCGTTTTGGGACCCGTGGGGGTATATATATTACAAATGAGTAGAACTTGGTTTCCTAGGGAGATCTTAATACCAATCATTCTTCCTTCATCATCTTTGAAGGCTAAAGTAGCCTTATAAATATCTTTAACATATATAATCACCCCCCTTTTCTTTTGGGTAGCTAAAGAAAAAAAAGCTTGACCTAATTGAGGCTGTGCCAAGTATGAGCTATGTTTGGGGATAACATGGATTTCCTGTAGTGCAATAATGTCATAATTACTTTTTTTGAGAGTGCTATATATGAGCTTTCTTTTATTTGGGGAATTCATCCCATTTACATTATTCGAATATAGTGATAGGCTCTTCATCTTGATTTACTTGTTTATCTTTTCCTAAGGATCCCACCCCTTTGTCTTCTTCTTCCTCTTCTAATGAGTCCGGTCTGGCTCTTTTCTTGTCTTTCCTACTCCCCTCTTTCTTCCTTCCTTTCTCAATTTTCGGTGACACTACTCCTTTACCTGTTTCCATCTTTTCTTCCTGGTTAGACTCCTTTTCTAAATCTTTCACCAGTTCCTTATAAAAGTTTTTTGCTTTGTCTTCAGATGTTAACCAGAGCCTGTTTTCCTTATACGTGACTTGGATTCCTTCCGTGCGTTCCCAACGAAATTTTATCTTGTGTTTTTTGAGTTCATCCGTTAAAAAGTAATATTTTTTCCTGTTATGCATCGATGCCATCGAGAACTCCTTAAGGATGATCACCTTTTTTCCTTTATACAGTGTTTGCTCCTTCGATTTTATTTTCAAAATCTCGTTCCTAACACATTTTCTTGTGAAACTTACTACGATATCTCGCGGCACATTATTTCGTCTAGCGTAGTTGGAGTTCACTCTTCTCACCGCGTCAATTTCTTTGCTAGCCTCTTCAATAGAAAGCTTCAAGATATCAGCAGTAATCTCCACTATTATGCTTCTTAGGTTATCTCCCTCTTTCTCCTCTAGATTCCTGTATCTAAGCTGAAATTCCGTTTCCGAACTCATCAGCGAGTCGTACTGCTTCTCCATTTTATCGCTCCTCTCCTCAAGGCTTTTTAATCTGACTTCACTCTTTTGCTGTGCTCTTTTTAGCTGGGCATTCTCTTTTTTCAATTCCTTAATTTCCTTCTGGGCACCTTCTAAATCCTTTTTCACCACCTCCATATCTTCTTTTATTTCCTGCCTCAATTTACCCATTTCTTTTTGAAATAAAATTTCCAAATTGTTTTGGGTTTTTACTTGATTGTCCTCTATTTTTTTTTCAATATTCTCCTGAATTTTCCACATTTCTGCTAGTAGGTCTTTCATCGATACCTCCCCTTGCGTGGAGTGTCGTCTTGCTGGTATGGGTGTGGATATTGAGGGTATTGGGATTGTTGTTTGGGGTGCTTGGAGTGGGAAGGGTGTTGCCCCCTGCTGGGTGTTCCCGGTCTTGCCTTGTTTCGAAACTGTTACAAATTTCTCCATCCTGCCCTCTGCCATGCTGGGCTTGTATTTAAGATTCCTTGACGGGCTTTAAGAATCTTCCCTTTTTGAATTGTCTCTTGGTTCTAGTGAGGTTCTAATTCATGATAGTGGAGTTAGAGCGCTACACTTCACCTCGTCATCATGATCCATGTTCTATCCTTACTACTTACTACTTTGGTCTGTTTGGGTCTGCGTCCTCCCTGCTGTTCTTTCTTCCTCCCCCCCTCCTGCCTTCGTGGGGGTTCTTAATAAGAAATTGGTTAGAGTAGGTTGCTCTTACCAGTCTGATCCTTGCCACCGGTTCTTTTTCTTTATATTGTCTTTATTTTGTCCTTCTCCGCTTCTTCTACATCTGCTGGTCGTCGCCTTCGTACCTAGCCCTTGCAAGCAATCTATGTAGTTGTATATTCTTCCAAAATTTAGGTCCCGGCCTGCTGACTACGCGCTGGGGGTTGTCTCGCGTGACTGACGTCCCTGCTACGTTCCGCCGCGTCTAATCGCGTCAGATCGCGTCGGTGCGTCAGTACGTCCCGCGCGGTTCGGCGGTGCGTCAGTACGTCCCCTGCGCCGTGTACCCGGCCTCCTGCGCCTTCCTCAACCCCACGGGGGCGCCAATGCTCGTATTACCGCTCCCAAATCTCTCTCTTAAAGGTACCGACTGACCCCTCCTCGCAAGAAAGAGTAAGCTTGATGAAGCGTATTATAGGTGGGCTCGGTTGGGTAATTTGTACTCAAATGACTTTTAACGTTGCTAGATGTTACTTGCTTTCTTTCTTCCTTATCTTCCACTTAGATAGTAAATAAATTCTAGGGATTCCCAGTCCTTTCCTATTGGGTTCTGTCTTCATCCGTTTCGTAGACGCCGCTTCTGTATCCCCATTTCCCTGTTGCCTTCTTATAGTCCATCTAATTTGTTCTTCTTGATCTTTGTCTAATATCTAAATGAAGGCTGGCAGTATTGTCGACCCCTGGTCGCACACCTCTCGGGGCGCACACCCTCCGCTCTGCCAGGCAGGAGTTGGCCGCCTCCCTTGAGGGGAGACCGCTCCTCCGCCCCCGCAAAAGCTCTGAGGGCTTGGCTGACAAGCCGTCCTCGATACCAACGGCTTGTGGGGTCTCTAAGAGCCCCTTCCCCTTATGAGAGGTGCGAGAGGTACCTGCTACCACGCGGAGCTTCGGTTCCTCACTCCTACCGCCATTCCGCCTTCACCGGAAGTCACAAGCAGCCATTCCTAACTACCTGTCATTTTTGGCCTCACAGCCTTCTCAACTCCTGGGCCTACACTAATCTGCATAGGACCAATCGGCTTCCCATATGCAAATGACTATGTCTTCGCTGTTGCTATCCTAACTGTACTAAATCTTTCCTATCTGCCCTGTGTAAACATAGAGCTACACCAAAAATCTTGCAGAGATCAGCAAATTCATTACAGTCGGGGTCAGAATGCTCTTTGATTGTAGGTGAACTATAACTCCCCAAAACTACGACTTCCAAATGTCAAGCTCTATTTTCCCCAAATTCCACCAGTGTTCACATTTGGCATTTTGGGTATTTGTTCCAAGTTTGATCCAGATCTATCATTGTTTGATTCCATCATGCTTTCTGGATGTAGATGAACTACAAATCCAAAACTCAAGGTCAATGCCCACCAAAACCTTCCAGTAGTTTCTGTTGGTCATGGTTGTTCTGTGCGCCAAGTTTGGTTCAATTCCATCGTTGTTGGAGTTCAGAATGCACTTTGATTGTAGGTGAACTATAAATTCCAGCAGTTACAACTCCCAAATGGCAAAATCAATCCCCATCAGTATTCAAATTTGGACGTATCGGAAATTTGTGCCAAATTTGGTCCAGTGAATGAAAATACATCCTACCTATCAGATATTTACATGACACTTCATAACAGAAGCAAAATTACAGTTATGAAGTAGCAATGAAAATAATTTTATGGTTGGGGGTCAGCACAACATGAAGAACTGTATTTAAGGGTAGTGGCATTAGAAAGGTTGAGAAACACTGTCCTAGATAGTCCTGCTGCAGGTGTTAGGTTGTGATGATTGAGAGGGAAAAACAGAGGGGGCTTCTGAAGGCTCGATAGGAGTTACTCCTCAGGCTGGAGTCCTGGAGTGGTCACCTTGTTTTGCCCATTGGGACAGCCAGCGCTGGACTAACTCCTGGGAGCCTGAGACTCTTTTCCAAAATAAAGGAGGTCACCTCTGTCCTGTGTGAGTTTCCTCCTGCAGCTTGCAGCAGAGTCACTCTGTTCCCTTTCCGTCCGCTCTAGATCCGACAGGATGACACGAGTTCTTCAATCAATTTTCTGACCAGAGTTAGCGGCATTGGGTAAATACGGGAGTCTGGGGGAGGCTCCTCTTGGCTCTGCAGTTGCTGGCACCAGTGACTTTCCTGTCTTCTCCTCCGCACACACAGTGGCTGGTGCAGCCTTCCCATACTACCTGTACCTCCATTCTGAAATTCCTTCACCCTTGACAGGATTTGGTTGTTTTGTAGGACAGTTGTTTTATCTGGGTTGTTGAAGGTTTTTTCAGGCTATATGGCCATGTTCTAGAGGCATTTCTCCTGATGTTTCACCTGCATCTATGGCAAGCATCTTCAGAGATAGTGAGGTCTGTTGGAACTAGGAAAATGGGTTTATGTGTGGAATGGCCAGGGTAGGGCAAAGAACCTTTGTATGTTGGAGTTAGGTGTGACTGTTTCAACTGACCACCTTGATTCGCATTTGATGGTCTGGCAGTGCCTGAGGCAATCTTTTGTTGAGAGGTGATTAGATGTGCCTGATTGTTTCCTCTCTGTTGTTTTGCTGTTGTAATTTTAGAGTTTTTTAATACTGGTAACCAGATTTTGTTCATTTTCATGGTTTCCTCCTTTCTGTTGAAATTGTCCACATGGTTGTGGGTTTCAGTGGCTTCTCTGTGTAGTCTGACATGGTGGTTGTTGGAATGGTCCAGCATTTCTGTGTTCTCAAATAATATGCTGTGTCCAGGTTGGTTCAGCAGGTGCTCTGCTATGGCTGACTTCTCTGATTGGAGTAGTCTGCAGTGCCTTTCATGTTCCTTGATTCGTGTCTGGACAATGCTGTGTTTGGTGGTCCCTATGTAGACTTATCCACAGCTGCATGGTATACGGTAGACTCCTCCAGAGGTGAGAGGATCCCTCTTGTCCTTTGCTGAACGTAGCAGTTGTTGGATTTTCTTGGTAGGTCTGTAGATAGTTTGTATGTTGTGTTTTCTCATCAGCTTCCCTATGCGGTCAGTGGTTCCCTTGATGTATGACAAGAACACTTTTTCTCTGGGTGGATCTTCATCTTTATTCTCGTGGCTTGTTCTTGGTCTTGCAGCTCTTCTGATGTCTGAGGTGGAGTATCCATTGGCCTGGAGAGCCCAGTTGAGGTGGTTCCGTTCCTCTTGGAGGAGGTGGAGTTCACAGATTCTTTTTGCACGGTCTGCCAAGACTTTAATGGTGCTTCTTTTTTGACTTGGGTGATGGTTGGAGTTTTTGTGTAGATCTCTATGTGTGTGGGTTTTCTGTAAACGGTGTGACCCAATTGTTGATCTGGTTTGTGGATGACTAGGACATCTAGAAAAGGCAGTCTTCCTTCATTCAGTCTTCCTTTTCCATGGTGAATTGGATGGCTGCTGCTAAGATGGTCCAGGAACCTGTTTAGTTCTTCTTCTCCATGGCAAGTTGTTTTATCTTTCTTCTGAAAGGGTTTTGCTCCTTACTCAGCAGAACAGCCTTATTGGTTACTTCGGCTATCCCTCATAGCCCGAGCATGATTGTCTTGGCAGTGGATATGTAGGTGGCTGTGGAGCCCTATTCTTGAACCACATGTTCTTCCGCAGTGAGGACATCGGTTTCCAAGTGGAAGGCAGTCCCAGTCAGGGTTGTCTTGGCGTACCTTCCTCTTGCCACGTTTCTTCCTTTCTCCCTCCATTCGTGCCTCTTCAAATTCCGCAGCACTGCTGGTCACAGCTAACCTCTAGCTAGAGCGCTCAAGGGCCAGGGCTTCCCAATTCCTTCTTGGTGTCTGTGCCACAGCTAGCTTTAAGCCCATCTTTAAATCTCTTTTCCTGCCCACCAACTTTCCATTTTTCATTCTTGAGTTGGGAGTATAGTAACTGCTTTGGGAGACGGTGATCGGTCATTCAGATGACGTGGCCAGCCCAGTTGAGTTGATGGCATAAGAGCATTGCTTCAATGCTGGTGGTCTTTGCTTCTTCCAGCACGCTGACATTTATCCGCCTGTCTTCCCAAGAGATTTGCAAGATTTTTCAGCGGCAACGCTGATGGAATTGTTCCATGAGTTGAGTGTGACGTCTGTAGACAGTCTGCTTTTTACAGGCATAGAACATGGTTGGGAGGACAATGGCTTCATAAACAAGCACCTTGGTCTCCATATGGATGTCGCGATCCTCAAACTCTCTCTGCTTCATTTGAAAAAATGCTGCACTCGCAGAGCTCAGGCGGTGTTGTATTTCAGTGTCAATGTTGACGTTTGTGGAGAGGTGACTTCCAAGGTAGTGGAAATGGTCAACATTTTCTAACATTACTCCATTAAGCTGTATTTCTGGCATTGCAGAGGGATTGGCAGGTGTCTTCTGGAAGAGCACTTAGATTTTCTTGATGTTCAGTGAGAGGCTGAGCTTCTCATATGCTTCTGCAAAAGTGTTTAGAGTAGCTTGTAGGTCATCTTCTGAGTGAGCACAGACTATGTTGTCATCAGCATATTGGAGTTCTATAACGGATGTTGTTGTGACCTTGGTTTTGGCTTTCAGTCTGCTGGGGTTATATAACTTGCCATTTGTCCAATAGATAGATGATTGGCATGGTGGCATTATTGGTATGGTGGCATTCACTCTTTCGTTTACGTTAAAATGTGACACCTTGCTTGCTGATGGGATTTATGTGTCTTTTTTCCCATTCAGTCCTGCTGCTGCCAGAAAATTTGTGGATGAAGGAATAAAAACATTGGAAGGTGAGTCTACTTTCTTCATTATCAGTGGTTGAGTGAGTGGGAAGGCAGCTGCTGAGCTCCTTACCCTCGAACAAATCCACATCTGTCCCAAGTTAGGGATGCCTATAAATCCAAGCTTTTTTCTTGCTGTTCATCCACCTTCTGCCCTTCACTTACGGCCTGCTTCTCCTCTTCCTAGATCTGAAGAAGAATGCGCACAAACTGAACCATCACCAACAGATCGGTTTGAAGTAAGACAGGCCTATTTTATTTCTCCGAGATTTGGGTTTGGGTATCTGTAACTGGGCTTGTATTTGCCTAGAGCAGGCCTGGGCAAACTTTGGCCCTCCAGGTGTTTTAGACTTCAACTCCCACAATCCCAGTAGGCTGTTAGGGATTGTGGGAGTTGAAGTCCAAAACTCCTGGAGGGACGAAGTTTGCCCAGGCCTGGCCTAGAGGTAAAAAAACTTTTGAGAAAACATTCAAGGGCACCACTTAAGCCAGACCTTTTTTGAGCTGGCTTGGTTAACCAGCTTGTGATGCAGCCATAACCATCTGATTTGTTGCTATCTGAAATGCCATGGAATTTAAATGCCTTAAGCTGCCAGAATGAATAAAAGGCATTTCCTGTTGGAAATAACAACCTTCCAAGCCTTCACTATTAGTTTTTTACTGTATATATATTTGCTAACCTGTAGTATATATATATGTTGATTTGCCAGTTTGTTCATTTATTTATTTACTTTATTTATTTACAGTATTTATATTCCACCCTTCTCACCCCGCAGGGGAATCAAGGCAGATTACAATGCACATATACATGGCAAACATTCAATGCCATTTAGACATACAACATCTATAGACAGACACAGAGGCAATTCAACATTCCAGCTTTTCCGACTTCATTAGGGTATGCTTGATTTCGGCCACAGGGGGAGCTGCTACTTCACCATCCACTTGTGACACCGAGTCTTTTGATAGAGTACTTCCTCATTCTTCCATTTGCTGCAGGAAGGTTTTATGGCATTGTAAATTAAATTAGCCTCCCTGCATAAAGCAGTACCTAAATTTCCTACCTGACAAATGCAACAGTCTTTTGGGCTGCATAGGTCAAGAGCAAGCTAGACTATTAATGGTCGAACTGGCTCCGAACTCATGACCTCTTGGTCAATAGTGATTTAACGCAGCTGGATACTAACCAGCTGTGCCACAGCCCGATCCGTTTGACTGACCTCTTTGATGTGGGAGGGGCTACAGACATGTGATTGTACTGAGCATGTTCAGACTCAAGACTCCATTTTGTTATCAGTATGTTTTTGGAGCCCCTGGTGGCGCAGTGAGTTAAACCGCTGAGCTGCTGAACTTGTTGACTGAAAGGTTGGTGGGTCAAATCTGGGGAGTAGGGTGAGCTCCTGCTGTTAGCCCCAGCTTCTGCAAACCTAGCAATTCGAAAACATGCAAATATGAGTACATCAATAGGTACCACTCTGGTGGGAATGTAATAGCGCTCCATGCAGTCATGTTGGCCACATGACCTTGGAGGTGTCTACGGACAACGCCAGCTCTTCGGCTTAGAAATGGAGATGAGCACCACCCCTCAAAGTCAGACATGACAGGACTTAATGTCAGCACCTCAGACTTATGTTTTTGGAGTTCAATGGAAATAGTATGTTTTTGTACTTCAATGGAATCAGTATGCTTTTGGATTTATGCAGGAACAGTTTACTATATGTTTGCTTTGAGAAGCAGTGAGTCCAGTTATACAGTTTGGACTTTCATAAGATGTATACTTAAGGACTTTGGAATATGGACTGTTGGTTAAGAATGATGCCTTATGTTCTCAACACAGAGAAACCTCATCTTATCTATAACTGAACTTTAATAAGAAACGTGCCTGTATGGTGAATTAATTCAAGATGTTTGCGAGTAAACAAAGATATTTTACTTTTCAAATAAGACTTTGTATTTTATCTCTGCATGCGTATTTTAAACTAAGAGGTTTCACGGGAGAGTATATGTTTGGGGCAATTGCAATTTCAACGTCAAAGAAGCATCTTAAAAACTCTGCTAGCCAAATATATTTTTGTGCAGTGGCATGCCTTTGTCCCTGGCAGTTCAAAGACATGGTTACCTGTGTGCCATTACATGAATGCTTGTGAACATCACTTGTTCAAAGGGGTGACTTCTAAGAAGATAATGCCATTTCTTGAGTAGTGGTTTTCAAAAGGTGGTCTCCAGGTGTTCATGGAGATTTACATTTGCCAAAAGGATATGATGTCACTTTTCCTTTTCAAAAAGGTTATGATTGCCATTTTTTTCCAAAATTTCCCACCTGTTTGAATGGTGTTTTCTCACCTTGCAGCAATACAAGCAGATGCTGCTTGGGCCTACCCTGGTAAACAATGCTATATTCTTATAGCCCAAGACAAGGGAAAGATCTTCCTGATCAGAGACCTCCCTTTGGCCACTTAGAGAGATAGGAGGGAGATTTCAGACTTCCAGAATTATCGTATAGAAAGTGTGTATGGACAGATGAGAATCCAGATCACTAAAACTCCACAGACAACTCCCAACAAAGACCTTTCTTCAAAGCAAGCGTCTGAGGCCCTCATCCCCAACTGCCTCCTTATTCTGGTTCTATTATCATCAACAGGTATTTTGAGGATTTTGAGAAGAGAATCCCTAGGAATGAAATGCTGGAGATGCAGGTGAGCAAAGGTGTCAACAGCCCGGAAATTTCAGCTGGTCCAATGAGCGGCAGCCAGACTACTAACTGGCTACAGTTGATTTTCTGGTCCCAATTCAAGGTGCAGGTTTTTACCCACAAAGCCCTGAACAGTTTGGGACCTGCCTACCTGCGCGTCGAACCTACACGATCCCTTCCTTTTACGAACCTACACGATCCCTTCGATCTTTTGGAGAGGGCCTTCTCTGTGGTGGCCCCCTGGCTCTGGAACTCGCTCCCCAGAGAAATTAGGCAAGTCCCCACCCTGGCAGTCTTCAGGAAGAGCCTGAATGAATGAATGAATGAGCAATAACCCCTGACCTGACCACACCCTGCATAAAATACCCTCGGAAGCACTTTATCTTACCTGTTAGTGCAATTAAACCCTGCTTCGTCCCTTGGATCCCCAGTCTCGATGCATAACATTCCTCTTCCAGTGTTTTTAAACTTTTAATCCCTGCAACCAGCCCTGCCCACTGTGATCAACTCTTTGTGTTCAAATATTGTGATTTTATTTTGTCTGAGGTGTTTATTTATACTGTTTTTCTTTTTTTCTTTTTTTAAATTGTTTTCTTATGTGTATATTTGCATTGTTGTATTGCTGGGCTTGGCCTCATGTAAGCCGCCCCAAGTTCCATTGGGGAGATGGTGGTGGGTTATAAATAAAGGGTTTTTTTGTTATTATTATTACATTATATTATTATTATTATTGCATTATATTATTACATTATATTAATATATATATATATATATATATATATATATATATATATATATATATATAACATTATTATTATATTATAGTACATTATAATACTAGTAATGATAATACAATACTATAATTTATATATTTACATTACATGTAATATTACTAATAATATTACAATATAATGGTATAGTGCAATATAGTAATGTATAATACTGATATTGTACTATGCTAATAATATAATATATTGTATGAAAATATATATTGTAAGCCACTCTGAGTCCCCTTCAGGGTGAGAAGGGCGGCATACAAATGCCATAAATAAATAAATAAATATTATTATTATTATTATTATTATTATTATTATTATTACTTCTTCTTTCCTGGGGAAAGAAGTGCTGGAACCTATGAAAAAGAGAAGTCAGATGCTTGCTCTGTTTCCTCCACAACAGGAGATCGTGCTCAGCAAGGTCAAGGAAGTGGACCCCAGGTATATTGCCACCGTGTGCGGCAGTTTCCGCCGAGGTGAGTCTTCCCCGTTGGTTTAGCAGTCTGTCTGTTGGCTGAGTGGGTTTTTGCTTTGTAGTGGGCGCAGGCTCTTTCAGCAGAAATGTGGGTTCTGTTTCTGCTGGGGGATTGTTCTGCTTTCCTCTGGTTTATTGAGTTCGGAAGTTCCCAAAGGGTCATGCCTATTTGTAGTAGGACGTTGGAGGGCTGAGAAAGAGCCCACCCTTGAGGAGGAGGAGGAGGAGGCGGCGGCAGCCAGGAAGGCAAGGGCGCATGCTGGGAGGCCATCCACCCGAGTCCCCCAAAGGCCATATTTTGTCAGATGTGTGTAGGTGAAATTGTGGACACTGACCTAACAGATATGGGAATTGTAGCGTAAGTACTAGTTTTGGATAGGCTGGCATTCACTCAGCCATTCAAATCCTACTTGCATATTTATTTATTTATTTCTCGTGTCAGGGCAGCCAGTCAATTATATTACATTTCTAACAGAACAAAACAAACAAACAGAGAAAATACAAAATGTGTGAGTTTGGTAGTTGATTAAATGTCCTTTGACCAGTATCTGGCCACTTGGAGTGCCTCTGGTGTTGCTGCAAGAAGGTCCTCCGTTGTGCATGTGGCAGGGCTCAGGTTGCATTGCAGCAGGTGGTCAGTGGTTTGCTCTTCTCCACACTCGCATGTCGAGGATTCCACTTTGTAGCCCCATTTCTGAAGGTTGGCTCTGCATCTCGTGGTGCCAGAGCGCAGTCTGTTCAGCGCCTTCCAAGTCGCCCAGTCTTCTGTGTGCCCAGCGGGAGTCTCTCATTTGGTATCAGCCATTGGTTGAGGTTCTGGGTTTGAGCCTGCCACTTTTGGACTCTGGCTTGCTGAGGTGTTCCAGCGAGTGTCTCTGTAGATCTCAGAAAACTATGTCTGGATTTAAGTCGTTGACGTGCTGGCTGATACCCAAACGGGATGAGCTGGAGATGTCTCTGCCTTGGTCCTTTCACTATTGGCTGCCACTTCCCGACGGATGTGAGGTGGTGCGATACCGGCTAGACAGTGTAATTTTTCCAGGGGTGTAGGGCATAGACATCCTGTGATAATGCGGCATGTGTCATTAGAGCCACATCTACTGTTTTAATATGGTAAGATGTGTTCCACACTGGGCATGCATACTCAGCAGCAGAATAGCACAGTGCAAGGGCAGATGTCTTCACTGTATCTGGTTGTGATCCCCAGGTTGTGCCAGTCAGCTTTCGTATGATATTGTTTCTAGCACCCACTTTTTGCTTGATGTTCAGGCAATGCTTCTTGTAGGTAAGAGCACGGTCCAGAGTGACTCCCAGGTATTTGGGTGCGCTGCAATGCTCCAGTGGGATTTCTTTCCAGGTCATCCTCAGGGCTCGGGATGCTTCTCTGTTAACCGAACCTGCAATCATGGCAAAACGAGATGCCTAAGTAAACATAAAGGGCTAGCCACATGTTTAGTGCAATTGATCCCACAGAACTGTTTTCTTTGGAATTCAAGTCACTCTTGGCTGACCTTTTTTAGCTCATGAAGGCAGCCTCTGAAGTCTCTTTGTCTCTCTGCAGGAGCAGAATCCAGTGGGGACATGGACATCCTTCTGACCCATCCAGACTTCACTTCGGAATCCTCCAAACAGGTTGGTGGGTCTATCTTCCAGGTGCAGCATTCTTTGTACTCTGCATTTGGTGTATGTTTTTTTAAATAATTATATGTTTTGATCTATGTATTTTATTGTATGCAGTTTATGTTGATATATTTTGACTTTGTTGTACCCTGCCTCAAGCCGTTAGGAGAGGTGGGTAACAAATAAAATGCATTATTATTATTATTATTATTATTATTATTATTGTCACGCTGCTGTTGACCTTGGATTGCTGAGTCCAGCCACTGGCATGTGACAAGTGTTATTCCTTCTCAGCCCAAGCTTTTGCATCAAGTGGTCGACCAACTGGAAAAGGCCCACTTTGTCACAGACACACTGTCCAAGGGAGACACCAAATTCATGGTGAGTGAAGAGTGTGTATTAATTCTGTCAGTCTTGAACATTTGGGATGGAAAAGAAGCCAAATATGTGGGGAATCGTGGAGTTGGAAGGGAACTCAAGAGCCATATAGTCCAACCACTCCAAACCCCACCAGTACTTAAAGTTGGTCATACTGGGTCTGTGTGCCAAGTTTGGTCCAGATCCATGCACACAGGTGACAGTTGACAGTGCACTTCACAGATGGGTGAACTATATTTCCCATCATCCTCTGTCATTGCCCCTTAAGTGTAGTTTATTAAGTTATAATTCTTATTTCTATGTTGTGTTGTATAAATTTTGTTAGCATGGATGTATTGTTGTTGTATTCGGGCCTTGAATGTTTGCCTTTTATGTTTGGAATCCGCCCTGAGTCCCTTTGGGGAGATAAAGTGGAATATATATCAAATATTATTATTATTATTATTATTATTATTATTATTATTATTATTATTCAAACCCTCCAGTCCTCAAACTTGGTCATTCTGGGTATATGTGGATGTCGCTGGGCTCTCTGAATGTGGGAGCCATCTTGGAAAATATAAACAAACATATTTGACTGTTATATAGCATATATACTCTAATTTAAGTCTAAGTCGAGGGTGGGAAATGCAGCAGCTACTGGTAAATTTCAAAATAAAAATAGATACCAATAACATTACATTAATTGAGGCTTTGTTTTTGAGTCCTTTGGGAGATGTTAGCGGGGTATAAATAAAGATAATAATAATAATAATAATAATAATAATAATAATAATATTTACACAAAACTGTAGTTTAAGATAAGACTGTCCAACTGATTCAACCATTATTCTAACCTTCTTGAGTGTAAATGTGCTTATGCATCCTTCCAATAATAATAAAGAAAAATAATAAATGTAATAAAAATAATAATAGAGTAAAATAATGTAAATGTAGTAATAACAGTAATAATAGAGTAAAATAATAAACGTAATAACAGTAATAATAATAGAGTAAATAAATGTAATAATAGAGTAAAATAATGTAAATGTAATAATTAGAGTAAAATTCTGGATTCTGATTTTACTGTTGAGGCGCTAATGATTGTTATTGATTGTTATTCTGATGTTTAATGATTTATGTTTCAATTGTTTTTAATTGCCCTATACTTGTCTCGTGATGTTTTGTATCAATGTTGTTCACTGCTTTGAGTCGCCTGACGGCTGAGAAAAGCGGTATATAACTAAAGTAAATAAATAAATAATGTGAATGTAATAATAACGGTAATAATATAGTAAAATAATACATGCAATAATACCAGAGTAAAATAATAAATATAATAATAGAGTAAAATAATGTAAATGTAATACAAATAATAGAGTAAAATAGTAAATGTAATAATAATAAAGTAAAATAATGTAAGTGTAATAATAATGATAATAGAATAAAATAATAAATGTAATAATAATAATAACAACAGAGTAAAATAATAAATAACTTTGACTGGAGTATAAGATGAGGGGGGGCTTTTGCAGCCTAAAAATAGGGCTGAAAAACTCGAATATATACAGTACATAGATATATAGATTTATTTGGCTGGAGTGACACTTTAAAATGTACCTGTTCTGACTAATATACAAATTTAACTCCAGAACAAACCTACAAAATGCACCTTGTTTGTATTCTGAGGACTTTCTAGCTCTCTGCATAGGGCAGTGCTGCTACCATGGCTCTGGCTGCTTGTCATACTTTTCTTCTACTGGTTTTATCCCCTTCCGGCTCCATAGGGAGTGTGCCAACTTCCAAGCAAAGAGGAAGGAACGAACTATCCGTACAGGAGAATTGATATCAGGTGAGTCTCCAGAACCAAAATGGAGGGGGAACGCAAGGCTGATAGGAGGCGGATGGAATGGATCCCAGTTACTTGTGGGAGCTCCGGGAGCTCCAGGCAGGGTCAGGGAAGTGTCTAGAATGGCCAGAGAAAGGTATAGAGCCTCCTTAACCTTTTAGGAGCACCAGCCTTCAACCACTAGACTCCTCTGCCTGTTATTTGTGGTGTGGTTTCTGAGCTTGGCAACCACATTCCTCCCATGTCTGCCGGAACTCATTGCATAGTTCAGACCTTGGTGCGGTGGTCTCTGTGGCCACCAAAAAAGGGTGGGGAGGGGACTTAATGGGGCAAAACAATGCCTTACATTCTCCACACATCACCTTCTTCCCAAAACAACCTCCATTTGACTTGTATTGTGTGTTAATTCCAAATCAGTATGCCACACCTTGCTGCAGCAGTAAGGAAAAATGGAAAAACTACAACCGAAGAAAAATGTAATTTTTTTTCTCAACCTATTGGAAATATTTAATCCTTGCCTTGTTCTGTGTTCCAGGTTGATCCCCAAAGACCAGTATTATTGCGGCGTTCTCTATTTCACCGGGAGTGACATCTTCAACAAGAACATGCGCACCCATGCGCTGGAGAAAGGCTTCACACTCAATGAATACACCCTCCGGCCCTTGGGCGTCACTGGTGGGTCTCTCTGGGGCTTGAATGGGATGGGGAACATCCCGTATATACTCAAAGATAAGTTTTTCAGACTTTTTTATGGGCTAAAAAAGCCTCTCTCAGCTTATAATGGAGTCAGGGATGGGCAGCGGAGCCTGGAGGCCATTGCTTGCAATATATGATCTATTTCTCTCTCCTCTTCCCCTCCCTAAACAGTGTGTTTTCTTTTCTGCTTCTCCTCCGAGGCTGGAATGTTTTGAAAAGGGAAAGGAGGGGGAGAGAAGCCCTTACAAGTCAGGAATAGCCATTCATCTTATCAAAGCATTTCCCCCTAAAATATTTGTTAATCTCTCCTACAGATATATAGGCATTTCCCTCTGCAAGCCTTTGCAATACCTATGTACCTATATATCATATCTATCTATATATTCACTAGCCGTCCCCTGCCACGCATTGCTGTGGCCCACTCTGGTGGTCATGGGGGTTCTGTGTAGGAGGTTTGGCCCAATTTTATAATCGGTGGGGTTCAGAATACTCTGATTGTAGATGAACTATAAATCCCAGCAACTACAACTCCCAAATGTCAAGATTCTATTTTCCCCAAACTCCACCAGTGTTCACATTTGGGCATATTGAGTATTTGTGTAGAGTTTGGTCCAGATCCATCATTGTTTGAGTCCATAGTGATCTCTAGATGTAGGTGAACTATAACTCCAAAACCAAAGGACACTACCCACCAAATCCTACCAGTATTTTCTGTTGGACATGGGAGAACTGTGTGCCAAGTTTGGTTCAATTCCATCGTTGGTGGAGTTCAGAATGCTCTTTGATTGTAGATGAACTATAAATCCCAGCAACTACAACTTCCAAATGACAAAATCATTTTTTTTAGTGATGGTCGCTCATTGGGTTGTTAGGTGTCTTGTGTCCAAATTTGGTGTCAATTCATGCAGTGGTTTTTGAGTTCTGTTAATCCCACAAACGAACATTACATTTTTATTTATATAGATTAATTTTATGCATGAATTTCCCCTCATATGTTTGCAGGTCTTTGCAAATCCTATAATGTACCTGTATACATTATACATATATACACACGCACGTACATACATATCTATATTTATACATTATTTTATATATGAATTTTCTCCACACGTTTGCAAGTCTCTACAAATCTGATATAGATATCAGTAAATATACAGAGGTACATATATATCTGCATATCCGTCTGTGTGTGTGTGTAAATAATTTTATATATGAATTTCTCCTCATATGTTTGCAGGTCTTTGCAAATCCTATAATGTACCTGTATATTTGTATACATTATTTTTATATATTAATTTTCTCCACATGTTTTCAAGTCTCTGCAAATCTGTTATAGATATCAATAAATATACAGAGGTACATGCATATCTGTCTGTGTATATATATGTGTGTGTGTGTGTGTGTAAATAATTTTATATATGAAATTTCCCCTCACATGTTTGCAAGTCTTTGCAAATCCTATATAGATATAATTATCTATATATAGAGAGATGTCTAGATAGATATATACAACTATAGATATATAGAGCTTGCAAATATTACAGGGGGAAATGCACACACCAATATATATAGACATGTCTAGATAGATATGAACATAGATATAAATGGGGCTTGCAAATATTGCAGTTAAAATGCACACACACACATATATAGCGCGAGAGATGTCTAGATAGATATAAACATAGATATATAGGGTTTGCAAATATTCCAGGAGGGAAATGCACATATATAGAGAGAGCACTATGAACCCAAACACCGATGGATCTGGACCAAATTTGGCACATATACCTGATATGCTGAAATTTGATGACTGCAGGGATTTGGAGGAAACTGACCTTTTATTTCTGGGAGTTGTAATTCATCCACAACCAGGGAAACTGATCTCCATCAATGATGGACCTGGACCAAACTTGGCACACAGAACCCCCATAAGTAACTCAACCTACTGGAGGACTTTGAAGGGACCGACTCACCATAGTGGGAAATGTAGTTTACCCTGCAGCCAGAGAGCACACTGAACCCCACATTTAACCTACTGATGCCTCAATTAATGTAATTTTATTGGTATCTATTTTTATTTTGAAACTTACCATTAGCTGCTGCGTTCAATATGTTTTCCCAATTATTTGTGTTAAAATTAGGTGTCTTGGCTTATATTCAGGTCGGCTTATACTTGAGTATATACGGTATGTCAAAATCAGCCAAGGAGTGCAGAGAGTTGGTCCCTTGCCAGTCTGGGAGGGGGCTTTGCCTTAGTTCTGGGGAGTCCCCCCCCCCAATGTTTCTTGCCTTTCTTTCTTTCCAGGTGTTGCTGGGGAGCCCCTCCCAGTAGACAGTGAGAAAGACATCTTTGACTACATCCAGTGGAAATACCGGGAGCCCAAAGACCGGAGCGAATAGCCCCTCCTCTTCCTCTCCAGCAAAGCGTGGGCTTCCCTGCCAGAACTGTCACATTGGTGCTATTTGGGGATGGGGGGGGGGGGCAAAGGGTGCCCCTGTTTGCAAAAAGTAAGGTGTGTGTTCTGTAGCATGTCTGTGTGTGTGCATTGGAGCCCTTCAACTTTGGATGAGGCTTAACCTTGTTTTAATATAATCATCTGAAATAAATAGATGGCAAACGGGCCCCAGAACTTCTAGAGGTGTCTTCTGTTTCCTTGACCTCCAAGGAAGGCCTCCTTGTTTATATGGGGAGAGAGGTACAAATCCAGACTTTGAGTCCTAGAGTTGGAAGGGACACCCAATGGCCAGTTCAATCACATATATGTATGTATATAGGGAGGAGGGAGCAAGCTTGTTTTCTGCTGCCCTGGAGACTAGGGCGCGGAACAATGGCTTCAAACTACAAGAAAGGAGATTCCATCTGAACATGAGGAAGAACTTCCTGGCCGTGAGAGCCATTTAGCAGTGGAACTCTCTGCCCCGGAGTGTGGTGGAGACTCCTTCTTTGGAAGCTTTTAAGCAGAGGCTGGATGGCCATCTGTTGGGGGTGCTTTGAATGCAATTTTCCTGCTTCTTTGCAGAAAGGAGTTGGACTGGATGGCCCATGGGGTCTCTTCTGACTTTATGATTCTACTAGCCGTCCCCTGCCACATGTTGCTGTGGCCCACATGGGGGTTCTGTGTGGGAGGTTTGGCCCAATTCTGTCGTTGGTAAGGTTCAGAATGCTCTATGATTGTAGGTGAACTATAAATCCCAGCAACTACAACTCCCAAATGTCAAGATTCTATTTTCCCCAAACTCCACCAGTGTTCACATTTGGGCATATTGAGTATTCGTGTAGAGTTTGGTCCAATTACATCATTGTTTGAGTCCACAGTGATCTCTAGATGTAGGTGAACTACAACTCCAAAACCAAAGGACACCGCCCATCAAATCCTTCCAGTATTTTCTGTTGGTCATGGGAGAACTTGTGTGCCAAGTTTGGTTCAATTCCATCATTGGTGGGATTCAGAATGCTCTTTGATTGTAGGTGAACTATAAATCCCAACAACTACAACTCCCAAATGACAAAATCAATTTTTTTGAATGAAGGCCATACATTGGGTTGTTTGGTGTCTTGTGTCCAAATTTGGTTCAATTCGTCCAGTGGTTTTTTGAATTCTGCTAATCCCACAAACGAACATTACATTTTTATTTATATAGATGTATGTAAGTATGTATATCTATGTATGTGCCTGCTTGTCCATCCATCCATCCATCCTACTTATCCATCCATTTATTTATTAGCCCTATTTATACCCCACCCTTCTCAATCCTGAAGGGGATTCAAGGCGGCTTTACACATAGGCAACTATTCAATACCTTAAAAACAACATACAATTAAAAGAAAGATTTAAATTAAGATTAAAATCAGTGCATATTAAAACAGTTTAAAACATTACATCCATTATTGAAAGCCACCTATCTATCTATCTATCTATCTATCTATCTATCTATCTATCTATCTATCTATCTATCATAGAATCCTAGAGTTGGAAAGGAATCTCCAAGGATCCAGTCACAACTCCCTTCCATGCAGGAAAATACAATCAAAGCTCCTGACAGTTGACCATCCGGCCTCTCCAAGGGCACAAGTCCCACAGGTGCAGAGACTGGAAGCACCAGATGGGGATTTTCAGAGAATCCAAACGAAATTCCCTATCCATCTCACCTACCCACCTCCTTTTTAAGTAATAAATCCCACATTTCTAGCAATTATGGGAATAACTTCCAAATGTAGCAAATCAAGAAAGAGACGAGCTACGGAATAAGTAGAACAGTGTTAAAGTCTCCCTATTTCAACAGGAGTTATTGTAGCCAGGTATACTTAGGGACAAAATGGCCCCCTGGTTACGCAGTGGGTTAAACCGCTGAGCTGCTGAACTTGCTGACCAAAAGGTTGGCAGTTCAAATCCGAGGAGCGGGGTGAGCTCCCGCTGTTGGCCTCAGCTTCTGCCAACCTAGAAGTTCCAAAACAGGCAAATTACCAGCAGGAAGGTAACAGCGCTCCATGTAGTCATGCTAGCCACATGACCTTATTTATTTATTTATTGCGGGTATTTTTACCCCGCCATTCTCAACCCCCGGGGGGGGGGGGGGGGACTCAGGGCAGCTTCCAGCCAGCACATATTTGATGCCTACAATTCAACACAGTAAAATACACAACAGCAGTAATCTATATCTATATATATAATAAAAGTCAACGTTTGTATGTATGTATGTTTGCAGCGGGAGGAGTATGTGGCAGCTTTCTGATTGGCTCTCACTTTCACAGGACACAGAGACTTGCACAAGCAATGGACCTGGACCAAACTTGGCACACATAACCCCCATGACCCCTGTATATCCTGGTGAGGTATGGGGGAGGACGGACAAAAGGATGATGGATTTGTAGTGCTTTCAACCCCTTCGGCTCCCACAGACCACTGTGGCCCCCAACAAAGACAAAGACCAAACTTGGCACACAGAGTCCCCATGACCCAATCTACTTCCTGCTGCAGTTTGAAGGAGGGAGGACCATGGATAATGGGACCTCAAGTACCTCCACTCACTTCCCGAGACCGCTGCAACCCTCATCCGATGACTGATCAAGACCAAACTTGGCACACATAATCTCCATGACCCCCTTTAGTTCCTGGTGAGGTTTGAGGGAGGACAGACAATGGATGATGGGATGTGTAGTACTTTTCAACTCTTCGGTTTCCACAGAACACTGCGGCACCCAGAACACTGCGGCATCCACTTCCTGAGACCACTGCGAGCCATATAAATAACTGATAAAGACCAACCTTAATACACAATTCCTTTCTTAAATAACCCGGGCAGCGCCGGGTCCCCAAGCTACTTATAAATAATTAAAACATTAAGTTAATACAATAACATCTAATAGGGGGGAAAAGCCAGCCTGGTGGCCATCCTTTTGCCGAGTTCTGTAATTACTGAGTCCGTTCAGCTTATCATAGTCCATTTCCAAAGCTCTTGTCGTCATTGTCCTTGTCAGTCTGCCAGATTACCCAAAGGCCTGGTCCCATATCCATGTTTTTAATTTCCTTCTAAAAGAGAGGAGGGATGATGATGATGTAATTTCCCCGGGGAGTGAATTCCACAGGCGGGGAGGCCACCACCGAAAAGGCCCTGCCTCGTTTGTGACATGGGCGGGGCCAAGAGCAGGGCCTCTCCAGAAGATCTTAAATTCCTAGGTGGGGCGATATGTTCAGACGCTGGGCCGGAGGCATATAGGGTTTTATAGGTCTTGGAAGCATCTATGGACAATGCCGGCTCATCAGGTTAGACATGGAGATGAGCACCAACCCGCAGAGTTCGATATGACTTTCCCTTATACTTAAGAGTAAACCTTTCCCTTATACTTAAGAGTAAAAAACTGGTAGCAGGGTTTTGGCAGGGCCTCTGACTAAATGTACCCCATTTGCTAGAACCAGATCGGCACATGTCCTGCTGTTTGCAGTGAACAGCTTAGCAACCTTCCTTTGTCTGGACGGGCAAAGTTGTGGAAAAGCGGGGCTGTTTTCCTCGGTGTCCAACTCCATGGATCGTCATCGTCTCAGCCATTAAGCAGCTTCACCACTAAGACCGAGGCTTGTCGGCTCTCCTCTGGCAAACGCGCAGCCGAGACGGCTTGGGTGCCCCTCCGAGCAGCAGCTGGCAAGACAATCCCGAACCGCAGCTGCAGCGCTGGAAGATTTCGGGGCCCTGAGTGCCTTCTTTCTGTCCTCGTTTGGAGCAGACCTGGCCCTCACTGAGCACCGGCTTGCAGACCTTGGTCCAGAAATGGCGGGCACAGCACTGGCCCCTGGCACAGTCGGAGGAGCGGAGGCAGCTCTTGCCCTCCGGAGCTGCAGGGAGGGAACAAAGGAAACAAGAAAGGATGCAAAGGAGAGTCTCCATAGCAGAAGGCATGGCTGGGGCTACAGCAAGCACGGGCTATACAGACCGAGAGTTGTAAGGGACCCCAAAGTCCATCTGTCCAACCCCCTTCTCCCAAGGATGAAGACATTCAATCCCCCCCAACAGATGGCCATACAGATTGTCAAAAATACATATCATAGAATCATAGAGATGGAATTGACCCCAAGGTCCAAGCTTTCCAACCCTCTCCTCCCAGGAGGAAGGACACCGTCCGATCCCTCCCAACATATGGCCATATAGATTGTCAAAAATACATATCATAGAAGCATAGGGATGGAATTGACCCCAAGGTCCAAGCTTTCCAACCCTCTCCTCCCAGGCAGAAGAACACCGTTCAATCCCTCCCAACAGATGACCATACAGATTGTCAAAAATACATATCATAGAAGCATAGAGATGGAATTGACCCCAAGGTCCAGCCTTTCCAATCCTCTCCTCCCAGGCAGAAGGACACCGTCCGATCCCTCCCAACATATGGCCATACAGATTGTCAAAAATACATATAGAAGCATAGAGATGGAATTGACCCCAAGGTTCATCCGTTCCATCCGTTCCAACCCTCTCCTTCCAGGCAGAAGGACATCGTCCGATCCCTCCCAACATATGACCATACAGATTGTCAAAAATACATATCATAGAAGCATAGAAATGGAATTGACCCCAAGGTCCAAGCTTTCCAACCCTCTCCTCCCAGGCAGAAGGACACCGATGCCTCCCAACATATGGCCATATAGATTGTCAAAAATACATATCATAGAAGCATAGAGATTGAATGGACACGAGGTCAATCCGGTCCTACTCCCTTCTTAGGAGTCTAGTGTCTAGAACTGGGGAAGTCATGCTACCCCTCTATTCTGCTTTGGTTAAACCACACCTGGAAGGGAAGGAGGGAGGGAGAAAGAGGGAGGTAAGGAAGAAAGAGAAGGAAGGAAAGGCAAAAGGGAGGGAATTAAGGACAAAAGGGTGGAAGGGAAGGAGAAATGAGAGGCAAGGAAGGGAAGAAGGAAGGAAAGAGAAAGCAAGAGAAAGGGGAAGGAAGGACAAAAGGGTGGAAGGTAGGGAGAGGGAGGCAAAGGAGAGATAGAAGAGAGAACGAAAGAAGGATAGGATGATGAGAGAGAGGAGGGCTTGAGAAAAGAGCCCAAGGGGCCACATCCGGCCCCCTGGCCTGGGTTTGCCCATACCTGATCTAGACACTAGAAGTCTTGAGACAACCTAGAATCACACTGGCTGCCACATCAGACTGTTGACTCCTGTATAGCTTGTCCAATATGACTCCTAGATCCCTTTTTCCATGCACTGCTGTCAAACCGATAAAAGCAGGCAGGTGCTGGGCCCCAGAGAGGAATCAATACCTGGAGAGGTTTTCTAAGGTTCAGACTGAAGTCTAGAGCCAACGCTTGCTGCCCCATTGACCTGCGACCCCAAAGCTCCCCCGCCCAAGACACTCTGTCTCTTTGCCAAAACCCCCTGCCAACTTACCTTCGCCAGGTGGACTTTGGGTGCCCCCTTCCTTCAAGGCAACCCCTGCTGTTGGAAGCGGGTTCGGCCTCCGTGGCTCCTTTGACTTCTTCTGCCCTCCACCCGGCACCATCCGGTCACTCGCAGTGCAAACATCTGGCAGAGAAATGATTAGCAACATCTCCCTGAAGCTACTAATGAAGGAACATATCTAATGATTTGCTTCAATGAGTTCTTCAAAACCTCTTCTCTCTGTTGATACCTTAATGCTTCATTGATCCATCAGTCTCAACAGAAATGGGTTAATTATGCCTGCATGTTCACATATAGCAGCTTGAGTGTGATTCTGGACTCATCGCTTAGCCTGGAACCTCAGGTTTCAGTGGTGACCAGGGGAGCATTTGCACAGTTAAAACTTGTGTGCCAGTTTAGCTGGTATTGCACCACCTGACATCCACTGGGAAATAGCAGCCAATAGTGAAAGGACCAAGGCAGTGACATCTCCAGCCCACCCCGTTTGGGTATCAGCCAGCACGTCAACAACTTAAATCAAAAAATAGTTTTCTAAGATCTACAGAGAGACTCGCTGGAACACCTCAGCAAGCAAGAGTCCAAAAGTGGCAGGCTCAAACCCAGAACCTCAATCAGTGGCTGATACCAAATGAGAGACTCCCTCCTGGGCACACAGAAGACTGGGCAACTTGGAAGGCACTGAACAGACTGCGCTCTGGCACCACGCGATGCAGAGCCAACCTCAAGAAATGGGGCTACAAAGTGGAATCATGCGAGTGTGGAGAAGAGCAAACCACAGACCACCTACTACAGTAATGGGCAACCTTTTGCGGTTGGTGTGTCAAAATTTGCCAAAAACCTGAGCATAACTTGGGTGGGGTGTCACTTCAAGAAAAAAAATGGCAATATTTATAGTTTAAATAAGAAAAATGTATAATCCATGCTGAGTTATAGAGTGAACAATGCTCAAATATGCAAATGTTAAATTTGTAGAGCATTTTACAAATTTAAGGATGGAATTAGTTTGGCTCTTATAAGGTGTACTTCTCTGTGTCTGCGTGTCATCAAAAAAAGCCATGCGTGTCAGTGCTGACATGAGTGTCATAGGTTCACCATCACAGTGTTAAGGAATGAGGTTTTGTTTTCAAAGCAGAGGTCGTCCTTTGGTGCATCTGGACTGCGGAATGAATGCAGTTTGAGACCGCTTTAGCTGACATGGCTAAATGCTACAGAATCCCAGGAGTTATCATTTCACAATGTCTTTCTCAACAAGGAGCACTGGCTCCTCCCCAAACTGCAACTCCCAGTTCACTCAAGTGGTGCCAAACTGTGTGTCGTTCTGCCATCCGGACGCACTCAGAAATGCTGTCTTACCGTTGATGCAGAGCATCCCTGGGCAGCACATGGAGCTCCTCTGGCACCTTCTTCGCGGCCCTCGGCATGCGGCACATATTGGAGGCTCCTCTCTGGGCCTGTGGCAGAATTTCCCAGATGGACAGTCCTTGTCGGCTAGGCACTGGCTGCTCTGCAGAGGGAGAAAGGGCCCCGAGAAGGTTAGTGGCCCCTGGGGCCAAAAGCAGATCTGGGGAAGGAGCCCAATGGTTTCAAACCAGGGGCTTCTCTTAGAATCATAGAATCATAGAGTTGGAAGAGACCTCATGGGCCATCCAGTCCAACCCCATTCTGCCAAGAAGCAGGAAAATTGCATTCAAATCACCCCTATTTATTTATTTGTCGTGTCAGGGCAACCAGTCAATTATATTACATTTCTAACAGAACAAAGCAAACAAACAGACAAAATACAAAATTTGTGAGTTTGGTAGTCGATTAAATGTCCTTTGACCAGTCTTGTGGTGCCAGAGCACAGTCTGGTCAGCGCCTTCCAAGTCGCCCAGTCCTCTGTGTGCCCAGGAGGGAGTTTCTCATTTGGTATCAGCCATGGATTGAGGTTCTGGGTTTGAGCCTGCCACTTTTGGACTCTCACTTGATTAGTCTGGCATGACTTGTTTTTGATAAATTCATGTTGACTATTAGCGATCACCACATTTGTTTCTAAGTGTTTGCAGACCACTTCCTTAACAATCTTTTCCAGAATCTTGCCTGGTATCGACGTGAGGTTGACCGGACGGTAGTTGTTTGGGTCATCCTTTTTTCCCTTCTTGAAGACTGGGACCACATTGGCCCTCCTCCAATCTGCTGGAACTTCTCCCGTTCTCCAAGAACTCTCAAAGATGATTGCCAATAGTTCCGAAATGACTTCCGCTAGTTCTTTCAATACTCTTGGGTGTAGTTGATCTGGCCCTGGGGACTTGAACTCATTTAGAGCGGCCAGGAATTCCTGAATGACTTGTTTCCCAATTCCCAAAAATACATTACAACTGTACCCTTGGTTTGCTTCTGATACAATAAATAAATAACAGACGTCTGAAGATGCTGACCACAGATGCAGGTAAAATGTCAGGAGAGAATACAGCTGGAACAGGACCATGCAGCCCGAAAAACTCACAGCAACCCAAAGTACTGTATTTCTTCAACTCTAAGACGTACTTTCCCCCTTATATAAGCATCTCCAAAAATGGAATGCATCTTAGAATCGCAGAGGTATCATAGATGTTGTTGTTGGCGATACTGAAGTTTGGGTGTACTGTATCTTGACCGCTCCAGCTGGAGGTCAACTGTGACCAGCAGTGCTGCAAAATTTGAAGAGGCACGAATGGAGGGCGAAAGGGAGAAGCGTGCCAAGAGGAAGGTGGGTCAAGCCAACCCTGACCGAGACCACCTTCCACCTGGAAAGCAATGCCCTCACTGCGGAAGAAGATGCAGAGCAAGAATAGGGCTCCACAGCCACATTCAGACCCACAGGAACACTGGAAGACAATCCTCCTCGGAAAACGAGGGATCGCCTAACTGTATCTTACAATCGAAGCCCTGGTGGCGCAGTGGGTTAAACCGTTGAGCTGATGAACTCGTTGACTGAAAGGCTGCAGGTTTGAATCCGGGGAGCAGGGTGAGCTCCTGCTGTTAGCCCCAGCTTCTGTCAACCTAGCAGTTTGAAAACATGCAAATGTGAGTGGATCAATAGGCACCGCTTTGACGGGAAAGTAACAGCGCTCCATGCAGCTATGCTGGCCACATGTCCTTGGAGGTGTTTCCGGACAACACGGGCTCTTCGGCTTACAAATGGAGATGAGCACAACAGCCCCAAGATCGGGCACGACTGGACTTAATGTCAAGGGGAAGCCTTTACCTAGAGCCCCCGGTGGCACAGTGGGTTAAAGCCCTGTGCCAGTAGGACTGAAGACTGACAGGTCACAGGTTCGAATCCGGGGAGAGGCGGATGAGCTCCCTCTATCAGCTCCAGCTCCTCATGCGGGGACATGAGAGAAGCCTCCCACAAGGATGATAAAACATCAAAATCATCTGGGCGTCCCCTGGGCAACGTCCTTGCAGACGGCCAATTCTCTCACAACAGGATGCTCCTGACACGTCAAAAAAAAGCAAAAACAAAACCTACAGTAGAAGAGATGCAGTAGTTGGAAATCTGCTGCAGTCTTTGGATGCCCTAAACCTACCGCCTGGGTCCACTGCATCTCTCTGCTTAAAGATAAGGCCGCACTTGAACATGTCCAGAGAAGGGTGGCCAAAAGGAGCAAAGGTTAGGAAGTCAAGCCCTGTGCGGTTCTGGTGTCCCCTTCTCTCAACCATCTCTTCTCCAAGCAAAGCCTATCCAGCTCCTTTGGCCACCCTTCTCATGTTCTCAGTAAAGTTGCAGCGCTCACCTTTCTGGCAGCGGACACTTCAGCCGAACCCCGGATGGTGTTGAAGTCCAGCACCAAGGTGGCCACTGGGCAGCAGAGGCAGGCGAACCCCAGCAAGAAGAGGGCTTCCATCTTCAGTCTTGGGGTGGTGGCTTCTGATGGCTTTGTTGCTGGAGAGGCCGGGCTTGCATCCGCCCAAGGTGCCTGCCCTGCCCTTGGGGCGTTATTTATAGCAATGCGTGCCCGCTCCCCTTTTGCAGACCCCTCCAGGCCTTTGATCCCCACTTCAAAACCAAGCCTCAAAGCCATCCCTGATTAGAGGGCTTCAAAGGCGGCGGCTCAGAGGGCAACACATGTCACCTGCCTCACCTGCGCTTCCTGCTCTTAATCCCTCCTCTGGCAAGCGGGGCTTTGTTGGGGATCCGCTTTCTCAGCTGGCAGGCCACCAAAGCCGTTGACCAGAGGCCTTTTGGAGGAAGAGGAGGAGGAGAGAAAAGGCTGGATGAAGGGGTTTGCTGACAGCTCGAAGCAGCTGCCTCGGAGCCCACCTGCCAGAGCCATGTACACAGACCTACCTCAAAGGAAGGGAGGGAGGGAGGGAGGCAAGAAGAAGGCACCTTCCTCTGACTCAGACCCACTTGGCTTTGAAGGTTAGGAGGAAGCCTTCTCCTGTCTTCCTGGCCTTAATGCTATGCGGGGCTTGAAGGAAAGGGTTTCAAGCCACAAATTAATATGCAGGTATCAAGATGGCTGCGCTGTGAATGCCGGATCCAAGAGACCGGCATTAGGGATGCAATCCCAGCAAGTGATCCTGAGCAAGACTCTACTTAGGCAGAAAAAACGAAATGCAAAGATACAGAATGGGGGACAATGCCTGGCTCGAGAGCAGTACGTGTGAAAAAGATCTTGGGGTCCTCGTGGACAACAAGTTAAACATGAGCCAACAATGTGATGTGGCAGCAAAAAAAGCCAATAGGAGCATAGTGTCTAGATCAGTGTTCTCAGCCTTCCTAATGCCGCGACCCCTTAATACAGTTCCTCATGTTGTGGTGACCCCCCAATCATAAAATTATTTTGTTGCTCTTTCACAACTGTAGTTTTGCTTCTGTTATTGAACGTAATGTAAACATCTGATATGCAGGATGTATTTTCATTCACTGAACCAAATTTGGCACAAATACTCTATACACCCAAATTTGAATACTGGTGGGGTTTGGGGGGGGGGGTATTGATTTTGTCATTTGGGAGTTATAGTTGCTGGGATTTATACTTAACCTACAATCAAAGAGCATTCTGAACTCCACCAACGACGGAATTGAACCAAACTTGGCACACAGAACTCCCATTATCAACAAAAAGTACTGGTAGGGTTTGGTGGGCATTGACCTTGAGCTTTAGAGTTGTAGTTCACCTACATCCAGAGAGCACTGTGGACTCAACCAGTGATGGATTTGACCAAACTTAGCATGAATACTCAATATGCTCAAATGTGAACACTAGTGGAGCTTGGGGGAAATAGACATTGACATTTGGAAGTTGTAGTTGCTGAAATTTATAGTTCATCTACAATCAAAGAGCATTCTGAGCCCTACCAATAATAGAATTGGGCCAAACTTTCCACACAGAAACCCCATGACCAACAGAAATTATTGTGTTTTCTGATGGTCTTTGGCAACCCCCCTGACACCCCCTCACGACCCCTCTGGGTGTCCCGATTCCCCATGCTCTATTCCGCCTTGGTTAGACCACACCTGCAATATTGTGTCCAATTCTGGGCACCACAATTCAAGAGAGATATTGACAAGCTGGAATGTGTCCAGAGGAGGGTGACTAAAATGATCAAGGGTCTAGAGAACAAGCCCTATGAGGAGTGGCTTAAGGAGCTGGGCATATTTAGCCTGAAGAAGAGAAGGCTGAGAGGAGATATGATAGCCATGTATAAATATGTGAGAGGAAGTCACAGGGAGGAGGGAGCAAGCTTGTTTTCTGCTTCCCTGGACACTAGGATGCGGAACAATGGCTTCAAACTACAAGAAAGGAGATTCTATCTGAACATGAGGAAGAACTTCCTGACTGTGAGAGCTGTTCAGCAATGGAACTCTCTGCCCTGGAGTGTGGTGGGGGCTCCTTCTTTGGAAGCCCAAACAGAGGCCCAAATTTGAATACTGGTGGGTTTGTGGTGGAATTGGCCTTGATATTTAGGATTTGTAGATACTGGGATGTATAGTTCACCTGCAATCAGAGCTCTCCAAACCCCACCGATGATGTACCTGGACCTAACTTGGCACACAGAACCTCCATGACCTACTGAACGTATTGGAGGGATTTGACAGCACTGACTCAGCATGATGGGAGTTGTAATTCATCCTGCAGCTGGAGACCACACTGAACTCCACCAAATTTGCCCAACATGTCAAGTTTTAAGTATTGATGGAGTTTCAGGGGGTTAACCTGGCATGATGTGAGTTGTAGTTCCCCCACAACCTTAGGTATTTTGTAAAATCTGAGCAACGCTGGGGACCCAAGCTAGTTTTTAATATTTGGGGGTTGTTGCGGAGGATGGAGGAGAATGCTGGCCTCTGCAACGGCCAATGAGAAAGCTGTTTTGGCACGAGATGGATGCACATTTGCTGGCGTTTGTGAGCAACATGCCTTTGGGGTGAGGCACATTTGCGCATTTCAGAGGCGGCAGGTTCAATCCCGGGGTTTATCCTCTTGAAAGGCTGCCTCCCAAAGCCAGGCTCAGGGGCCATTCCTTTCTTCTGGCTGCCCTTCACTCAGCGTCCAGATTCAGGCCTGTCCTCGCTCTCGGCCAAGGAGATTCAGGCGCTCTCTCGGTCTCTCTCTCCTGTCTTTTGAAGTTGGGAAAGAGGTCTCGTGGAAGGGTCAGCACACTGAAAGGGCCGCCATGCCCCATCCAAGTTGCTATCTCCTTGGAAGTGCCCTGAAAGTCTGGCACAGAGGTCTCTGCCCCTTTCTGGACCCCTTTATTGCTGTGCTTCACACACACCTAGTGTGGAACACATCCCACCACGATAAAACAGTGCATGTGGCTACTTGTTTGCCTGGTTCCTACTTAAATTAGTATATTTAGCCTTCTGTCAATGTTTAAATTGCTGCTCAGTTCTGCTCTGTTTGTTATGCAGGGTAGGAAAGAGCAGAAAAAGGGTTAAGGGGGAGGCAGTGGGCGGGGTGATGCAAATCCCACACCAGTGGAGAGAGAAAGGAACCCTGGCATGCCTGCCCGTGGTGGAGGAAATATAGGATGAAATTATCCCCAAATGAAAGCATTCTTTGGGTGGTGGGCTGTAGGGTTTGGGGAGGACATTGGCAGGGGTTGGGCTACATACATGTTCATGGTCTTCGCTGTAATCTGCAATGTCAGTGGTGGGAGTGCCTTTGGAGGCTTCTCAGCACTTGGATCTATAGCCTGTTTGTGGAGGCCAGAGGCTGTCTGTGTACACCTCTGCCACATATACATTTTTCACTTTTATTATGTGTATAGATTTACAGCATTTATTTTCCACGCTTCTCACCCCAAAGAGGACTCAAGGCAGACCACACAACCCATACTGCCATGTCTCTTGGAACAATGGAACTCTGAATCTCTGGACTATTAACTACGGTATAGACTCTTGATCCTTGGACTTTACTCATTGAACTCTCGGTGTTTGACTACTGGACTGGAGCGTTTGACTACGGTGTTCTCCCGAACCTGCATCGGCGTTTGCTACCAGTCTTTGTTTTATAATCTGTGGGTGAGTGCTATCTTTATATTTGGACTATGAAAACAGTCAGACGGTAAGTGCTGCTTTAATTTGACACAAGCTGGGTGTTTGTTTTTTGTTCACCTCTGCCTGCTTTCTGGCAGAGCCCTGGCATCATGGCACATACGCAGCAAACATTCAGTGCCGTTAGACATACAGGACTGAGTGATATCTTTATATTTTATATTTGGACTATGAAAGCAGTCAGACAGTAAGTGCTGCTTTAATTTGACACAAGCTGGGTGTTTGTTTTTGGTTCACCTCTGCCTACTTTCTGGCAGAGCCCTGGCATCGTGCCACATACATGGCAAACATTCAATGCCGTTAGACATACAGGACTGAGTGATATCTTTATATTTTATATTTGGACTATGAAAACAGACAGTAAGTGCTGCTTTAATTTGACACAAGCTGGGTGTTTGTTTTTGGTTCACCTCTGCCTGCTTTCTGGCAGAGCCCTGGCATCGTGCCACATACATGGCAAACATTCAATGCCGTTAGACACACAGGACTGAGTGATATCTTTATATTTTATATTTGGACTATGAAAACAGTCAGACAGTAAGTGCTGCTTTAATTTGACACAAGCTGGGTGTTTGCTTTGGTTCACCTCTGCCTGCTTCCTGGCAGAACCCTGGCATCGTGACACATACATGGCAAACATTCAATGCCGTTAGACATACAGGACAGACAGACAGATAGAGGTATATCTCTCAGCATTTTTCCAACTTCAGCGTCCTGGAGGTTATGCTCGATTCCAGCCACAGGGGGTGCTATTGTTCCATCTAAGATGACAAGCCTTTTTGATCACAGACTTTCCTCCTGTTCTTTGATCGTTGGCTTTTTAATGGTGCTGCAAAATACCTCATCGCGTAAACTGTGCCTAATTTCTCTACTCACGACTGCAGCTGTTTTTGAACTAAACAGTAAGCTAGGCTGAAGGCCGGGTGCTCAACCCAAACTGGACTTGAACTCCCAGCCTTTCAGTTGGGAAAGATCTATTGCTGCTGGTGATTAACCAGTTATTTTATTTATTTACTTTATTTCTATACCGCTTTTCTCAGCCCTCAGGTGACTCAAAGCGGTGACTCAAACCAGTTGTGCTAAAGCCTGACTGTTCTGTCCCACCGTCCAAACCTTTTGCAGATGAAGACCCCATTTCCTCACTTTCGGCCAGGAAAGCATCCCTGCAGGAGGCCAATCAATTCTAAGAGAAACTCTCATCAGAAAGAAATGCTATAGATCACAGCCCACCCGCTGGCTATGGACCCATAAAACTCCAAAAACTCTTACCTCTCACTAAGAATAAAATGTCAGCTTTAGCCCGAGCCCTGACCATCCCTCCCACCCACTTGCCGCAAAGGCATCCCCTTCCCTTTAAACGCCATCTCCCCAAAGGCACAGAGTTCACAAAATGGGTTCTGATCCTGCTCCTCCCAGGGTCTGGCCAAGATGGCCGCAGCATCGTCCAGCTGCCACAGGAGTCTTGGACGCGTCTCCTTTGGTCCTTTGTGGAAATAGCAAGCAGCAATGTCCGAGGCCCGTCACTGCTCAGAGGTCCGAGCGCTCAGGCCCTTTGGAGGGGGTCTCCTCCACTTTGCTGGACGTTGAGTCCTCCTCCCCAAATTGCATGTTAGCATAAGCCACCTCTTTGGCCAGCTGCTCCAGAGAAGGGCGGCCCCAGGCCAAGTTGCGGAGGGAAATGGCGGTCATCAGGAGGCTGCAAAGGGAAAGGAACGACAATCAGGGAGGAGAAAGAAAAGGAACAGAGGGAAGGAAGGAGGTAACAGAAGGGAAGGAAAAAGGAAGAAAAGAAAGGGAGAAGGGAGTGCGAGGAAGGGAAGAGAGAAAAAGAAGGGAAAGAAGGGAAAGTGGAAGAGAGAGAAAGCGAGAAAAGAAAGCAAGTGGGAAGGAAGGAAAGAAAAGGAAGGGAGGGTAAAGAGAAAGAAGAGAAGGGAGGGATAAATAAGGGGGGGAAGGAAGTGGAAAGGGAGTGGAAGGGGGGAGAAAGTAAAAAAGAAAGAAAAAAAGAAAGGGAGAAGTAGGGAAGAAAACAAGAAAGAAAGAAAGAAAGAAAGAAAGAAAGAAAGAAAGAAAGAAAGACAGTGAAAAGGAAGGAAGGGAAGAAGAAAAGGCAGAAGGGAGGGGAGAAGGGAGGGTGAGAGACAGGAATTGAAGGGAGAAAGGAAAGAAAAGGAAGAAAGGAAAGTGGAGGAGAGAGAAAGAAAGAAAAGAAAAGAAGAGGAGAGAAGAGAAGGAAAGGAAGGGAAGGTAAAGAGAAAGAAGAGAAGGTAGGGATGGAGATAAGGGAGGGAAGGAAGTGGAAGGGGGGTGGAAGGGGAGGAGAAAGTAAAAAAGAAAGAAAGAAAAAGAAAGGGGGAAGTAGGGAAGAAAACAAGAAAGAAAGAAAGAAAGAAAGAAAGAAAGAAAGAAAGAAAGAAAGAAAGAAAGGGAGGGAGGGAAGGAGAAAAGGCAAAAGGAAGGGGAGAAGGGAGGGTGAGAGACAGGAGAGGGAGCATGAGAGACAGGAATTGAAGGGAGAAAGGAAAGAAAAGGAAGAAGGGAAAGTGGAGGAGAGAGAAAGAAAAAAAAGAAAAGAAGGGGAGAGAAGGAAAGAAAAGGAAGGGAAAGTAAAGAGAAAGATGAGAATGAAGGGAAGAAGATAAGGAAGAAGGAAAGAAAGGGAGGGAGGGAAGGAATTGGAAGGAAAGTGGAGGGGAAGTGGAGGAGAAAGAAAAAAGGAGAAGAAAGAAAGAAGAAGGGGAAGTAGGGAATGAGAGAGATCACATGGGCCATCTAGTCCAATCCGCTTGCCATGCAGGGAAAACACAAACAAAGGGAGGTGAGGTCCCTCAAAGAGAAGGTCCTGAAGGAGCTTCCTTTTTGGCTTTGGCTCAGCACTAACATGGCTGTATGATGCAAATGTAACGTGCACCCTCATTTCATCCAGTTCATTTAGCCCAAAAGGGCGAGCAATAGACATGTGTGCTGGTACGGCTGTACCAGAAACTCCCACTTTATTTGCTTTGTATCAAATGTTTGCTTGCAGTCAGGGATTCTGCAGATAGGTGGCTTCCTTTGGTTGCAGTGATAGGGCAAGTCACCTGTCCATCATTGTTAAGTTTTGGTTCCGCCCCTTGCTCAGGGCAATTGGGAAGGGAAGGAAGCCATTTTTTTAGTCACACTCAGCAAGGAAAGCTATGTACAGGACGTGTGCAAGCTTCCCCTGAACAAAAGTTTCAACTTTTAAGAATTCCCAGGGAAGCATCCCCAAAGCTTTGAAGACTTTCCGGGGGAGAACAGCCCTAAAGATCAGAGAACTCCAGCTGAAGAGACTACAGGCCTTGCTGGTAGGTCCACTCGGTGCTTTGAGACGCAGTTCAACCCGGTAGTGGTGCCCACATCAGTTAAGTTTAAGTTTACACTCAGCCTGGGAGAAGTTAAAAAGGGGATTTTCCTTTAAAGTAAAGAAGAAGTTATTGAAGACAGTTGCCTGTCCTTCGTGGGCAAGATTAGGAAGTCACCAGTTGCATAAAGCCTGGAAGCATTTGTTTAACCTTTTGAAGAGAAGTTTCTGTTTGATTGTTCATTAATAAAAGACTTTGTTATACTTCACAAGCCATCTAAAAGTCATTTGTGGTGGAAAACCTCTGAGAACTTCTCCTTGGGCCCCCTGGCTTCCCGCTGGGCAAAGGTTGCATGTCCTGTTCTAAAGGAAATTCTCTACAGGCCCAGCACACGACAGAACAGACATGAGTCAATAGAATATTTCAGCTTGCATTGACAGAAGAGGTGTAGTTTCCAAGGCTCACCTTCGGCGGAAGACGAAGTACTTCTTGGCGGAGAAGCGGAGGAAGCGCTCCCCGAGGCCTGCGCTGCGACGCTTCTGCAGCTCCTGGATGCGCTGCTGCCGCCGGAGGAAGGCCTCAACTACGGGGTCAGCGGGGGTCCCGTCTGTCAAGGATCCGCTAAGGATGGGCTGCAGCTCCGGAGGGAGAGGCTCTGTCTCTAAGGGGGACACAAGGGAGAGGGGCAAAATAAGGGAAGCATGTAAACAAAGGCAGCGGCCCCACAAAAAAGAAGAAGGTGCAAAGGTAGCCACTCTTCAGAGAAGGAAGATGAGGCCCCCAATACGGGCACCTTATTTATTTATTTTTATTTCTCGCACTTCTACCCAGCCCTTCTCAACCCCCGAGGGGGGACTCAGGGCGGCTTACAAAAAGCACAATTCGATGCCAGCACAACAATAAGATAAAAATAAAACGTATATAAACAGTAATTAAAACAGTTAAAACAATCCATTATACATCACAATCCCTAAAACCAATCTAGTGCTCAACGTTTGGCAGCTCAGAGTCCGTAAATTCAATTCCACATTGTCAGATCCATCGATTTTAGTCGTCGCTTGTCCTTTTTCCATCTGCCAGATTACCCAAAAGCCTGGTCCCAAATCCATGTTTTTAATTTCCTTCTGAAAGAGAGGACGGATGTCGATGACCTAATTTCCCCAGGGAGTGAATTCCACAGATGAGGGGCCACCACTGAGAAGGCCCTGCTCCTCGTCCCCACCAACCTCACTTGTGATAGAGGTGGGGCCGAGAGCAGGGCCACCCCAGAAGATCTTAAATTCCAAGGCGGGACATAGAAGGAGATGCATTTGGACAGATACGCTAGGCCGGAACCGTATAGGGTTTTGTAGGTCAAAACCAGCACTTTGAATTGTGCTTGGAACTGGATCGGCAGCCAGTGGAGCTGATATAACAGAGGGGTGGTATGCTCCCTGTATGATGCCTTGGTGAGTAATCTAGCTGCTGCCCGCTGGACTAATTGAAGTTTCCGAACAGTCTTCAAAGGCAACCCCATGTAGAGTGCGTTGCAGTAATCTATCTGGGATGTAACAAGAGTGTGGACCACTGTGGCCAGATCAGACCTTGGTTCTCTATCTGTTGTGTCTGCCTCCATATCTGTTTCCTGCCCTTATTGATTCAGACTTGCAGTGTATCATTCAAACAAGCCTATGACGCAAGTCCCCCAATCAGAACAGCTTAAAAGGCTTAAATCAGCGTAAAGCGGTCAGAAATATTAAAAATTAACTAGGTATTTTTAATTACAAAAATGCGAGTCAAGCACTGAGAGGGGTAAATGGATGCAATGACACAGCCAAAGCTGCAGTTCAATAAAAACAGGTGTGCCTGTAGCTTAGTAGCCCTCAGTCTGAGAGAGGTCTCTGTAGAAGAAGGGCCTCAGTCTGTTAGTAGGCCTCAGTATGAGAAAGGCTCAATTTTAGTTCACCTCAGTGTGAGAGGCGTCAGTCTGAGAGAGCCCTCAGTGGGAGAAAGGCCCCAATGTGAGGCAGACCTCAGTGTTAGTATGCCTCAGTATGAGTAGGCCGGGTGTGAGAAGCTTCAGTGAGAGAAGCCGCAATGTGAAGGATGCTATGCGTAAAAAACTACTGTGTGAAGCTCCTGTGTAACTTCGGTGTGAAAGATATTTATCTGCATGTCAAGATAGTAGCCAAAAGTGACAAAAAGAACAAAAATGCACAGATCAATGTTATCTCTTCCTTAGGAGACTATGATTGCACTATTTACAAGAACAAGTTTTCTATAACACTAATAAAGTTCTTTATACTTCGTTCTCTGCTTCCACACTGGGCTTCTTTTTCATGGAGATAAAAAGCTTCGCTCTCACAGAACCTTTTCTCACACTAAACTTACACAGGAGCTTCACACTGGAGTTTCACATGCCTGTAGCTTAGTAGCCCTCAGTCTGAGACAGGTCTCTTTAGAAGAAGGGCCTCAGTGTGTTAGTAGGCCTCAGTATGAGAAGGGCTCGATTTTAGTTGACGCCTCAGTGTGAGAGGCGTCACTCTGAGGGAGCCCTCAGTGTGATAAGGCCTCAGTGGGAGAAAGGCCTCAGTATGAGGTAGACCTTAGTGTTAGTGTTAGTAGGCCTCAGGATGAGTAGGCCTGGTGTGAGAAACTTCGGTGAGAGAAGCTGCAGGTTGAAGGCCTTAATGTGTAAAGCTATAGTATGAAGGCTGCTGTGTGTAGAAAAAACTACTGTGTGAAGTTCCTGTGTAACTTCGGTGTGAGAGGGGGTTCTGTGAGAGCAAAGTTATTTATCTGCATGTGAAGATAGTAGCCAAAAGTGATAAAAAGAACAAAAACACACAGGCCAATGTTATCTCTTTCTTAGGAGGCCTTTCTTTATAGCAAAATAATATGGTTGCACTATTTACAAGAACAAGTTTTCCATAACTTGTAGCGGCGCATCCAGGAGCTGTGATGGAGGCTCCTTCTTTGGAAGCTTTTAAACAGAGGCTGGATGGCTATCTGTAAAGGGTGCTTTGAATGCAATATTCCTGCTTCTTGGCAGGGGGTTGGATTGGTGCTTTGAATGCAATATTCCTTCTTCTTGGCAGGGGTTTGGACTGGATGGCCCACAAGGTCTCTTCCAACTCTAGGATTCTATGATTCCATAACACTAATAACATTCTTTATACTTCCTTCTCTGCTTCCATATTGGGCTTCTTTCTCATGCTCTCACAGAGCCTCTTCTCACACTACACTTACACAGGAGCTTCACACAGTAGCCTTTTACACATAGCAGCCTTCACACTGGAGCTTCACACATAAGGTCTTCAGCCTGGAGCTTCTCTCACCAAAGCTTTCTCACATTAGGCCTCTCACACACTGAGGCTTACCTCACACTGAGGCCTACTAACACTGTTTACCTCACACTGAGGCCTCTCTCAGACTTAACTAGGTATTTTGAATTACAAAAATGTGAGTCAAGCACTGAAAGGGTTACATGGATGCAAAGACTCAGCCTTCATACTGAAGGCAACTAGAACTGAGGCATACTAACCTACATGCACACCTGCTTATATTGAATTGTAGCTTTTGTTCAGTCACTGCATCCATTTAACCCTTTCAGTGCTTGGCTCACATTTTTGTAATTCAAAATACCTAGTTAATTTTTAATATTTCTGACAACAGAGAGCACTCCATCCTTCCAATTCTGGGAAACCCAGCACTCTTTAGAGCAGGCACGGGCAAACTTTGGCCCTCCAGGTGTTTTGGACTTCAACTTCCACAATTCCTAACAGCCTGCCATCTGAGTAGGGTTCTCTTTGATGCATTTTGAATCTGGGGCAATGAGGAAAGGAGGATCCTAGACCCGCAAAGACTCACCGGTCCCGTTCTCCACTTTCTCCTTCAGCTCTTGCAGGCGGGTGAGGTTCTGCTCCAAGGCAGCTTCGGTGGTGTTGACATAGATGTACATGTAGCAGGAGGGCTCCGAGGAGACGGTGAAGACCTTGTGGTATTCTCCTGGAGGCAGCTGAGGCCGAAGGAAAGGCAAAGGGAGTGAGAAGGGACACCCAAAGAGGGATGCAAGCAACTGGGCAGTGCAACCAACGCCATTGGGAGAAGCCTTTAGGGGTGTCTTAACGGTGAATCCCACTAAGTCAGTGGTTCTCAACCTGGGGGGTCGGGACCCCTGCGGGGGTTGCCAGGGAGTGTCAGAGGGGTCGCCAAAGACCATCAGAAAACATAGTATTTTCTGTTGGTCATGGGGGCTCTGTGTGGGAATTTTGGTCCAATTTAATTGTTGGTGGGGTTCAGAATGGTCTTTGAGTGTAGGTGAACTATAAATCCCAGCAACTACAACTCCCAAATGTCAAGGTCTATTTTCCCCAAACTCCACCAGTGTTCACATTTGGGCATATTGAGTATTCATGCCAAGTTTGGTCCAGATCCATCATTGTTTGAGTCCACAGTGTTCTCTGGATGTAGGTGAACTACAACTCCAAACTCAAGGTCAATGCCCACCAAACACTTCCAGTATTTTCTGTTGTCAAGTTTGGTTTAATTCCATTATTGTTGGGGTTCAGAATGCTCTTTGATTGTAGGTGAACTATAAATCCCAGCAACTACAACTCCCAAATGTCAAGGTCTATTTTCCCCAAACTCCACCAGTGTTCACATTTGAACATATTGAGTATGCATGTCAAGTTTGGTCCAGATCCATCATTGTTTGAGTCCACAGTGCTCTCTGGATGTATGTGAACTACAACTCCAAAACTCAAGGTCAATGCCACCTCACAGTATTTTCTGTTGGTCATGGGGGTTCTGTGTGGGAAGTTTGGTCCAATTTAATTGTTGGTGGGGTTCAGAATGCTCTTTTGATTGTAGGTGAACTACAAATCCCAGCAACTACAACTCCCAAATGTCAAGGCTCTATTTTCCCCAAACTCCACCAGTGTTCACATTTACATATTGAGTATTTGTGCCAAGTTTGGTCCAGATCCATCATTGTTTGAGTCCCCAGTGCTCTCGATGTAGGTGAACTACAACTCCAAACTCAAGGTCAATGCCCAAACCCCAGTATTTTCTGTTGGTCATGGGGTTCTGTGTGGGTTTGGCCCCCATTCCTTCGTTGGTGTTCAGAATGCTCTTTGATTTAAGGTGTCTATAAATCCCTGCAACTACAACTCCCAAATGTCAAGGTCTATTTCCCAAACTCCACCAGTGTTACATTTGGGCATATTGAGTATGTGCCAAGTTTGGTCCAGATCCATCATTGTTTCAGTCCACAGTGCTCTCTGGATGTAGGTGAACTACAACTCCCAAACTCAAGGTCAATGCCCACCAAACCCTTCTAGTATTTTCTGTTGGTCATGGGGGTTCTGTGTGCCTGTTTGGCATAATTCTATCATTGGTGGGTTTCAGAAGGCTCTTTGATTGTAGGAGAACTATAAATTACAGCAACTACAACTCCCAAATGTCAAGGTATATTTTCCCCAAGCTCCACCACTGTTCGCATTTGGGCATATTGAGTATACATGTCAAGTTTGGTCCAGATCCATCATTGTTTGAGTCCACAGTGCTCTCTGGATGTAGGTGAACTACAACTCCAAACTCAAGGTCAATGCCCATGTTGGCCATGGTAGTTTTGTGTGCCAAGTTTGGTTCAATTCCATCATTGCTGGAGTTCAGAATGATCTTTGATTGAAGGTGAACTCTAAATCCCAGCAACTACAACTCCCAAATGACCAAATCAATCGCCTCCCTCCAACCCCACCACTATTCAAATTTGGGCATATCGGGTATTTGTTCCAAATTTGGTCCAGTGAATGGAAATACATCCTGCTTGTCAGATAATTGCATTACAATTAATAACAGGAGCAAAATTACAGTTATGTAGTAGCAAAATAATGTTATGGTTGGGGGTCACCACAACATGAGAAAATGTATTAAGGGGCCATGCATTAGGAAGGTTGAGAAACACTGCACTAAGTCATACAACCTTCATACTCCAAAGCTGTGCTTCTACAGGCCGTCCCCGAGTTACAAACATCCGACTTACGAACCTCTCCTAGTTAAGAACAGGGCTGAGACAACTGGAAGTGAGAGGAATCTCTCCCTTGGAAGGAAGGGAAATCCACTCCTGGAAGAGTCATTCTCATGGAGAAAAGTGTTTCCCAATGAAACTTTCTCTCCAATCCTTGTTCCCATAACAAGCCGAATTTCCCAAAAATCAGTTACCACAGGGACAGAAAGTGGGATGAAATCTTCAGAAGAGAGACAGAGATGGCAAAGCAAACACCACAGCATTGTTAACCCTTCCCTATGCTCTCCAAAGCTTATGTGTCTGTGTGTGTATGCATGTTATTGTTGAGGTCAAAGGATCTCCTTTTAAATTTAGATTGACTTGGATATGGACACAGGATTGTTGTTATTGTTGTTGTTCCAGGTGAGGAGGGCTGGCCAAAGCAGTAGAACAGACAAGGACTAGGACTCTGTTGGATGAGATGCCTCCTGGGGTCCCTTACTTCCTCTATGCCCCCTTTTTGGGATGAAGCATTAGGAACATCTCCCTCCCGCTCCCCTGTCCCCGTGTTTTGCACCTGGATTCGATCTCCTTCCCGCAAGGTGTGGTTCTGCCCTTCCTTCACCATCTCCACCACGACTTCTCCTTTCAGCAGCTGGAGGCTGGCATTGCCCAGGTCCTCGCTCACAAAGTTCTCCAAATGTAAGCCTATTATTCAGGACACACAATTGGGGGACTGTCAGCACCTCTTTGAAGGCCAACTGTCCCCAAAGACACTCCCCCCCCCCCCCCCCCCCCCCCGGACCTATGGGTCAACAGAGACTACCAAATCTTCTATCCAATTGCTCCAAAATATGATCCTCTGCTTCAAGGGTGTTCTGTTGAGCTTTGACCATGAGGATGAATGGTTGGAGCTGCACACCAATGGCTTCCAACAGTGTAGTACAAGCATGGGCAAACTTCAGCCCTCCAGATATTTTGCACTTCAACTCCCACAATTCCTAACAGCCTATTGGCTGTCCTTAGCATAAAAGACTTTCGAGCCTGCAGTCTTGTTGCTGGAAGCAACGTCTTGCTAGATAGTACGGCTGGGCGGTTTCGTTTCGTTAATTCGTAATTCGTTGATAATTCGTTATTTTTTTTAATTACAAAACGATAACGAACCATTCTGGAGCAATTTTTTAAAAAAACGAATTTTTAAACACGTTTTGTAAATGCTTTGTATTTCGTTATTGTATTCGTTTCGTTATTGTTCTGAGGTCGTTTCGTTATTATTTCCGCATGTCTGGGACAAGTTTTTTGTTTAATTAGTGAAAAAAAATTATAATATCACACCAACAGTCAACAACAGAGGGAGAGGGAAGCTTCAGAAGTTTTTGGAGGTTTTTTAGCGTATTTCGCGGTCGCGTCCGCCATTAACGAATCGATTCGTTATTGTTTCGGAAATCGATTCGTTAATGTTTTGTCATTTTTTTCACATTTACGAAATTTCGTAAATACCGAACTTTTTAAAAGGAAAATTTTGTAATTATTTTAAATAACGAAACACAAAAACCCCCAAAAAACGAATCGATTTTAGAAACAAATTTTTCCGTTGTTACCCAGGCCTACTAGATAGCATTATTGTGAATTCATTGTGTGACTGGCTTTGTGAACTTTGGATTCTGTCTTACAATTAGTTATACTGTTACTTGTTTGTTCTCGAAACATGGATACCGGCTTACTGGCACTGGGATTGTGGGTTTAGGCTTTGGTTCAAGAACTTTCTGTGTATGACTTCTGGACATGTATATTGATTACACTATCTAACACGATTTTGATTCCTGGGTTATAAAATGTCATTTCCTCATTGGTTCTATCATAAAAACATTGGAAAAATTGATGAAACTGCAAAAACTTTGTTTTTTGTAGGACATTCCGCTATAGCACATTTTGCTCTAGTTTTTCAATGAATATCTCATCAAGTCTCAACCAACTGCAACCTAGTTTGTGGCAGTCACGAAAACAAGGTTTCTGGAGTATAACAACTGCTTTCAAAGTCAGTACCGTACTATTAAACAGGAATAACACTTTTAAACCAGGAACAGATTTTTAAAAATTGTATTACATATGAGGGGCGTTCACGAAAGATTTTCCCTGAGCCCCTTCCTGTGGACTGAGACCAATGCGACTTGGCCCAGTTCTGAGTCCTTCTCTCCATGGGTACCATCTAAGGACACACGCTTCTTTTGAAGCAACTGGAAAACACATCGCTTGTAGAAGTCAACAGGTTGCTCCAAAAGCCACGTTGAGACTTCAGAAATCAGAGTCTCATCATCTGAAAAACGCTTCCCCTTCAAAAATAACTTCCTTGTTGGAAAGAGGTGGAAGTCTGATGGTGCAAAGTCAGGTGAATGGGGATGCAGTTGAATTTCAAAGCCACGGGAGCACGCTTCTTCAATTTGGGCAACAGATGAGTTGGAAACTGGTGCATTGTCTTTGGTGAGCATGCCACATTGCCTCTCGGTTGGGATGGCTTTCCGCAATTTCTGCAGCAGTGAAGCCTAGTATGCCCTAGTGATCATAGGATCCTTTGCTAGGAAATCCATCAATCCTACTCTGTGCTGGTCCCAAAATACTATGAGCATGACCTTTCCTGCCAAGAGTTGGGCACGTGCCTTCTTTGGAGGCCATGAGTTAGGATGCTTCCGTGGCATCGACTGGGCTTTAGTCTCAGGATCAGAGTGATGGACACAACTTGCCTCCTTTGTGATCAGTCTGTTGACAACGTCCTCCTGGTTTCCATGGCACATCGTTGTCAAGAGAGCCTGAGAGCATTGGACTCGTTCCTGCTTCTGGAAAGGTGTGAGCAGCCGGGGGACACAGCAAGCAGATCCCTTATGCAGGTGAAGATGGTCTTGGGTGATTTCTTCCACGGACCCCACACTCATCTTGACATTTTGGGCTAGTAGTATATGTGCTGCCGAAGCGAGCACCCATTTTGGGCTAGGTAGAGAATGGTGTCATGGCAATTTTCCAAAATGATGACCCCCAATTGCTGGATGGTGTGTTTATCAATAGCAGAGTGGGGTCACCCCAGAATTGGAGCTGTTTGCACCGAAGTCCGGCCGCATTTAATGGATGATGCCAGTTCTTGACTCCATCATATGATGGGGAATCCTCACCATAGACCTCTTTCATCTCATTGAACATCTCCTTTGGTGTGCGGCCTTTCAAAGAAAGGAACTTGAGGACTGCTCTGTATTCCACTGGGTCCATTCTCAAACCTCACACCACTTCAGCACCTGTCACATCAAGTCCGTTCTCAGTTTGGAGTTGCAAATTGGCACGTAACCTATAGAGACTGATATCATTACACATGTGCAGTTTCAGCATCCTGTGATAAATAGAAGTGGGTCAGGAGAAATCTTTCATGAATATGCCTCGTAGTGCTATCTGTGTTTGAGAGGGAATGAGGCACATCACAACAAAGGGGTACTGGCTGTAGCACCAGGGGGTCTACCTGGGAAGTCGGCAATGAAGACCACCTCAGTCTGGTTGTCCAGTGAGTCCTCGATCTCCTGCAGCTTGGTCCTCCAGGGAGAGAGGTCCACCAGGAGGGGCTTCAGCCAAGGGGTCTTCTGGAAGGGGGACCACTCCGCCCGAACAATGTCTGTCCCGGGGTCAAAGAGCCTGAGACGGGGAGAAACAAGGACGAAGGGCAGAGAGGAGGGTGAGGGTGAGGGAGCCCTCCATACACAAGTCGCTTTGGCGGGTCCACGCTTCCAAGGGGTTTGTTTATCAAAGGGGTTTTGGAGGCAGAATTCAACACACAGTGGGGCCATGGGCTCAAGTGGCAGGAAAAGGGATACCATCTCAACTTTAGGCAGTTAGAGCTATTCAGCAGCAGAATGTGCTCCAAAGCCTCCAGAGTGGAGCCCCCGCCTCTGGTGGTTTTGAAGCAGAGGCTGGACGGTCATCTGCTGAGAGGGTTTCAGTTATGTCTTCCTTTATGGAAGAATGGGGTTAGACTGGATGGTCCCTAGGGGTCCCTTTCAAATAGGATTCTATGAGAGGCTGGATGGCCATCTGTCAGGAGGGTTTGGATGGTGTCTTCTTTTATGGCCAAATGGAGTTGTACTGGATGACCCTTGGGCCATATAGAATCCTAGTTGTAAGGAAGTCCAAGGGTATGGATCGTCGATGTCACAATCCCAGGTGACAGCAGGATTGCAGAGAAACAACTGGAAAAGCTGACACGATATGAGGATATGTGGACTCATCTTGTTGTGTTTCTAATAATAATAATAATAATAATAATAATAATAATAATAATAATAATATGTTAATTGATACCCCGTTTTTTTCTCTCCATAAGGAGATAGAGGCTGGATGGCCATCTATCGGGAGGGTTTGGATGTCTTCTATTATGGCTGAATGGAGTTGGACTGGAGGACCCTGGGGGTTCCTTAAAACTAGGATTCTAGGATTCTATGGTGTTATCATTATTATTAATAATTATAATTATTATTGGTTATGATTAATTATTAATAAAATTACTATTGTTTATTGATAGCCTGTTTATTTTCTCTCCACACGGAGGTTGTGGCTGGATGAGAGGCTGGATCTGGCCACCTGTCGGGAAGGTTTGGATGGTGTCTTCTTTTATTGCAGAAAGGAGTTGGGCTGCAAGTTTAGGGAGTAGAACAACTACTTCCAAAGGAAAGACCGTACAATTAAACAGGAAATAATACTTTCAAAGAAGGAACAGATTTTTTCCCCGAAGTTTGTTATAGAGTGCAATAATTTGGCAAGGGCACCCAACTTTTGCAGGGCACGAAGTCCCTGGAGGGTCCCAACGGTGGCATAACCTATACAGTGCTTGAGAGGTTACTGAACCATGTCTAGCAAGGCTCTGGAGCCCTTCTTTCCTCTGGAGCATTGCAGTTTCCAAGGTAAGGGAGCTGAGGTGAGGGAGAGAGACTATTTCCTCTTTAAAAACCTCTTTGCTGCCTTATATTGATTCAGTTTCTTCTTTTATATTGGCTGGGACTTTCTGTGTGTGCTGTTAAACCTTTGTACTTTATATCATAGGCAATGAAACACTCTTGTGTATAACGAAGTAGCACAGTTTATTTATAACTTCTGGCTCCAACGCTTGTGGTTACATTTGTGTTTTGTTGCAATCTTGAGGCTTACAGTCAGTATCATTTACTTGGTTAACTTTTCTGAATAAACTATCTATGTTTCACATTCACAAACATATTACTTGCTTTACACACTCTTGGCTGAATTATATTCTGAACTAAGGCAACACTAGCCTTCTTTATGTTCCTTAAAACTCGAGCTCTATTTAACTAACTGCTTCTCTATATCAGAAGTCTTTAACACATCTTCATAACTGCTTATGTCTATCAGGCACTCAAAAACCAACTCTCCTCTTCACACACAGATTCCTAACTGTCATTTTTCAAACTCCCTCACTCCAACTGCCTCTTTCAGAACCTTGGCTCCGCCCCTTTGGAATGTTCAGCTCTGCTCTCCCCAACTGTCATTTTGGCCTAGCAGCTTTTTCAAATCCTGGGCCTACACTAATCTGCATATGACCAATCGGCTTCACATATGCAAATGAATCCTATCTCTGCTGTTGCTACCTTGCCTGTGCCTATTCTTCCCTATCTGCCATATGTAAACATAGAGCTATACACCAAAACTTTAACATAGAGTAGCAATTTCACTACAGGAGCCTCACCTTTGCTGGAAGCGATCGTTGATGGAGACCCAGATGTCGAAGTAGATCTCCGGTTCGGAAATGTTATAGTTCTGCAGCAAGCCGCTGAGGCAAGTGGCGTACTGCTTCAGCATATCCGCATGGTCCTTCCAGCGTCGGCTCTGAGTGAAAACCTGCTCCGAAATGCAGGAAAGCAAGGAAATGAATGCAAAGAGAGAGGTGCTCCACAACTGTTGCTGCAGGGAGCCCTCTGCAACCAAAACCACAAAACTTTTGCAAGCAAAACAGGTTGCATTTGGGAGCTTGAGATCATGCAAACCAGGCTCTCCATACTGCACTTGCTGCTGCATGTAAGGTTTGCAGAAGTTGGGAATTTTGATTTTTTGGAAAGGGAGCACCAAAACGGCACAAATACCCCCGAATAGACACAGACAAGATACAAAAGAGAGAGGGACTGATTGACTGACCCCAGGGTTGAGGTATCCCAGCTCCCCGGTGCGTCCATCACGGTACGTGATCTTCACATGTTGATGGGAGCGCGAGTGCACCATCATGTCCCAGGAGTAGCCATACAGGCCGTTCGTCCAGTTGTTGTAGCCCTGCATTGGGAACCAATAGGGGATGATGATGGGACCCAGAGCTGGATTTCCTTCAGCCCTTCAGGCTTAAAATCATAGGATCCTAGAGTTGGGAGGAACCCTCAAAGGCCATCTAGTCCAAACCCTCTTCTGTTAGGCAGGAAAACACCTTCAAAGCCCTCCCAACAGATGGCCACCCAGCCTCTTTTGTCTAAAATAATAGAATCCTAGAGTTGAGAGAGATCCCCAAAGGCCATCCAGTCCAACCCCCTTCTGCTGGGCAGAAAGACACCTTCAAAGCCCTCCCGACAGATGGCCACCCAGCTCTTCTTTCTAGAATAATAGAATCCTAGAGTTGGGAGAGATCCCCAAAGGTCATCCAGTCCAACCCGCTTTTGCTAGGCAGGAAAAACACCATCAAAGCACTCATTATAAATAGTCATCCAGCCTCTCTTGCTAGAATAATAGAATTCTAGAGTTGGGAGAGATCCCCAAAGGCCATCCAGTCCAACCCCCTTCTGCTGGGCAGAAGACACCATCAAAGCCCTCCCGACAGATGGCCACCCAGCCTCTCTTTCTAAAATAACAGAATTCTAGAGTTGGGAGAGATCCCCAAAGGCCATCCAGTCCAACCTGCTTCTACTAGGCAGAAAAAGCACCATCAAAGCCCTCCCTAGAAATAGCCATCCAACCTCTCTTTCTCAGGGCCAGTCTTCGCTTTTCCATTGGTCACTCTGCTACCTCTTTTCTCTGGATGTCACCAACACATTCACAGCATTGGAAGAGACCCCCAAAGGCCATCCAGTCAAACCCCCTTCTTCTAGGCAAAAAACACCATCAAAGCCCTCCCGACAGATGGCCATCAAGGCTCTGTTTAAAAGCCTCCAGGGGAGGAGCTAATAATAACAACAACAACAATAATTATAATAATATTTATTTATACCCCACCACCATCTCTCCTGTAGGGACTCGGAGCGGCTTACATGGGGCCAACATATTACAGCAATAAAATCAAAACATAAACAACAAATAACAACAACATCACTAAAATTACATTTTTTTAAAAAGTGCATTCATAAAATAAAATTCTAATAAACACAATCACGATAACGATAACAATGGGCAGTCTGACCAGAGCAGAACAGAGTGGGACATTAAGGCCCCTTCTACACTGTCATACAAAATCCTGGTGATCTGCTCTGAACTGGATTATAGAACAGTGCAGACTCATATAATCTGGTTCAAAGCAGATAATGTGGATGATCTGCTTTGATAACCTGTATAGAAGGGGCCTGACTTTCCTCCACCTGGACATTACGCTCCTGTTTTTGAGCCAATGCGATTCTAAGTTGCATCAAGGGGGGGATAGTATCTTAACAGGACCTTCCACTTCTTCCCAGGGTTTTGGAGCAAAAAAAGAAGGGGCCCCGCCTCTCACCTGCGTGATGAAGTGCGAATAGGGCAGGAAGAGCTGCTCCAAGATGTAGAGGAGGGTGAAGGCGGCGCCCAGCTTCTGCCGCAGCCCGGGCCTCCTCCGCGGGCCTTTGCCCTTTATGTAGACGCACTCAGGACTGGGCTGCGGAGGCCGGGAAAGAGGCAGCAGGACATGCAGGGCGGAGGGGAGGCGGGCTTCCAGGCGGCGAGGCCAGTCCGGGTGGCAGAAGAGCGGGCTGGTGGCCAGCATCGTGTAGGAGAACATGCCTGAGAGGAAACAAATTGCCTTCAGCTTTGGCTGGATGCGATCAATATTTTATTTATTTATGAGCAAAATAAATACCGTATATACTCGAGTATATGCTGACCCGAATATAAGCCGAGGGACCTAATTTTACCACAAAAAACTGGAAAAACGTATTGACTCGAGTATAAGCCAAGGGTGAGAAATGTAGCTGCTTGTAATGAACTCATACCTTTTCTTCGTAGGTCGCAGCCTGGAAGTCAGTGAGCTGGCCTCCATGTTGGGAAGGCAGCTCAGGATGGCAGACATTATGGTATAGGCAGAGAGGCAAGGGGAGGAGTCAGCTAACTCCTGATTGGTTCAGACCCCAAGGGGAGGAGTTGAAAGAGAGTGTAAATAGGTTGTCATTTCTGAGAGAGAAGGGTTTGATCTAGCAGAGAAACGATTAGGATTTCAGACAGGGAGAAGAGAGTTTCTTAGTGAGCTAGGAATTAGACTGTTAGGGAATAATTAAAGAGCAAGTGCTTCTGTATAGTTTGACTAGGGCAGTCAAAGTGAAGGCTTGTTTACTTGTATTAGGACAGAATACAAGTGGGTTTATTTCCCTAAAGGTCAGAGTAGTCTAGAGGAAACCTAGATACTCTGGAAGGCAGCCAGGGGCGGCTAGTCAAAGAAACGCTCAAAGGAACGGTCAAAGGAAAGTAGCTCATGTTAAGGAAAAGTTACTCCTTCTAAAGAAACCATTTGCTTAATAAGTCTGTGCTTCACAAACAGATTACGCGTATGTACCTCTCAGTAGTGAGTTGTTTGCTTCAAATACTTCAATAAACCTGTTCTCAGTTTACTGTTAATCTGCCTCAGCCTTGTTTCATCATATAAGGTTAGATCCAGTAAGCCTCCACATCTCTACAGTTCAGTCACCAGAAAGGGAGTCAAAAAGAAGAGCCGGTGTATAGGGACATTTTACCTCAAGTACAACAACAAGGCAATTCCTCAAACTGTAATTTGGGGTGGTGGCAGCAAACCTACCATTACACACTCACGTTATAACAACAACACTCGTGTTGAAGCGCTTTGGGTCTGACAGGAGGGATTAGAGACGGTGTGTTGTCTCTCCTGCCTGTAAGAATACACGATCTACCTTACAGTGGTCGCAGCGGTGGGATTGAAAAGAAAGGTTCCCCCCTGTCACATGTAATAATACTGTTCAACGGAGAAAAAGTTTCGGGCCTGAAAATAGTTGTTCTTTTATGATTTTGGGGTGCTGAAAACGAAAATGGCATTTAAAAATGTATATTGGCTCTAGTTTTTATGATATAAGCAATCACGTGATCACGTATGGTTGAAAAAATACATGTTGCGACTTACACTATGGAAGATTCTAGAATACTCTAGAAAGTTTGATGATGCAGTATTAGTGCCGTGTGCAAAAGTCAGAAAGCCCTATATAAGGCCAGACTTTTGAACGGTGACGGTCAGTCAGTTGAAGTCTGAGACAGTATCATTAAACATCGTTTTACATTGTTCTTTTTACTGTAGTTATGCCTCGCACGTGTGTAAATAAAGCACTATGGAAAAAAGATATCAAGGCAAATGGACTCCGTCAATGCTGTCAGACTACTGCTGGAGCATTGTAAGAGACAATCCTTTCCTTGAATACAAAAGAAAAGTCAAGAGAAGCAAACAGGATATAAACTAAAATCACGATTAAAGCGACAGTTAAACTTTCAGACTTTTCAACTGCATTAGGCCTACTAATTTAGTTTCTTGCTGCACAAACATAAACAATAGACTAATTAAATAAATATTTCTCATGTATAAACTATTGGCAATATAATTTGACTAAAATTTAGTAAATATTCACGGTTTATATATATGCAGTAAGGTTATGCGCATTATCATAATATTAACGAATTACCTATTGTGGAGAAAATTGAAATAGCTGTTGCATAAAAACCAGAGCCAATTAACACAATTAATTATTATATTTGAATTCAGCATGTTAAATTTATTAAGAAACGGCACATTTCGTTTCCGTAACTGAGAAAAACTGAAAATTTGTAGAACAGTGATAGACCCTTATCTCCTTTACACTGCTACTTGTAATCATCAGTAGATTAAATGTTTTTGAGTATTTACACAAAACTGGAATTTAAGAGAAGACTGCCCAACTCTGATTCAACCATTATTCCAACCTCCTTCAATGTAAATGTGCTTATCTATTACCTATAATGATAGAATAAAATAATATATGTAATAACATGTAATAAAAATAATAATAGAGTAAATAATGGAAATTTAACAATAATGGTAACAATAATAAAGTAATAAATGTAATAATAACAATAATAGAGTAAAATAGTAAATGCAATAAATATAATAATACAGTAAAATAATGGAAATGTAATAATAATGCAGTAAAATAATGGAAATGTTATAATATTAATAGAGTAAAATAATAAATGTAATAAAAATAATACTAATAGCAGAGTAAAATAATAAATAATCTTGACTCGAGTATAAGCCGAGGGGATTTTTTTCAGCCTAAAAAAGGGGCTGAAAAACTAGGCTTATACTTGTATATATACAGTAAATAAAATAAATATTTATGTACACAGGGCCCCCTTGTGGTACAACAGGTTAAACCGCCGCACTGCTGAACTTGCTGATCAAAAGGTTAATGGTTTGTATCCAGCGAGCTGGGTGAGCTCCCGCTGTTAGCCCCAGCTTCTGCCAACCTAGCAGTTTGAAAACATGCAAATGCGAGTAGATGAATAGGGAAGGTAAGAGTGCTCCATGCAGTCATGCTGGCCACATCACCTTGAAAAGGTGTCTATGGACAACGCCGGCTCTTTGGCTTAGAAATGGAGATGAGCACCAACCTTCAGAGTCAGACAAGACTGGACTTAAAGTCAGGGGAAAATATTTACCTTTACTTAAGCTAGGCCAGTGGTTCTCAACCTTCCTAATGCTGTGACCCCTTAATACAGTTCCTCATATTGTGGTGACCCCCAACCATAACATTATTTCCATTGCTACTTCATAACTGTAATTTTGCAACTGTTATGTATCATCATATGCATATCTGATATGCAGGATGTATTTTCATTCACTGGACCAAATTTGGCACAAATACCCAATATGCCCACATTTGAATACTTGTGGGGTTGGGGGGGATTAATTTTGTCATTTGGGAGTTGTACTTGCTGGGATTTATAGTTCACTTACAATCAAAGAGCAATCTGGACTCCACCAATGATGAAATAGAACCAAACGTGGCACACAGTTCTCCCATGACCAACAGAAAATACTGGAAGGGTTTGGTGGGCACTGACCTTGAGTTTTGGACTTGTAGTTCACCTACATCCTGAAAGCACTGGTGGACTCAAACAATGATGTATCTGGACCAAACTTGGCACAAATACTCAATATGCCCAAACACTAGTAGAGTTTGGGGGAAATAGACCTTGACATTTGGGAGTTGTAGTTGTTGGGATGTGTAGTTCACCTATAATCAAGGAATATTCTGAACCCCACCAACGATAGAATTGGGCCAGACTTCCCACACAGAACCCCCATGACCAACAGAAAATACTGTGCTTTCTGATGGTCTTTGGCGACCCCTTTGACACCCCCTCATGACCCCCCTCGGGGTCTCAGCCGCCAGGTTGAGAACCACTGAGCTAGGCTGAAGGTCAGCCTAGCTCAAACTGCCAACCAGGCTCAAACTGCCAAGGAGGAGGAGGAGGAGGAGGAAAAAAGAAGCAGAGAAGGAAGAGGAAGCAGCAGTAGCTGCCACCCCAAGAAGTGATGCTCTGTGTCTTTTGCAGCAAGTCTATCCTTTTTTCTACATTCTGATGCCACAATAACAATCCTCTGCCTTAATTTCATTGGTTCTTTATTATTAAACATAATAATAAAAAAGGGCAATGTGTGCAAAACTGCAAGCCCAAACTATCCAGCCCTCCTTCTTCCCGGCTCTTTCCCCTTTCCTTCCAGCCAGGGATCCTTGGCCAGTGACCAGGGGTCTTGGAGAGATCCCTGGCCTTCTCCTTTTGGGGGAGAGGGGAACCTACCGATGCTGAAGAGCTGGGAGTTCATGCAGTGGAAGTAGCTGACAAAGAAGAGGGCAAAGGGCCGTGTGGCGTCCAGGAAGAGTAGGAAGCCGGCTGTTAGGTCCAGAACGAGGCCCCCACCGTGGACCACCAGCAGGTTGGTCATCTCCTCTGAAAGCACCAACCTGAGGCAGGCAAAGGGAAGAGGAAAAGGAATAAGGATAATCCAAGAAGGAAGAGAGAAGACGAGGGTTTCGTGGCTCGTTCAGGAAAAAGAATCAATCCAGCACTGATGTAAGTTTTCTGTGCAAAAAATACACTAATGTGCAAAAAGTGGGTGCTAGAAACAATATCATACGAAAGCTGACTGGCACAACCTGGGGATCACAACCAGATACAGTGAAGACATCTGCCCTTGCGCTATGCTATTCTGCTGCTGAGTATGCATGCCAAGTGTGGAACACATCTCACCATGCTAAAACAGTGGATGTGGCTCTTAATGAGACATGCCACATTATCACGGGGTGTCTGCGCCCTACACCACTGGAGAAATTACACTGTCTAGCTGGTATCGCACCACCTGACATCCACCGGGAAGTGGAAGCCAATAGTGAAAGGACCAAGGCAGTGACATCTCCAGCTCATACCCTGTTTGGATATCAGCCAGCACGTCAACGACTTAAATCCAGGCATAGTTTTCTAACATCTACAGAGACACTCGCTGGAACACCTCAGCAAGCGAGAGTCCAAAAGTGGCAGTCTCAAACCCAGAACCTCAACCAATGGCTGATACCAAATGAGAAACTCCCCCCTGGGCACACAGAGGACTGGGCGACTTGGAAGGCGCTCCGGCACCACAAGATGCAGAGCCAACCTTCAGAAATAGGGCTACAAAGTGGAATCCTCGACATGCGAGTGCGGAGAGGAGCAAACCACTGACCACCTGCTGCAATGCACCCTGAGCCCTGCCACATGCACAATGGAGGACCTTCTTGCAGCAACACCAGAGGCACTCCAAGTGGACAGATACTGGCCAAAGGACATTTAATCAACTACCAAACACACACATTTTGTATTTTCTCTGTTTGTTTGCTTTGTTCTGTTAGAAATGTAATATAATTGATTGGCTGCCCTGACACGAGAAATAAATAAAAAACTACGAGGACAATATTTTTCTTCCTGTGCAAAATGCAACAATTTATCGAGGCATCCTCTTTTGTGCAAAATGCATCAGTTCCTGCTCAAAATACTACATGTAAGTTTTTAAAAAACACAAAAAATAATGGGCAGGGCTGTAGCACAGCTGGTTAATCACCAGCAACAATAGATCTTTCCCACTTTGCTCACCTGAAGGGGCTGAAGAGCCAATGCCTGGCCAGGGAGCCCATGGAGTAGCCCTCCACCCAGTCTGCGTCCAGCTTCTTAATGCCGGCAATGAAGTAGACAATGAAGACCTGGATGGAAGCAAGCACGAGAAAGTTCATGAGGATTCCAGAAGGTACCAAAAATGGACAAAGGTCTGGAAACTATGAATCCCTATAAAGAACAGCATAGGGCAAAGGGCATGTTTTGCTTGGAGAAAGGAAGGCTGAGATGTCCTGGATTGGATGGCCTTTAGAGGCCCCTCCAAGCCCATGTTCATTATATTCTCTATTTCTCTAAAAAAATATTTACATATTTACATTGCCACCACATATGTATATATGTTCCTGGATCCTCTCCAGAATTTTTTTTAGTGGTTTTTATTTACCCGTATATACTCGAGTATAAGCCGACCCGAATTTAAGCCGAGGCACCTAATTTTTCACAAAAAACTGGGGGAATTGTTTGACTCGAATATAAGCCGAGGGAGGGAAATGTAGCAGCTACTGGTAAATTTCAAAATAAAAATAGATACAAATAAAATTACATTAATTGAGGCATCAAGAGGTTAAATGTTTTTCAATATTTGAGATAAGACTGCCCAACTCTGATTAAATCATTTTGACCTTCTTCAATGTAAATGTGCTTGTGTATGCTTCCAATAAAAATTAATAGATTAAAATAATAAAGATAATAATAATAGAGTAATATAATGGAAATGTAATATTAACAATAATAATAGAGTAAAATAATAAATACAATAATAACAACAATAAAGTAAAATAACAAATGTAATAATAATAATGCATTTATTGTGTATTTATAACAGAGTAAAATAATAAATAACCTTGACTCGAGTATAAGCCGAGGGGGACCTTTTCAGCCTAAAAAAAGGTCTGAAAAACTAGGCTTATACTCGAGTATATACAGTATATTTGCTATTCTTACTGGTGTTAGGTACCATTTCCATATTAGCTTATAGTCATTTTCTTTAACCCCTATTGATAATTTTTTAGATGTCTTTGTCTCCATAATTGTTGATGCTGTTTCATTTATTTTCATCCCTAAATCTTCTTCCCAGACCTCCCTGAGGATGTTGTTTTTTGTTTTTCCTTCCTTTATTTCAATTATTATCTTATATACTTTACTAGTTATTCCTTTTCAAAATTTCATGCTCCTCTACAGCCCTTCCATTTTGTATTATTGGTTCAAATTGGTTAAGCTTACTTCTGTTTTTATTATTTTTTGCCCAGTTTTTAAACCATTGTTCTAATTGTATACAACGGAACCATGGCAATTTTATTTCTCTAAATTCTTCCATAATCATTTCCTTCTTCATTCCAACCTTTATCCAATCCCCTATTTTATCTAAGTTTTTCCCCCTTAACTTTTTATCCATTACTTTAAAAAAAATGGAAATTTCTTTTCCATTACAATTGGGTCTTTGGCGATCCCTCTGAAACCCCCCTTGCAACCCTCCCAGGGGTCTCGACTACTCTAGGGAGACATCTCACTGCTCTTGTTACCCTTTCTGGAATTAGGTAGCCACTAGCTTCACATGCAGTGACCAATGTGAATCCATCAGGGTTTTGGGATCATGCCTCCACTGATGGAAGGGAATGGAATCAGAGCCATTTCCATGGAAGGGGGAGAAGCCCTGCATCTGCTGCCTACTTGTGTGCGCAGCAGAGTGTAGTTCCACAGCGGCACATGCGCGTTCCTCTTCCGTGGGTTCCTGAGACCGTCAATAGACCTGCAAAGCAAGGCACACATTAGCAGACGGAGCCCAGCAAGAGACACTGCAAAGGGTCTTCAAAGCAGAAGACACAGTGAAGGGTCTTTCAAATTCAGAGGGATGAAACCCACGTCTGTTTGCAAACTGAAGATTTTACATAACACTAGCCGTCCCCTGCCACACATTGCTGTAGCCCAGTCTGTATATGTGTGTTTTGTGTGTATATATGTGTATATATGTGTGTTTGGGTCAATAAAGAACAGCACCTCCCAGCAAAAGATTCCCCCAGGCAGTAAGAAGCCAGACCTTGAAAACTGCAAGGCTACTCAATAATAATAATAATAATAATAATAATAATAATAATAATAATGTGGTTTTGTGCATGTGTTGTAATGTATTTTTTATTTTTTGGCTTTTTAAGTCTCTTCCGCTGTGTTTTTCTGTGTTTTTATGAGTGATGGTCACTCGCTGGCCTGATTTGGTCTTGTGTCCAAATTTGGTGTCAATTCACCCAGTGGTTTTTGAGCTATGTGAATCCCACAAACGAACATTACATTTTTATTTATATAGAAGAAACAATCAGGAATAACTATATTATTGTTGTTGTTGTTGTTGTTGTTGTTATTGAGTAGCCTTGCAGTTTTCAAGGTCTGGCTTCTTACTGCCTGGGGGAATCCTTTGTTGGGAGTTGCTGTTCTTTATTTACTGTTATGATTTTAGAGAAGCCCTTTCCATGGTTTCCTCCAAAACAGGGGAATTCCAGACAAGAAACAATCAGGGACAGCTATATACTACTACTACTACTACTACTACTACTACTATTATTATTATTATTATTATTATTATTATTATTATTATTGAGTAGCCTTGCAGTTTTCAAGGTCTGGCTTCTTACTGCCTGGGGGAATACTTTGTTGGGAGTTGCTGTTCTTTATATACTGTTATGATTTTAGAGAAGCCTTTTCCATGGTTTCCTCCAAAACAGGAGAATTCCAGACAAGAAACAATCAGGGACAGCTATATACTACTACTACTACTATTATTGAGAAGCCTTGCAGTTTTCAAGGTCTGGCTTCTTACTGCCTGGGGGAATCTTTTGCTGGGAGGTGCTGTTCTTTATTGACTTTTATGATTTTAGAGAAGCCCTTTCCATGGTTTCCTCCAAAACAGGGGAATTCCAGACAAGAAACAATCAGGGACAGCTATATACTACTACTACTACTACTACTACTACTACTACTATTATTATTATTATTATTATTATTATTATTATTATTATTATTATTGAGTAGCAGTTTTCAAGGTCTGGCTTCTTACTGCCTTTATATACTGTTATGATTTTAGAAAAGCCCTTTTCATGGTTTCCTACAAAACTCAAAAACAGGGGAATTCCAGACAAGAAACAATATATTATTTTATATTATTACTAGCTGTCCCCTGCGATGCGTTGCTGTGGCCCAGTCTGTGTATATGTGTTTTGCGTGTGTATATATGCATATATGTGTGTGTGTGTATGACATTGTGCAGTCTTTGGCCTTTAGGGAGTGGAGAGGCCCTCCTTACCAGTAGCGGTTGGCATTGATGAAGAGGAACTGGAAGCCGATGAGGCCGTAGAGGTAGGAGTGGTTGTTCCAGGTGGTCTTGTCCAGGAGGAAGACGTACCAATAAGGCAGCAGGAAGAGGAGGCAGCTGATCCGGTAGAAGCAGCCCAGCATGATGCCCAGGGCCCCTGCAAAGAGGGGGTCACAGTGGCCTTTTCAGGTGAGGGTCCCTCACCTGTGTTGGAATTCAACCCCACACTGCCCAACCTGGCAGTCCTCAAAGAGGAACAGTTAGCTAGCTTTAGAATAAGGTGAGGGAATCCCTTCCCACCTAGAATCATAGAATCCTTGAGTTGCAAAAGACCTTGTGGGCCATCCAGTCCAACCCCCTGCCAAGAAGCAGGAAAATCGCATTCAAAGCACCCCCGGCAGATGGCCATCCAGCCTCTGTTTAAAAATCTCCAAAGAAGGGCCCTCCACCACACTCTGGGGCAGAGAGTTCCATTGCTAAACAGTTCTCACAGTCACAAAGTTCTTCCTCAAGTTCAGGTGGAATCTCCTTTCTTGTATTTTGAAGCCACCGTTCCATTGCATCCTAGTCTCCAGGGCAGCGGAAAACAAGCTTGCTCCCTCCTCCCTATGACATCCTCTCACATATTCATACCTGGCCCTCATCATGTCTCCTCTCAGACTTCTCTTCTGCAGGCTAAACATGCCCAGCTCTTTAAGCCTCTCCTCACAGGGCTTGTTCTCCAGACCCTTGATCATTTTAGTCACCCTTCTCTGGACACATTCCTGCTTGTCAACATCTCCCTTCAATTGTGGTACTCAGAATTGGACACAGTATTCCAGATGTGGTCTAACCAAGGCGGAATAGAGGGGGAGCATGACTTCCCTGGATCTAGACACTGACTCCTGTATGTTAGTTGGAATGTATCTAATAATAATAATAATTGCTCAATCAAGTATCCTGTTGGTATTTTTGGATACTCTGCTATTTTGGGAGACATCTCTAACAATAACAAACCTATAGAACCTTTCTGGTCCTTCACTTGGGGATTGCCTGTACCTCGATCATATCTATGGCAGGATGGTCCTCTCTCGGGAGGGATTAGATGGTGCCTCCCCGCCTGGTAGAAAGAAGGGGGCTGGACCAGATGGCCTTTGGGGGTTCCTTCCAAATCTATGACACTATATGTATCTCTCCTATCATCTGTCTGTCTGTCTGTCTGTCTGTCTGTCTGTCTATCTATCTATCTATCTATCTATCTATCTATCTATCTATCTATCTATCTATAGATGCACTTTAAAAGGTCCCTGTTCATGTTTCTGCTTGCTGTGAGCTGACTGCTCAATCAAGTATCCTGTTTGCATTTTTGGATGCTCTGGATTTTTGGATTTCTTTTTTGGGAGAAATCTCTAACAAGAACAAACCTACAGAACCTTTCTGGTCTTTCACTCGGGGACGGCCTGTACCTCAATCATATCTATGGCAGGATGGCCCTCTGTCAGGAGGGATTAGATGGTGCCTCCCTGCCTGCAGAATGAAGAGGGCTAGACTGGATGGCCTTTGGGGGTCCCTACTATATCAATCTCTCTCTCTCTCTCTCTCTCTCACACACACACACACACATATATATATATAGAGAGAGAGTTGCACTTTGAAAGGTCCCTGTTCATATTTCTGCTTGCCGTGAGCTGGCTGCTCAATCGAGTATCCTGTTTGTATTTTTGGATGCTCCGCTCTTTTGGGAGAATTCCCTAACAACCTGCACCCAACTCTTCTCCCTCCCTCCCTCCTGGATTCTTACCCAGCAGCATGACTGTGTAAACCAGGTACATCCAATCCAGAGGAAGTGGCTCCAGGAAGTTGAAGAGGGGGAAGCGGCAGACCGGAAGCCCGTCCAGGTATTTGTGGTCCAGGTAGCTCAGGCCCCGTTCCTGGGGGATGTCCAGGGCCATCAGCAGCCCTGCAAGAGGCACAAGGTTGGGGCAGTCAATGTACCCAAGGCTTGAATTGCTCTCCACTTCCACACGGCACCGTTGCAGTACTTCCATCCCACTTTAACCACCTTGGTCCTGCCCTTGTGTATGGGAAACATTCTTACAGAAGGCTTTTGTATCAAGGAGTCAGTGATATGGTGTCTGTATGTTTTGGTTGAATCCCTAATTACCATAAGATTATATTATTATTATTATTATTATTATTATTATTATTATTATTATTATTACTGTTTCCTGTATGGATGTTCTGGTATGCAGCTTCCTTTACTCTATAATTTCTGAGAAGTTGTAGGAGGGGCTACAGACCCTGTCATTTCTCTCTCTCGTTTTGACTATGTGACCTGTTGATAGCCTTTTGTTATATGAGAGATGCCCTGGCTAGATGGCACAGACAATTATCTCAAACATATCTGAAATTGGACTGATAAGTTTTGTAACTGTGTATGCTGAACATATGAAGGTTGTGAGTAAACCAAATATGTTTTTTTTTTTTATCAAGGCCTACTTTATTTTTGTCTCTTGAGTGCGTGATATAAAACATGCTATTTTATGGGAGAGTATATATTTTTGGGCAGTAAAAACACTTCTAAAGCTCTGCTATTTTCATAACAAATAAGAGAAAACAGGTTATTCAGCCTAACAACTGACACTATTGCCTTGCATAATTAGATCTGGTTGTATACCAGATCCTTGATCATTTTAGTCGCCCTCCTCTGGACACATTCCAGTTTGTCAATATCTCTCTTCAGTTGTGGTGGCCAGAATTGGACACAATATTCCAGGTGTGGTCTAACCAAGGCAGAATAGAGGGGGAGCACGATTTCCCTAGATCTATCTAGATTTTATTAGAGAAGTCTGGACTTCGTTTTTGAACTTTGCTGAACCATACCTTGGACTAATTTGTTCCTGCTTATCTTCTTACCTAATTGGATTTACCTATTCCTTTAAAGTGCTTTTTTACTTTGCTGCTTTTACTTATCTTCAATAAAAAAGGATTGTTTTCCTACTCAACATGCGGTGTTTTAAAGTCAGAGGATTATTCCTGTCCTGGAGTGCAAAAGTTACCATTGGGAAGCTACCCGCAATCCCAGCCCATGCTCCAGACCCTTTGCAAAGAGCGGTCAGTTTTTGAGTCCACTAGCAATTTATCTTGGCCAATCAGTCCAGCTCTAGAGAATGGCCAGAGGCCCCAGTGCTGCTCATTACGAAACAGCCTTGACCCCTACTGAGTCCAAAGTCTGCCTTTTCGATTGATAAGAGGCAGAGGGTGGGGGCATTGGCCTCAAAAACGTGGCACCAAAAATCCTTCTTTCTGGCTGCTGGCAATGCTGAGGCCTTCTTTGCTGCCCGAGACCAAGCAATTAAGCAGAGGAGGAAGAGACACCAGCAATTATGCCAAAACCCCGCTCTCTGCATCCTTTTCCTGGATTAAGTTGCAACCACTTGGCACCCTGTGCAGTTTCCTTTCCATCCCTCCCAAAACGCTGCCCATCAATTATGTGCGGGGAGAGCATCCTGCAGCCGGATTTGGGAGGGAGGGATAGGCAAAAGGGAAGGAAACAGCAGACATTTCCATCCAGGGTTTGCCAAGAATAAAGCCAAAAGGGTAGACCCCCAAAACAAGGTTCAAAAGCCCTGGACAGGATGACACTTGGCCAGCCTTGCCTGCAAGGAAGAACGAAATAGCCTTTGGTCCTCCAGATCTCAGGGACAGTAAGTCCCATAATCCCTGGCCATTATTATTAATTATTATTATTATTATTATTATTATTATTATTATTATTATTCATACTCTGCTTTTTCCCTCCACAAGGAGACTCAAAGCAGCTATGTATCTATTATTAGTATTAGAATATATTATTATTATTATTATTATTATTATTATTATTATTATTATTATTTATACCCTGCTTTTTCCCTCCACAAAAAGACTCAAAACAAATATGTATCTATTAGTATTAGAGCATATTATTATTATTATTATTATTATTATTATTATTATACCCCGCTTTTTCTCTCTACAAGGAGACTATGTATCTATTATTAGTATCTGAATGTATTATTGTTATTATGCTGATGTTTATGTATACCCCATTTTTTCCCTCTACAAGGAGACTCGGAGCTATATATCTATTATTAGTATTAGAATGTATTATTATTATTATCAATTCCCTGCTTTTTCTCTCCACAAGGAGACTCAGAGAGGCTATATATCTATTGTTAGAATAAGAACGTTTTATTTTTATGATTATTTATACCCTGCTTTTTCTCTCCACAAGAAGACCCAAAGCGGCTATTTATCTATTATTAGTATTAGAACTAATCATTTATTATTATTATTATTATTATTATTATTATTATCATCATTTATACCCCACTTTTTCTCTCCACAAGGAGAGAGAGGCTAGAACGCATTGTTATTATTATTGTTGTTGTTTATTTATGCCCTGCTTTTTTTCTCCAGGAGACTCAGAGCAGCTATGTATCTATTATTAATATTAGAATATATTATTGTTATTATTATGCTGATGTTTATTTATACCCCATTTTCTCCCTCCACAAGGAGACTCAAAGTGGCTATGTATCTATTGTTAGTATAGATTATTATTATTATTATTATTATTATTATTATTATCATTTATATTATTATTATTAATATTAATATTAATACCCCACTTTTTCTCTCCACAAGGAGAAAGAGGCTAGAATATATTGTTTTTATTGTTGTTGTTTATGTATGCCCCACTTTTTCTCTCCAGGAGACTCAGAGCAGCTATGTATCTATTATTAATATTAGAATACATTATTGTTATTATTATGCTGATGTTTATTTATACCCCATTTTCTCCCTCCACAAAGAGACTCAAAGTGGCTATGTATCTATTATTAGTATAGACTATATTTATTATTATTATTATTATTATCATTTTCATTATTATGTTGATGTTTATTTATACCCCATTTTCTCCCTCCACAAAGAGACCCAAAGTGGCTATGCATCTATTATTAGTATAGACTATATTATTATTATTATTATTATTATTATTATTATTATTATTATCATTTTCATTATTATGTTGATGTTTATTTATACCCCATTTTCTCCCTCCACAAAGAGACTCAAAGTGGCTATGTATCTATTATTAGTATATATAGATGATGATGATGATTATTATTATTATTATGTTTATTTTTCTCTCCACAAGGAGTGTCTATGTATCTATTATTAGTATTAGTGGAAAACACTTCTAAATCTCTGCTGTTTTTTATGCACTGGCAAAATCTCTGTTTTCCTATTGGATCAGAGCTAAGAGGTTATTCAATCTAACAACTAAAACCATTGCCTTATATCTGATTTTATACCACAAGAGAAGATTCTGCTCTAGAAGATTTATGGCTCTTCTCCGAAAGGTTATGCTTTTCTAAAAGGTTATGATCTCCCAGAGGTGGGTTATAAATGCCATTTACCAACTCAATAATTTCCCACAGCCTTGAGAATGTCGTCTGTATTTTCCAGCTTGCAAAGCCATCAGGGGGCTGCTACTCACCGAAAAGGAAGCGGAAGACCCCCAGGGCGGCTGGGTCGGTGGGCCGGTTGAGGAGACAGACCAGGCGGCTCCAGGATGAGAGGTCAGCGGCTTCAAAACCCAGCAGGCGCTTCATGCGGCTGCAGCCCTTGCTGGACGCCAGAGGGGCCTTGGGGGGCTGCTTCTCCTCCATTGGACCCTCTTGGGACTCAGGTGGAGGATCACAGAGCTGGGCGCCTGCGGAGAAAAGGACAGAGAGCACTGGTTCGATCAAGAAACAGGCCATCCCCAAGTTATTATTATTACTATATTTATTTACTAGCTGTCCCCTGCCACGCGTTGCTGTGGCCCAGTCTGTGTATATGTGTTTTGTGTGTATATGTGTGTGTTTGTGTATATATGTGGTTTTGCACTTTGCACTGTAACATGTTTTTTGGCTTTTTAAGTCCCTTCTGCTGTGTTTTGCAGTGTTTTTATGAGTGATGATCACTCGTTGGCCTCATAGGTGTATTGTGTCCAAATTTGGTGTCAATCCGTCCAGTGGTTTTTGAGTTACGTTAATCTCACAAATGAACATTACACTTTTATATATATAGATAAAGTAAAGGTAAGGTTTCCCCTAACATTAAATCTAGTTGTGTCCAGTTCTGGGGGTTGGTGCTCATCTCCATTTCAAAGCCGAAGAGCTGGTGTTGTCCATAGACGCCTCCATGGTCATGTGGCCAGCATGACTGCCTGGAGCACTGTTACCTTCCCGCCGGAGCGATACCTATTGATCTACTCGCATTTGCATGTTTTCGAACTGCTAGGTTGGCAGAAGCTGGGGCTAATGTTGGGAGCTGACTCCACTCCCTGGATTCAAACTGCCGACTTCACGGTCAGCAAGTTCAGCAGCTCGGCAGTTTAACTCACTGCACCACCAGGGGGTCCAGAGAGTCCTTAAATATTGATAATATGTTAGAAATATTAACTCTCAGCAGCTTGAAAAACATAATAGAAGTCCAAATATTTATTTTTTATTTATTTATGGCATTTCTATGCCACCCTTCTCACCCCGAAGGGGACTCAGAGAGGCTTACAAGATATATTTTCATACAATATATTATATTATTAGCTTAGTACAATAGTATTATATATTACTATATTGCACTATACCATTATAGTGTAATATTATTAGTAATATTACATGTAATGTATATATATAATTATAATATTGTATTATTATTGCTAGTATTATATTGTATTACATTATAATATTATAAATATTATATGTACATACAATATACTATATTATATGTTTAGATATAATATATTAGAAGACAAGATGGAAATGTCCTCTGCTCCCTTCTGTAATATTATTACTGTATGCAACAAACATTGACATTGTATGCTTACTTTAATAAATAAAAGTATTCTGAAGGGCCTCCAATTCCAACAGATACTGAAATTGAAGGCCCACCAGAATACAGAGGGTGGTCTACCCTCCATAAGAGCCCGCATTCAGTTTTCCTTACTTTTCCCTATACAACTACGGGAGAATCATAAAGGATTCCTTAGCTAGGGTTTTCAAATAATAATAGGTTGTATCTAATAATAACAACAACAGCAACAAGCCAGTCAAGGTGGTCTCAGTGGTAATTGGCACACTAGGTGTAGTGTCTAAAGACCTTGGCCTGCACTTAAAAACAATCACCACTGACAAAATTACCACCTGTAATCTACAAAAGCCATCCTACTGGGATCTGCATGCACTATTCACCGATACATCACACAGTCCTAAACACTTGGGAATTGTCCGACGTGTGATTGAATACAAAAGCCAGCATAGTGATTTTGTTTGCTGTGTACTAATCTTGTTGCGTATCACATAATAATAATAATAATAATAATAATAATAATAATAATAATAACAGTCCTAGGCACTTGGGAAGTGTGATCCAATACAACAGCCAGCATAGTGGTTTTGTTTGCTGTGTACTAATCTTCTTGTGTATATAATAATAATAACAATAATAACAACAACAAACAATAAAGGTGGTCCCAGTGGTGATCAGCACACTGGGTGCAGTGCCTCAAGACGTTGGCTTGCACTTAAAAACAATTGGCGCTGACAAAATCACCATCTCTCATCTGCAAATGGCCGCCCTACTCGGATCTGCACGCATTATTCACCGATACATCACACAGTCCTAGACACTTGGGAAGTGTCTGACGTGTACTAATTTTGTTGTATATACTCACACCAAGAACTAAATTCTTAGAGCCTATTCTATGGTACCTACAATAGAACACGGTTGCAGAAAAGACCAACCTTTTGTCTGATTCTAACTCCGCAGTCACTTACAAGATCTTTCTCTTTACACTGGCAGCAAATAAAACCCTGCTCCCTGGATTCAAACCGCCGACCTGAGTTTAGCAGCTCAGCAGATTGACATGCTGCACCACCGGGGGCCCAGGGAATTCTTAAATATTGATAAGCAGCACTGAATAGCTTTGCAGTTTCAAAGTCTGGCTGGTTGCTGCTTGGGGGAATCATTTGTTGAGTATGCACCATGCTCTCTGGATTCAAACCGCTGACCCGAGTTCAGCAGCTCAGCAGTTTAACCTGCTGCGCCACCAGGGGGCCCAGGGAATCCTTAAATATTGATAATCAGCCCTGAATAGCTTTGCAGCTTCAAAGTCTGGCTGGTTGCTGCTTGGGGGAATCATTTGTTGATTATGCACCTGGCTCCCTCGATTCAAACCGCTGACCTGAGTTCAGCAGCTCAGCAGTTTGACCTGCTGCACCACCGAGGGCCCAGGGAATCCTTAAATATTGATAATCAGCACCGAATAGCTTTGCAGCTTCGAAGTCTGGCTGGTTGCTGCTTGGAGGAATCATTATGCTAATCCAGGTGGCCATTTGCAACATTCACACTTGCCTCCAACAGGCAAGAGTTCTTTCTCCCAGCCTGGACATCATTCCACAGATATATAAACCTCACTTAGTTTCCAACAGACCCCTCGACCTCTGAGGATGCCTGCCATGGATGTGGGCGAAACGTCAGGAGAGAATGCTTCTGGGAAATGGCCAGAAAGCCCGGAAAACTCACAACTCATAAATAAAAGGCCTTTCAAAGGAGGAGGGGCCTCGGTTGTACCCTGAGTTCCTTGCAAATAGAAGCCGCCTCCTTGCCCAGAAAGGCCTGCATCTCATTTGCATCTATTTGCATCTCATTATCAGCCTGTACCCCCTTCTCGTTGGTTCCTACCTGCGGCGTGGGCCCTCCCTGGCCCCATTTCGACAGCTCTGGATCTCTCCAAATCCCAGAGTGGAAGCTCCACGCAGGCAGCCCCTCTCTTCCGGAGCTCAGGCCACGCCCCCAAGGATAAGCCCCGCCCCCGAAGAGCAGGCCACGCCCTCCAGTAGGAACACAACCCTCCCTTTCTCCCTGAAGAGGAGGCTAGATCTCAGGCCACGCCCCGAATCGTAAGCCACGCCCCCGAAGAGCAGGCCACGCCTCCTCCGGTATAAGCACAACCCTCGCTCTCTCCCTGAAGAGGAGGCTAGAGCTTAGGCCAGGCCCCGAAGGATAAGCCCCGCCCCTGAAGAGCAGGCCACGCCCCTCCAGTATAAACACAACCCTCCCTTTCTCCCTGAAGAGGAGGCTAGATCTCAGGCCACGCCCCGAATCATAAGCCACGCCTTCCGTAAGCGCAGGCCACGCCTCCTCCGGTATAAGCACAACCCTCGCTTTCTCCCTGAAGAGGAGGCTAGATCTCAGGCCACGCCCCGAATCATAAGCCCCGCCCCTGAAGAGCAGGCCACGCCCCTCCAGTATAAGCACAACCCTTCCTTTCTCCCTGAAGAGGAGGCTAGATCTCAGGCCACGCCCCGAAGGATAAGCTACGCCCCTGAAGAGTAAGCCACGCCCCTCCAGTAGAAACACAACCCTCCCTTTTTCCCTGAAGAGGAGGCTAGATCCTCAGGCCACGCCCCGAAGGATAAGCCACGCCCACCGTAAGCACAGGCCACGCCTCCTCCGTTATAAGCACAACCCTCCCTTTCTCCCTGTAGAGAAGGCCACACCCCGAATCACAAACCACGCCCCCGTAAGCGCAGGCCACGCCTCCTCTGGTATAAACACAACCTTCCTTGTTCCTACAGAGGAGGCCAGTCGGGGGCGGGGCCTTTCTTGGGGGCGGGGCCGTCCACCTGCGGAAAGGAGGAGGAGGAGGAAGGCGTTTAGGGGAGGGGCTGCCCAGCGGAGGAGGAAGAGGAAACAAGAAAGAGAGGAAGGAAGGAAGAGAGGAAGGAAGAAGAGGCAGAGGAAGGCGCTTCGGGAAGAGGAGACCCCTGAGCCACCATGGTCAGCAGGAGCAGCAGTTTAGCGGGCAGAATGGGGTCTGGGGGGGGGGTCTTTCTCTCTCTCTCTCTCTCTCTGTGCTCTGGAGCAGCCCCTCCCCTTTGCCACGTCCAGAGGGAAGTCCAGGAGGAGGAAGGGGAAGAAGGGAGGCCGGAAAAAGGGGTAGAGGGGCAGACTCTCAGGCCCCAAGGAGGACCCCGCCTTCCTTTCCTAGCTTGCTTACTGATATGTTTCCCTCTTTCTTTCTTTCTTTCTTTCTTTCTTTCTTTCTTTCTTTCTTTCTTTCTTTCTTTCTTTCTTTTCTTTCTTTTCTTCTTTCCCTCTTTCCTTCTCCCCTTTTTCTTTCCTTCCCCCTTTCTCTTTCTTCCTTTCTCCTTTCTTTTCCCTCCTCTTTCCTTCTTTCTTCCGTCCTTCTTTCTTTCCTCTTCCTCCTTCCTTCTTTTTGTTTCTTTCCTTCTTCCTTTCCTTTTCCTCGTTTCTTTCCTCTCCTCCCACCCTTTCTTCTTCCTTCTTTTCTTTCCTCTTTCTTTCCTCCTCTTTTCCTTCCTTTCCTTCTTTCCTCTTTTCTTTCCTTCCCTCCTTCCTTTTTTTTTTCTTTTCCTCCTTCTTTCCTTTCCTTCCTTCTTTCCTTCCTCTTTTCTTCTTTCCTTTTTTTCCTTCCTCCTTTTTCTTTCTCACTTCTTCCTCTCCTTCCTTCCCTCCCTCCTTCCTCCCTTTCTTTCTTTTTCTTCTTTCTTTCCTTCCTTTCTTTCTTCCTTCCCTTCCTTTTTTTTTCTTTCCTTCACTTCCTTCTTTCTTTCTTTTCCTTTCCTTCTCCTTTCTCCCTTCTTTCCTTCCTTCCTTCTTTACTTTCCTTCCTCCTTCCCTTCCTTTTTTTCTTTCCTCCCTTCCTTCTTTCTTTCGTTCTTTCTTCCTTTCTTTCCTCTCTTTCCTTCCTTCCTTCCTTACTTTCCTCTCCTCCCTCCCTTCCTTGTTTTTCTTTCCTCCACTTCCTTTCTTTCTTTCCTCTCCTTCCTTCCTTCCCTCCCTCCTTCCCCTCTTTCTTTCTTTCTTTCTTCCCTCTCCTTCCTTCCTTCTTTCCTCTCCTCCCTCCCTTCCTTGTTTTTGTTTCTTTCCTCCACTTCCTTCCCTCCTTCCTCCCTTTCTTTCTTTCCTCTCCTCCCTTCCTTGTTTTTGTTTCTTTATTTCCTTCCTTTCTTTTTTCTTTCTTTCTTTCCTCTCCTCCCTTCCTTCCTTATTTTTTTCCTTCCTTCCTTCCTTCCTTCCTTCCTTCTTTCTTTTCTCTCTCTCTCTCTCTCTCCTCCCTTCCTTCCCGGGTCCTTCAAAGCATCCCTGGGACCTGTCCCTTTCCAAGGATGGAATTCCCTGCAGACTTTTTCCTCCCAGAAACTCCTTCAGCCTTCTAAACTGCCATATAATCCAGATCATCAAAGCAGATAATCTGGATTTTTATATAGCAGTGTAAAAGAGGCCGCAGGGAAGAAAGGTTTGCATCCCCGCTGTAGGATGAATACTGTGACTCAATGCTATGGGAACCACAACTTTGGAATGGGTTGCTGTGTGTTTTCCGGGCTGTCTGGCCATGTTCCAGAAGCATCCTCTCCTGACGTTTTCCCTGCATCTGTGGCAGGCATCCTCAGAGGTTGTGAGGTCTGTTGGAAACTAGGAAAATGGGGGTTTGTATACCTGTGGAATGATGTCCAGAGTGGGAGAAAGAACTCTTGTCTGTTGGAGGCAAGTGTGAATGTTGCCGTTGGTCACCTGGATTAGCATTGAATAGCCTTGCAGCTTCAAGGCTTGGCTGCTTCCTCCCTGGGAGAATCCTCACACACTCTGAGGATGCCTGCCATAGATGTGGGTGAAACGCTAGGAGCAATTCTGGCCATGAAAGCCTTCGACAACACAAAAATCTTTGGGGTGACTTTGGACTCGCCATAATGGGAGAGCCCTTGAGCTGCTTTCCATTGAAAACTGAGGATTTGTAGTGCAGCAATTTCATCCTTTGGGTTTTTCCATTTTCATGGAGGTCCTGCTTCCCAAACCCCAGCTAACGTGGACGGATGACTGTGCTTCCTCCCCAAAAATGCGAGATTCCCATGGGAAGTGCTGAAAGAGTATCATAGCTTGGGGACCCGGCGCTGCCCGGGTTATTAGAGAAAGTGGGTAATGGCAGTTCTGTAGGCCAATTTTGGTCTTTATTGGTCATTGGATGACGGTTGCATTGTTTTAAGTAAGTGAGTAAAGGTACTGCAAGTCCCATCATCCATGGTCTACCCTCTTCCAGTGTGCAGCAGAATGTAGAGTGGGTCATGAGGGCTCTGTGTACCAATTTGTGTCTTGATCAGTCATTGGATGAGGGTCGCAGTGGTTTCAGTAAGTGAGTAAAGGTATTGCAAGTCCCATCATCCATGGTCCATCCTCCTCCAAATTGCAGCAGGATGTAGAGTGGGTCATGGGGGCTCTGTTTGCCAAGTTTGGTCTTGATCAGTCATTGGATGAGGGTCGCAGTGGTTTCAGTAAGTGAGTGAAGGTACTGCAAGTCCCATCATCCATGGTCCATCCCCCTTAGAACTGCATCGGGATGTAGAGTTGGCCATGTTACGTCAGCCAGTGGACTTATGTGCTCCCTGTATGCCAGTGAGCAACCTGGCTGCCGACCATTGGACTAGTTGAAGTTTCTGAGCAGTCTTCAAAGGCAGCCCCACGTAGAGTGCGTTGCAGTAGTCTATTCGGGATGTAACGAGAGCGTGGGCCACTGTGGCCAAGTTTGGTCCAGATCCATTATTGTTTGAGCCCACAGTGCTGTCTGGATGTAGGTGAACTCCAAAACTCAAGGTCAATGCCCACCAAACCTTTCCAGTATTTTCTGTTAGTCATGGGAGTTCTGTGTACCAGGTTGGGTACAGTTCCATCGCTGGTGTAGTTCAGAATGCTCTCTGATTGTAGGCAAACTATAATTCCCAGCAATTACAACTCCCAAATGACAAAATCAATTCCTTCCGCAAACCCTAACAGTATTCAAATTTGGGTGTATTGGGTATCTGTGCCAAATTTGGTCCGGTGAATGAAAATGTCAGATATTTACATTACAATTCAGAACATTAGCAAATTAAAAGCTAAAGGTTGTCCCCTGACATTAAGTCCAGTCATGTCTGACTCTGGGGTATGTTGCTCATCTCCATTTCTAAGCCGAAGAGCCAGCGTTGTCTGTAGACACCTCCAAGGTCATGTGGCCGGCATGACCATATGGAGTGCCGTTACCTTCCCCATTGATCTACTCACATTTGCATGTTTTTGAACTGCTAGGTTGGCAGAAGCTAGGGCAAATTAGCAACAAAAATGTTATGATTGGGGGTCACCACAACATGAGGAACTGTATTCAGGGGTCGCGGCATTAGGAAGGTTGAGAAACACTGCTCTAGAGTTTAAAGTTTGGTCTAAAACTCGGAGTGGATCCAGTGCCTCTACTGAGGTTCTTGCTTTATTATTCCAACAGCTCCTCCCACTCTCCCTCTACCACCCAATCGGTATTCATATGCAAATTGATGCTCCAGGGTGGGCCATTCTCTTCTTGCTTTATTATTCCAACAGCTCCTCCCACTCTCCCTCTTCCACCCAATTGGTATCCATATGCAAATTGATGCTCTGGGGTGGGCCATTCTCTTCTTGCTTTATTATTCCAACAGCTCCTCCCACTCTCCCTCTTCCACCCAATCGGTATRCATATGCAAATTGATGCTCCGGGGTGGGCCATTCTCTTCTTGCTTTATTATTCCAACAGCTCCTCCCACTCTCCCTCTTCCACCCAATCAGTATCCATATGTAAATTGATGCTCTGGGGTGGGCCATTCAGAGCCATTCTCTCTACAAAAGACCTGCTTTTGATAGAGCGGCTCATCTTCCAGGGCTGATTTGTTGGTTCTCCTTAACTCAGGAAAGAAAAAGGCAAACACCCTCTTAATCTGGAGCAAGTGCCCTTTGCCCTTTCCGTTTGCAAATCCCCGCCAAAGTCCATCATGCTCGGCTCTGCCTTGCTCTTTATGCTCCTACTCTCAGCTGATCCTCATAAATCGGGTGCAGAGACAGGCCAGACGGTCCCTTTATTGTACCAATGCAGCGTGACCTGTGGAACTCCCCTCCACTAGAGGCCTTTCTGCCTTTTGGGCAGCAGGTTCGTACAACTTTTCAGGGATATGCAGCTACCTGAAATGGATCCAGTTACTACCACTGCTATACTATACTGGGAGTTGTAGTTTTCCAAGGTCTTTCGCCTTCTCTGCTAAAGGCTGCAAACTACAACTCCCATTCTTCAATAGCACGGAACCGTGGTAGCTAAAGTGGTGTCAAACTGTGTTATTTCTACACTGTAGGTGGATTGTAATTCCTTTCTTAAGACAGGTGCACTTTTGTTCTATTGCAATAGATGTTGTTGATGTTGTTGTTGTATGCCTCCAAGTCATTCTGGACTTATGTTATATTCATCAGTCTCTGGCTGAGAGAGTGTGACTCCCCAAGTTGTAGGATTTGATGCGATGTTGTGCCAGGTGTTACACTCTTTCCTTCTTTTCCTTTCCTTCCTTTGCTTTCCCTTCCTTTTCTTCCTTCCATCCTTTTTCTTTCCCTTCCTTCCCTCTCCTGCTCCCTTTCTTTTCTTTCCTTTCATCCTTCCTTCTTTCTTTCCTCGCCCTCCATTGCTTTCCCTTCCTTTTCTTCCTTCCTTCCATCCATCCCTTTTTCTTTTCTTTCTTTTCTGTCCTTCTCCCTTCCTTTTCTTTCCCTCCGTCTTACTTTCCTTTTCTTCCTTCTCTTTTTCTTTTTTTCCTCTCCTTTCCTCACTCTTCCTTACCTCCTCCCTTCCCTTTTTTTCTGCTCCTTCCCTCGCCCTTCCCTTTCTTTCCCTACCTCCTTCCCTTTTGGTTTCTTCCCTTTCCTTGCTCTTCCCTTCCTTTCTCCATTCCCTTTTTCTTTTATTTTCCTTCTCCCATTCTTCCCTTCCTTTTCTT